CTCGTAAGGTAATGCCCATAGCCCAGTGCATAGAGTCTGGTCCACGCCCACCTCTATCACTCCCCCCATCACACTCACCCACCCACCCCCTCCGGCTCACTCTTCCCCGTCTCCATCTCGACCACCCCTCCGGCTCCCCGTCTCGTACGCGTACTCATATCCCCCCCTCCATCGTGTATCATTTGACACCGCCGCCCGCCCATCACTCCAACCAAGTCACGACACCCGCTCCACCGCCCCCTTCACCTCCTGCCCGAGCACACCGCACACCGTCAGCAAGCACTGCACTCGCCAACACGTCAGCGGCTCATCGGCGCAGCACAACCCCCCTCCTCACCCACTCTTTAACGACTCGAGCGTGACCACCGTCTACCTCATTTTTGCATAACGCCGATTCGATCACTGTCCCTTCTCCGTCGCTCCCCTCCTCTCCACCCATCATGGCCGCCACTCGCAGCATCAAATGTGAGCACAAGCATGGGGGCCCGGGGCACCCCGACACGGACGCGCGCGCGGACTAAGGTTGTGCTAACAAACAGGCGTCGTAGTGGGAGACGGTGCTGTCGGCAAGGTGAGTGTGCATGTGTTGTGTGCACCAACCCCCTCGCGACGCGATCGGCGCACTACAAGCACTCTGACCAGCGCACAAAAGAGCATCCCCACTGACGACCTAGACCTGCCTGCTCATCTCGTACACGACTAACGCGTTCCCCGGCGAATACGTCCCCACCGTATTCGACAACTACAGCTCCCAGGTCATCGTGGATGGCATGACTGTCAGCCTCGGATTGTGGGACACGGCCGGTCAGGAGGACTACGACCGTCTCCGCCCCCTGTCATACCCCCAGACGGACGTCTTCCTGCTCTGCTTCTCCGTCGTGTCACCAGCATCCTTTGAGAACATCAGGACCAAGGTGAGTTTGCAATCCTAGCACACGTTTCACTTGGACTTGGCACTGACGTTTCCCAGTGGGAGCCGGAAATCAGACATCACTGTGAGTGGCGAACGCAGCCGCTTTCCATGACGCGGCACGCGGCATCGATGGCCTCGAGCGGGACTTGGCGGCAAGCGTGGAGGGTCGCGACGCGCCGTTGGGTGGTGAGAAACTAGCGTCGCACAGTGTTTCGGCCACCTACGTGCCCGCGAATCATCCTTATCGGCAGTCCGGCTGGCGTGTTATCGCCCGAACCCTGCGCTTTCTGTGATTGCATTGTGTGCTAACGACTCTCAGCCCCCGGCACGCCCATCATCCTTGTTGCGACCAAGCTGGACCTGCGAGAGGACCCCGTGGCGATTGAGAAGATGCGCGAGAGGCGGCAACAGCCTGTGCAGTACGCGCAGGGCCTGGCGATGCACAACGACATCAAGGCTGCGCGGTACCTGGAGTGCTCTGCTCTGACGCAGATGGGCCTGAAGACTGTGTTCGACGAGGCGATCCGCACTGTCCGTGAGTACACTGCTGGAGAACGCATGTGTTGTAGCTGACCCCTAGTGAACCCCGGCCGTCGCTCTGGCAAGCCCAAGCAGCGAAATGGCTGTGTGCTGATGTAAAATCGGCACCGCCTCGAATAAACCTATACGACCACAACTCGACCTACGAGTTGTCTACGGCCTACCCATGTCTTGCCTCTAATACCATGTTCGCCGGTGTTCTCCTCTGGCGGATTATTTTCTTTTTCTTCTACTCTTGCCACCTTACCTACAGCGACATAAGCAGCTACACAGCCTCTCTCCATCTCAAACTCACGAGCTTGTTTCCGTTCTTGTACCACCACCGTACCAACCGAGAGCTTTCACGACAGCTCACAACCCTTGCAGAACACCACTTGCGAGCCTTGCATCCAATCCCCCCCGGTCCCGAACCCACGACTAGCGGCTGGTCAATCTCCCGGCCCTTCCTTGTCCATAGATAGGTTAACGTGCGAGCCATACGGTCCCCCTCACGATGCAGATTAGTGCAGCAGCGAGCAGCCAGAAGCGAGAATGAGTGGCAACACGAGGCGCAGGGCAATGGTGTCAGTAGCAGCAATGATATGTAGTACATGAGGATCGATCGTCTAATCTACTTCTTATCGGCTTCGGGCTCCTCAGCATCATCGAACTGGGCCGCATTCCACCCCTCGGGCGGGGGCACATTGCCCCAATCCACCTTGTCCAGGAACGCCTCGACGGGGTCTTGCCCCTCGTCCTCGCCATCCTCGGCCTGGCATCAGCGATGTCCAGGCTAGTAGGGTCTAGTAGGGTCGATACCGGGCATCGGGGCCCTGGAAGTCACTCCTCACCCTTCCGATCTCGCCGTCGTCTCCATCTTGCTCTTCCTCCTCGTCCTCGTCGTCGCCCTCCGAGTCGTCGGCGAGGCCGAAGAAGTTGTTTGGCGTTCCGTCCGGCAGCAGGGACTCGTGCAGCGCCGAGCAGCGAGAGAGGGCCGAGAAGAGAGGTTGCACTGTTGTCAGCTGCCACTCTCGCCACAGCGATCAACCTCTCCACCTCAAGAGCAGAGGAAAGAAAGAGTACGGGGGGACTCACGTTGGTCCTCGGCGACGTAGATCCGCATCTCGGCCAGCGTCATAAACTCTTCCTCTTCAGCAGGAGCGCCGTTGGCGGGCGGCGAGTCGTCAACCTGACAGTAGATGTGCGCTGGCGTCGCTCCCGCCGGCGTCAGAGCATGAAGCGTCAGATCCTGGTACGGCAGCGTCCAGCCCTGTCCCGCGTCGCCCTCAATGGTGCTAGGGAGGAACGTCACAGACCTGCTGTCAGCTATCCTCCTTTCATCCCCAGCTATGTGTGCATTGCGACTCACTGCTCCGTGACGAACAGTGTGCCGGTCGTCTTGGACCACGACGTCCAGCTCGGCACGTTCATCTCGACCTCGGCCGGTCCTTGCCAGTGCAGGACTGGCGGGATGTCGGAGAAGTTCTGCGGCGTGACCGAGGTCAGATCATCATGCTCCAATTGCGAGACTGAGGGCGGAGGGGTGCGCGTCCGTTCCAGCATGTTGGTTGAGTGTTATGAGGTGAGGTCACTCTGCGCGTCAACAAATATCGTCAGTAGATCTCCACCACACACCCTCGATATCTGCTCCCGCTAATTCCCTTCGGTTAGATATCTTCTAATACAACCTCGCATGTCCCTAATTCATCCACGATGCTACATTAACTCGTAAGGTAATGCCCATAGCTCGCTACTTTGGCTCGCGTCCAGGAGATGCCGGGCGTACCTGTCCCCGTCTCCGAGGTTTATGACGACGTTTCCGGCGGTTCCTTTTTCTTGCGCCTTTCCCATTACTCCCACCACACTCTCATCACGACAAAAAGCGCATGAAAGAGGACGCCTGAGCAGCGACGACCATGCCGCTCAAGCTCCCCGCGCCGATACTCCACCTCGAGGCGTTCTTCCGCCCCTCCCTCCTGCGGCCGGACATCAAGGCTCCCTCCGTTGACAATGTCGACTGGCAGGGCCTGAGGCGCGCGGGCTGGAACGCCGTCGTGATCGACAAGGACAACTGTCTGGTAAGCTTCTAGTGCCCTATTGCCAGCTTTGGGTGACTGACGCTCCCGCAGACGCTCCCCAATGTCGACAAGATCTGGCCCCCGTTCGCGCCCGGGTGGGAGAACTGCAAGCGCGCCTTCCCCGGACGGACACTGATCGTGTCCAACTCGGCCGGATCCTCGAAGGACAGAGGTGGCATCGGTGCCGAGTCGCTTAGCATGCAGCTGCAGGCTCCAGTCCTGGCTCACCGGCGACCAAAACCCGCCTGCGCCTCCGACATCATCGACTTCTTCAAGGGCCGCTTGCCCCTCCGGACGGGACGCGAGATCAGCCCGGCAGTCCAGGCCGCGGCGAAGGAGGAGGACGCGGCGGAGCGGTTCCTGCTAGACCGGTGGCGGGGGGACGTCGAGCATGGCCCGCTTTGCGGTGAGCTGCAACGACCAGTGAAGGAGGACGGAGACGATCTCGAGGCGAAGATGGTCGCGGCGCAGCATGCCGGATCGGGCCGGTATAACAAGGAGCCAGAGCAGCCGGAGAAGGCGGAGGACCAGGCCGCTGCGAGCAGCCAGCGGGACGCGAAGCACTCAGCGCACGACAACGAGGTCGACAAGGCGGCGCAGCGCGAGGAGCGTGAGAAGACGCACAAGTTCCCAGCGACGGCTGAGGGTGAGGCGGAGCCGCTGCGCGTCCTCGTGGTCGGCGACCGGAAGTTTACCGACGTCCTCCTCTCCCGCCGCCTGGCCCTTTATCCCGACGTTGTTGCGCTCAGCATCCAGACGACCGACCTCCCGCAGCCCAAGGACGTCAAGCTTCTCCGAAAGCTCGAGGATCGACTCGCCGGGCCAAAGGAGGACCCCGCCGGCGCCCCGTGGGAGGCATACGTCCGTATCGACCCGCCGCCGCCGCCTCCGCCGACGCTCAGGGAGCGTCTCAGCCCGAGCTACATCCTCGCCGAGCCCGGACCGCCGGTGATCTGGTACGACCCGCGAACGTGGCGATGGCGACCCATCCTCGCCGCGACTCTGAACGGTCTCGGACGGGGTATCTCCTGGATCTCTGTCGAGGGCGCCAAGGGCGCCAAGGCTGCTTCGATCTGGTCGGTGGCCAAGATCAAGGAGGCGAACGAGCACCGCAAAATCCGCGCCGCTGAGCGCGCAAAGGAGCAGGCTGCCAAGGAGCACGAGGACAAGGTGAAGCAGGTCGAGGAGGAGAAGAACGACCAGGACGAGCTCCAGGCCCTCCTTCAGCCCAAGCAGGCGGTCAAGGGCGACGTCGCCGAGCCCGTGAAGCAGAGCACGTAAGACACTAGACGGACCATCGCATGCATATCGCATACATCTCATGAAGCTCACCGCAGTGATTGACCAACGAGGCTGACATAGCTCGGAGCCGGTCGCTTGTGCCGGACTGGCAGACTTTAGGCGTTCCCCTCGCCTTGCCCGCTCGCCAGCTCTCTGTGGTTAACTCTCCCCCAAACAAATCCTGACTTTGGATACTCTATCGTGATTCATGATCGCGCACAGACTTGCCCGCCCCAGAACTCACCTCAGGCGCAAACGTGCGGCTCCAATATGGAGCGGCCGGCGTCCTGCTGCAGTTGAGTGCGCTTGAGTGCCTTGTTCTCCAACACCGCAGCAACGGGGCCATTTGGGGGCCACAGTTTCGTGGTCAATCGACTCCGAAACGAAGCGCTGTTCCTCGTCTTCCTCGTCCTGATATTCGTCTCGATCGGTATTTACCCCGGCTCCCCCGCAATGACGCACGCCCTCGAGGCAGTCAGTCAGTCACTTCGAGTGGTCCGAATGACGCTTCTTCCACATCATGCATGTCGAAGGGCCCCCGGCCCCGGTCAGAGCTGTTTCGAATGTGCCTATGCGCCTCCACTTCAAGGTTTATACATCCGTGTGAATACCAGCGGGCACTGATGGGATCACCGACATCTTAGTGCCGAGTCCAGAACTGTGGCTCTTTGACCCCTTGGAAACCGGAGGTGTGGCTCGAAGGATTGATTGCTCATGACCGCTTCATTTGTGTTTGTGCTTGTGTCATGTGCGTATCCTCCAAGAGTGATCATGGGGCACCTCGGGGTGATGAGGTCCGCGCGAGGAGAACAGTAGAGAGGTAACACTCCGGCGCGTTTGCTGTGCAACACCTGTATATATAGTGGCAATGTTACAGGTCCACCTCTCTCTCATCTTCAAGGGGCTCTGCTCTCGCCACTCATCCCTGATCCCATCTCGAACTTCGCTTGTCTCTCAGCCTCCATTCTTCACCACTGCCAATGCGCCTTCTTTACCTGCTGCCCGTGGCGCTCTGGGCCGCCACCGTTTCTGCCCAGAGCCTCAAGTCTTGGGCGGGCACGAACAGCTACTTTCTGCAGTCCCTGGATGACGGCCAACAGGTCAAGCACATCCAAGACCTCGCCGCCCTCGGCGTCAAAGCAATCCGTCTCTGGGTCCGTGAGCAGTTGTCGCATTGCGAGAAGGGCTCCGTCCGAGGCCAGACTTGCCGCGCGCTTGAGAACCAAGAGTTCGGAGGTGTGGGGAGGTACGACCCAGTCACCATGGATCTGCTCGATAAGACTCTGCTCAACATTCAGACGCACGGCAAGGGCATGAAGGTCATCATTTCGCCACACGATTCGAACAGCGTCCAAAGTAAGCACTGTCACTCTCCCGGTACTTACTGTCAGAATCGCCATTCCTCAAGACAGCTACACCCTCAAGTATCCCCAGAATGACTTTTACCATAACGGAAACGCCGAGGCAGACTACGACAATCGCCTCAAATACATCATGGAGTATCAGGGACAGTACATGAAGAGGCCTTGGAAGGATCTGCACGACCTCATCATCGCCTTTGACGTCCAGAACGAACCTCTGCTCGCTTACAAGGGGACCGGCAAGCCTGGTGTCTGCAGCATACCTGACTCGGCGAAGGGCTGGGTCTGCAAGCGCGCCACGAACATGCGCAAAATCCTCGGCGCAGACAACCCGATCAAGATCGCAAGTGGTGGCATTGGCGGCGATGCCAACAACCAGTGCTCGTTTTTGGACGATGCGATGAAGTGTCCCGATCTGGATGTCATCGCCCGTACGTACTGCCTTACCTCACACAGCAGCGAGCGTGAACCCACTGACCCAACAGTACACATCTACCCAGACCGAAACGGAGGTGGAATCGAGAAGCACTTCGCGGACTGGTCGAAGCAGGGTGGTGGAGGCAAGCTTATCTATGTCGAGGAGCTCGGCTTGACGTGGCGCAAGCTCACCGGGCCCGGTTGTGCGAACAATGACCCCAACGTCAAGGATTGGGACGTTCCTGCTGCCTTCAAGGCCTCAGCCGAGAAGCTCAACAACGCCGGTATCCCCTGGCTCTCGTGGAGCATTATCCCCGACGTCGTTCCCGAGTGCCAGCAGGGTTTCAACGACGACTGTGACTCCACTCCCATCCCTATCACTCAGAAGAAAGTTGACTTCGCCGGACCTATGAAGGCGGCAGCGGACGCCAACTTGACTCCCGGTGGCTTCGCCATCTGAGTCCGTGACCCTGTTGCTCGAGTTGAGTTTCCTCTTCATAGTAGGAAACAGATGACAATGCTTGTAACAACGAACGTTATTTCAGACAGACATAATCGAAAGAATGAGGAGGAGCGGGCCTGCTCGCCATGCTTCTACACAGGCACTCCTCTAACAGAGCTCCTTGGCTCCTCTGGGTCAACGCCCACCTCGGCACCCTTCTCCGGATACCTCTTCAACGCAATCGCAAACACGGTGGCAATGACACCAATGAGCGCCATCCAGACCGTCGTCGCGCTCCAGCCGGGAACGTATCGTGGCGCATCCTTAGCCGGCCACAGGAAGACGCCATAGATGGACGCCGAGTTCTGTTCTTGTCAGCATGTCACGCCTCCCCCAGTCCATTTCCTGACTTACACCAAGGGCATTCGCAAGAGCGATGGCGACGGCGCGTTTCTCGGCGGGATGCGTAATGACGTTAGGCACCCACGTGAGCACGAGGGGACAGACGGCGTACACTGCGCCAAAGCCGAAGATGAGGAACACGTACTGCACGATGTGCGTCGTGGTGGCGACCGTGACAATGAAGCATGCCGCGCCAATCGTGGCCGCAATAGTGATGAAGAGAGGCTTGTTCCGGCGCCAGTCGGAGCAGAAGCAGAACACGAGGATGTACACGAACGCGGCGGCGTACACTGGGATAGTGTGGTACTGGGCGTCGTAGCCCGTCCAGCCCAGACCGGACACGAGCGTGGGGACGAAGTACTGCACGGTCTGGGCTCCGGTGCACAGCATGTACAGTAGAACGAGGACCCAGACCCGCCAATCGCTCACTGCCATCTTGACCGCGGACCACTCCGAGGTCTTCTCCCCGCCAGCAGTGTTGCCGAGGCCGTCAGCCGCCAAGCGCTGCGCGGCAAGTTGTCGCTCGGCGGGAGAGAGGAACTTGGTCGTCGCTGGCCAGTCGGGCATGAAGATCCAAGTCACGCATCCGACGGCGCTGGAGCCGACGCCCTCGATGATGAACAGCCACTGCCAGCCCTTGAGTCCGCGAGCGCCTTCGAGGTGCTGCGTGATGAGACCGGCCAGGAGGCCAGAGAAGGCGCCACTAACGGCCGTAGCGGTGTAGTAGATTGCGTACCGGCTCGACAACTCGTATCGTCTGTACCACGAGGAGAGGTAGAAGGCAACTCCGGGGGCGAAACCGGCCTCGACGACACCGAGACAGAAGCGGACTGCGGCGAGTTGTTTCCAGTTGTTCGTGGCGGCCATGCAGGCGCTGACGCCGCCCCAGATCACACACAAGATCGAGAGGTACAGCGACGGCCGACAGCGCGCGATCAAGAGGTTGCTGGGCACCTCGAACAGGACGTAACTGATGAAGAACACGAGCAGCACGACAGAGTACTGGTCCGAGGTCATGTTGAAGTCCTCCTCGAGGCCGCCTGTCTTGGCGTTGCCGATGTTGGCACGGTCGAGGTACGAGAGTGTGTAGAGAACCCAAATACAGGGCTGCCATCAGCACGGCAGGCAGATGCAGACACTCACGACAATGCGCATGTCAATCTTCCTCACAAGGGCTTTCTCCTCGGGCGAGCCGGGGACGTATGTGCTCGGCGCGGTTTCGTGCCACAGCTCATCGTGTTTCTCATGGAGATCGAGTGAAGCGTCGCCCATGGCGTGTGATGGGTTTTGTGGTGGATCGTAGTAGGGCATGCGCCTGCGCAAGCATTGGGAAGGCTTATATGGGTCGCCACAGATGGGCAACTGCAGCAGCATGCATGACGGTGATGTGCCTCGCAACAAGAGCTCGGACGGTTGTTCTACCTCACTCCGCAGTGGATTTAAGTGATTAACCGTCTGTTGCCGATTGGGCTCGGCAACTTGCTGAGATCCGGGTTGGTCCGAGATCCCGGCGTGTTTGGAGCTTCGGTTCTAGAAGCTCTCCCTCTAGACCTACCTCTACTTGAGAGCGGAGATCTGCAGAGGTGTATTCCGTAAACACCTGGTGGAGCATAACGGAGGCACCATGGTGGGCAAGCCCCCGCCACCATCGGCATTGTTACAATTGCACTGGGAGGAGACGTCTCCGCTTCGCCGTTGCGGACATAGGGTAGCACATGTTCTCAGCAACCACGGATGTGGAGCTCGGCCGACTTGATGGTGGGGAGGATGAGCAAGGGGAGGGCTCGGTACGGCAAGTGAGGCTGGTGACGATGCAGATCGTGGACATCGGTAACCTTCTCTGGGTCTCCGCCCTCTACCTCTCGGACGGGTCTTCGGAAGCCGGCCCGTCCACCCGTGCTCCTGGGGCCACATGTGCTGTATCGTGTGCACGCAGTCGGCAACTTCTGCGCCTCCATCGACTCTGCATCGGTCAGATGATGCTAACATGATCTCGTTTGCCCACCTTCCTAAATCGTACCTCGTCGGCAGATCAATACGCCGACCCCTTCTCGGCATTCAACCGGCAACTGACGGTTTGTCGTCTCCACTGCCTTCGACCGCCATTCTCATAAGTACTCGCGCGACTGCTCCCTGTACACGGTTTCCCCCATCCCCGACTCCACATCAACGATGACAATCGAGCGCAACGTTGTCCTCATCACCGGCGCCGGCGGCTGGCTCGGCGGCCTGCTCGCCTCCCAGCTCCTCTCCGACCCCAAGACGCCCAACCTCAAGCTGATCCTGGCGGACATTGTCGAGCCCAAAGTGCCCGCCAAAGCGCCCTCTGGCTCAGTCAAGACGCTAAAGGCAGACCTCTGCGACCCCGCCGCCATCGACTCGCTCTTCACCACTGAGTACGGAACCCCCGACACCGTGTACTGCATGCACGGCATCATGTCGCGCGGCAGCGAGGACAACTTTGATCTCGGCCTGCGGGTGAATGTAGACTCTGTGCACGCGTTGCTGAACAGGGCACGAGACGCTAGCGCCAGTGCAGAGGCACCGCTCAAGTTTATCTTCACGTCCAGTCTGGCCGTGTATGGTGGCCCGCTCCCCCAGGTCGTGGAGCCGAGCACGATCGCGACGCCCGAGGGCGCATATGGGTGCGGCAAGCTCATGTCCGAGCTCTTGGTCAATGAGTACACGCGCCGCGGCTTTGTGGACGGCCGCATCCTGCGTCTGCCCACCATTGTCGTGCGTCCCGGCCCGCCGTCGGCTGCCACCTCCGCTTTCATCAGTGGCATCATCCGCGAACCGCTGCATGGCGAGGAGGCGCTGTGTCCCGTCGGCAACTCGCTCGACTCGCCCGAACTCGGCCTCGAGGCGTGGGTTGCGTCCCCCGAGACGACGGTTCGGAACTTCGTAGTCGCGAAACACGTTCCGAGCGACAAGTTCCTCAGCCATACCCGTGTCGTCTGTTTGCCCGGGTTCACGACAACGATGAGGGAGGAACTGGAGGCGCTGCGCGAGGTCGCGGGCGAGGAGGCTCTGAAACTCGTCAAGTTCAAGGATGACCCGACGAATCGACGGATTGTGTCTAGCTGGCCGGCCAGGTTTGACAACACATATGCCCTCGGATTGGGCTTCGAGGTCGATGAGGGAGGCATGGTGCCCATCGTGCGCCGGTTCCAGGCGGCGGTAAAGGCGGGCGAGGCGTGAGGCGGACCGTGGCCGCAAATCATGGATGATGTATAACGTTTCTCTGCAGTCGAACCGATGTGGCGGTCAGTTTCGCTGCTCAGTAAGAGTCAATACCGATCAAAGCTAGTACCTGATACATGTACAACAGTCTAGACCACGACAACATCGACATCAGCGGCCCCATGCCACGCATGTCTCCACCCGCACCGCCACTTGTCCGAGTTGAGCGCCTTGCCCTCGGTCGTGGTCGCCATGCCCCCAATATGGTCCATGACGATCCTCGACGAGATGATCATTCTCTGCTCGTCTCTCCTCTCGCACAGGCTTCCCGGCGTTCCTCGGAGGCAGTCCTGAACAACTTGATCCGGCGCGCGGCGGTGGACACCCGGCGGTAAGCGTGAGGCACTCCGCGAGTACTCCCTCAGCACGACCTGGAGCAGCGGCAGATAGCTGCGGTGCATGATCAACCCGCTGCCGCCGGTCCCGATGAACCCGGCCCGGATGCGCCCCACTTCACGCTCAGACTCGAGTTCGGCCATGACGGTCGAGATAACATCCCAGGCCCCGGGACAGAGGGGGAAGTCGTCCTCCGCGAGCATGACCCATTCGCCCCTCAGCGTGTCCTCGGCCCAGCGGAACGCCTCTGCGAGATGGAGGTAATGACCCCATTCATCGTCGGGGTGCTGATCCTCGTCGACGTAGAAGTTGTACCCCTGCTCCCTCAGGGCTGCGAAGGCGGCATGGTCGGTCGAGTGTGTGAAGCCGTTCAGCGTAATCATTTCGTTTAGGAAGGGGGCATAGCTGTCGACGGTCTTTTGGAGGATGATGTCCCCGTTCTGAGGACGGGGGAAAGAGAGGATGAGCACGTCGAGAGACGTGGCGGGAAAGGGCAGCCGGAGTGGAGGACGAAGCAGGGAGAAGAGCGGGAGGACGAGCGCGGCAAGAGCGAGAGCAGCGAGCTGAGTGCGCAGTGGCCCCTGGCGAGGCTTCTCGACGAGTCGTTCTTGTACTGTTGGCAAGGCAGCGCGGAGCACGAGGACGCCCATCGCCACTCCGAGCGTGACGGCGTATGTCCATGGCCGACGTTCGAGGAGCGCAAACCCAGCAGCGGCAGCGAGGCTCCACTCGTGCACCGGATCCATGGCCTGCCACACGACGAGCCCTGGCCCCCATCCCGTCATGGGCTCATAAAGTGCCCGGTGGGAGAAGAACACCGGAGCTGCCCAACCCACACTCCTCGTGAGGAGGAAGCCGAGCGGGGCGCGGAGCAGGGCAGCAGTCGACGTGGCCGCCCACAGCCAAGGCAATGGGGGAAGTGTGTAGGGGATGAGGCCGAGCTGGAGGAGACGAGAGACGAGGTCACCAAAGTCGAGTGGGACGGCCCATGGCGAGAGGAACAGCGTCAGGTCCGTTGAGACGGGAGAGTAGGAGAGGTCGAGGCGGAGAAAGAAAGCCAAGACTGTCGGTAGTAGAGGGACGATGAGCGTGGCCGTCTCTGCCCGCGACGGCGAGCGCGGAAACATGTTGATGCCGAGTTGCGAAGAGGTGCAAGGATCAGGACAGCAATGCACACGCTTGGATCGGTCCGCCATGCTTGAGCCTGCAGCCTGCAGCCTGGGTGCTGACGGACTCGGTCACTGGGCAACGAGGGGCCAAGAGCCCCAAGACACATCTGTGCGCGGCTGTGTGTGCTTCGCCCTACGCCCCCCGCAGTATCGCGGTATGGCGCCACACGCTGCACACGCCCGCACACCTGACACCACCGTCAGAGATCAGAGACATATGTGCGGGCTTTTGCCTTTTCCGACGCCGACAGGGAACCAGAACGCCCCATACAAGTCCCCTGACGCACGGACGCCGAGACTCGCAGCACCGGTGCACCAACACTCCCTCCGGCTCCGAAACGTTGCCGTCGGCGGGTAGCCATTCTTGGGCATCTAATGCCCGGACACTGGTATCTCGCTGTCTCATATATTCCCGTTTGCACCCTTCTAATACTTCTATTCTCTACGTTTTAGCTACTCTACATGACGAACACCGTCTTTCCAATCTCGCCTTTCTCAAAGCGCGTGTAGTACTCCGGCGCCTCATTAATGCCCACCTTGAACTGCACAAAGCTCCTGAACAGATCGAGGTTGCCCTTCAGCACGTTCATGGCGGCCGGGAAGAAGGTGCGCACGGAACAGCGGCCGAACTGCATTCGGACATTCTTGTCGTAGAACTTCTCGGCGGACACAGAGAGGGGCGCATTGTGCACGCCCACACTCGAGACGGCACCATAGGGCCGGACGAGCTCCAGTGCATCGGCGACAGCGGAGGGATGGCCCACGACTTCGAGTACAGCGTCAGCCCCGCGCCCCTCGGTCGCATTCATGAGCGCCTCCTTCAGTTCGGGGAGGGGGAGGGCGATGGCTCCGTGCTTCTCGGCGGCTGGGAGACGGGACGCATTAAGGTCAGTAGCGTACACCGTCTCGAAGAGGGTCTTGGCGCTCGAGATGGCACAAAGGCCGACAGGTCCGCATCCGAGCACGACGGCGATGCCCTTCTTCGGCGCGGTTCCCTTCTCGGCGTCGGCGAGGCTCCACTGCTCTGCCGTCAGCCACCCGTCGTCCATCAGACGACGGGCGTTGAACGCGGCGCTGTATCCAGTCGGCAGGATGTCGGTCAGTAGCAGGGCCATCTCCTCCGGGAGATCGGAGGGGAGGGTTAGAGATCGGCGTCCGCCTCGTGCACGAGGAAGTACTCTGCCTGTCCCCCGCTCAGACAGTAGTTGTCTTTACACCGCGATGTCCACCCGCGCTCGCAGAAGTAGCACGCGCCGCAGGAGTTGGAGAATGGGCAAAGCACCCTGTCGCCGACTTTGAACTTCTTCACTTCCGGGCCCGCGGCGACGATCTCGCCGCAGACTTCGTGGCCCATAGGGCCCCCGGGCTCGAGGCCGCGGTAGGCGTGCAGGTCGGAGCCTGCGGTCAGCTGAGCACATCGGAGCATAAAGCAAGGACGGAGACAAGTGCAAGGGGGAGCTACTTACCGCACAGACCAGCAGTCGACACCTTGATGATGACGTCGCCGTCGCGCTCAATCTCCGGCTTCGGCACGTCGCGCACCTCGACTGTGAACGGGGCTGTGCACACAACTTGCTTCATTGTTGGTGAGGGATGGATTGGAGGGCGAAACCAAGTGTCACGAAGCGAAATATCGGCACATCGGCTGTGGGCGTTGAGTAAGCATCGGCTTTGCCCTGGTTATCTCGTCCGCGCGGCTCGCCCACTTGTTGTTGACATCTGGACCGGATCTTCGACGTCTCGGTAGCAGCTGCCAAGAACAAGGGCTGCGGCGTTGCCCGCACTTAGCTGACAGGGATGGCAAGACGAGGGAATGTGCTGCATCTCTGCGTATGTGAGCGAGTCTGTGTCGATCAGTGGAGGTGAGAGGCCTTTCCGACGACCTCCACCTCCACCTCTCACCGCCAATGCTGACTGCAGCAACCCCTTACTCGTCTGCTGCTCTTGCGCAGTCTTTGTTAACTTCGAAAGCTCAACAGTTTAGTTTCCCTCTCCCCATCTGTTCTAGAAACTAGATAACAATCTCTCACCACCAGAGCTGCCCACAGACTGCCCGACCACGGGATGAAGGAACCTACGGTAATCAGACAGGCTGACCGAGGCGTGCCTAGTTGCATGATCAGAATGCGTCGACCACTCCACCATGCACCGCCGACAATAACCACTGACCGAGCCGGTAGATGACTCTGCAAGTGCACATATACCATGAGCTTCTCAACCCCCTCCGATCCAACGAAATTGCTGATTCAGCGCGAGAACTTGCACAACCAGATCTGCACGCACAACCTCGCCACCGATGCCCCGGGTCCGCGACAGTCGGGCCAGAACTCGCCCGAACACACCTCGGCAGTCATAGCAGAGCTGCAGGGCATGCTGGCGGATAATGTCCCCGTCGAGTCCGTGGCTATGACGCACGACTACGCCGAGATCGTCATCACAGACTCGAGAGGTTTGAACGGGAGCATGACGGTGCCGTGGATGGCGACTATAGAGCAGCGGGGCGAGGTAGAGTGGCGGGGACGCAACCGCGAGGTGGTCGATGAGTACGAGAAGGATCCGGGCAAGTATGAGAAGATGAACGAGGAGTATAAGTGAGTTGATACTCGAGGTTGTGCTGATGGGAAAGGAAGCAAGTGCAGTTCAAGCCGATCAGGTCGCCGAGGCCGCTCGTCGTCACTTACAACGTCTCGAGAGAGGTTGGGCCGCCGTTCTCTCGTCAGAGCGAGGGGGAGAATGGGCTGCAGGGCTTCGTGGAGGAACTGAAGCGGCTGAAGGAGGCTGGAGCCATGGTATTGGCTGCGAGCTTTACACCCCAAACTGCTGTCATTACTGTCGACGCCCCCAAAGGTCTGTAGAACCCCATATATCCCGATGGTCAAAGAGTGTGAGGGCAGGCAGCATCTCTTCCATAGGAGATATTGTGTCGCGCCAACGTATACCTCCTTCGAGGTTGGGTGGCCAAACAGCATAGACTTACGCACTGTGCTAGGACGTTTCGCCGCCCTTGTCGCGCTCGGCGCCTACGATCAAAAGTGACGGCCAGTCGTTGTCTTCCCCATCGGCGCACACGATGACGAGCAGTCAGCGGCACCTCACCTGTACGGTGCCGCCGGCAATCCCGAGGCGTCTCCCTGGCTGGCTGCACCTGGCGAACTCTGAACTCTGATAGAATTGCACGTGACGTATGCCATGTCGCGGCGACCAACCACTCGATGGATATTGCCGCGGGGGGCGCATTCTTCCCTTACCCGGTAGTTGGGGGTGACCAGTGAGAGGGCCGCGGAGTAACTGTCCCCGCGTCCTAGACGCCTGGCGCGAGACAAATGTACAGCCCATACATGGTAAGCACGCCAATACGCTATTCTTGGTCAGCAACATGCACTCAATTTGGGATGGAAGAGTTCGGCTCGAGTCGAGGTTGGAAGGTAGACCAGCTGACACCAAGCTCAAAGGAACAGAGGCAATATGACGCGTGCCGCGCGTGCCTCTGGACTCTCCGATTCGGGCCCCCACTCGCCAGTGCCGCTTCGGCTTCTACGGTGATCACCTGCGGTCACCAAGTCATCCCTTGCACATGCACCCATAAATAAACCCGAGGCCTTGGAACGGGTGGAGGCCGCTCTCTCTCTTGCCTCGAGCTCTTTTCCTTCTCACAACAACATCTCTTCTATGTCGCTCGAGAAGCCCCGCATGACCCACTCACCACCACCCCCGAAGCCTGCGCCGCCCCCGGCCCCAGCGGCGCCGGCAGCCAAACATGGCCCCGTCACCGTCCACCGCGACCTGCGGACGTACCTGCCCCCGATCCTCTCCCGCTTCCTCGGGTACAAACAGCAGCCCCTCCGACCGCTGCCCTTCCCCCCGTTCAGCTGGCTCTCAAAGATCCCCCTCAAGTACGAAGTATGGGGACTCGGCCTCCTCGCGTCCTTCGTGGGCATCATGCTCGTCGAGCTCGTCATGGCGACGGCGTTCGCGGACCAGGACATTATCCTCATCGTTGCGTCCTTCGGCGCATCGGCAGTTTTGATCTACGGCACGATCGAGTCTCCCCTGGCGCAGCCCCGACATCTGCTGGGAGGGCACGTTATTGCGGCCATTCTCGGCGTCGCGATCACGAGACTGTTTAGGAAAGCGAGCAACTACGAGCTGCACGACACGACGCACACGGGCGAGCTGCGGCACATCGTCTGGCTCAACGGCGCGCTCAGCATGAGTGTCGCCCTGACCATGATGCAGATTACGGGCACGGTGCACCCTCCGTGAGTATACCCGAGGGCGACGAGAGAGACCGAAGGTTGCCGAGGTGGACAAAGGGTGCTGACAGCCATAGGGCCGGCGCGACCGCGCTCATCGCCTCGGTGCAACCGGCCGCGGTGCACATGTCCTGGCACTTCATCTACATTGTCCTCATCAGTGCGCTGCTCATGCTGGGTTGGGCCATGATCATCAACAACGTCGGCCGGAGGCGGTACCCTACCTACTGGCTCAGCGGGAGCACGGTGTTTGTCAAGCCGCCACAGAAGCTCGACCCTGAGGCCGGTCTGACCCCTTCATCTGCTGCCAACGGGGGTCCCTCCGAGGTGTCTACTGCCGGATCGACCGTCAATGGCGGTGTAGGAGGGGTGCAGGGCGGAGAGCGGCTTCAGCGCACAACGACAGATGAGGTCATGATGGCCGCGATTGAGGGGCGGAACGACGGCATGGAACGCATGGTCCGGAGCCTGAGTCGGGAGGGCCCGGTCGAGAGCAAGGACGCGGCGGAGATGGCCGCTATTGAGGGACGGAACGATGGGATGCAGAGGCTCGTCAGGAGTCTGAGCCGCGAGAGGCTGTAGCGCTGTAGGCGCTGGCGGCGCGTAGGTGCTGCGAGGAGTGAAGGAGTAGAGAAACGGTGTTGTCTGTAGAACCAAACCCTCACCGGGGCATATAATAGCAATGGAAATATAATTACGTCTCGTCTGGGCATATCCACAGTTTTGCATTCGACAGAAACAACTAAAGACTTCCGAAACGCTCTCCTCTACGCCATACCTTTCTGCTATCCACGCGCGTGCCTCGCGCCTCGCTGCACTCGGCGGCGCTCTACTCAAACACAAACGCCGTCTTTGCAATCTTGTTCTTCTCAAACATCTCATAGTACTCTGGCGCCTTGTCGACGCTGACCTCGTGCTCGACAAAGCTCTCGAACAGGTCCACATTGTCCTTGAGGACCTGCATTGCGGCGGGCGTGTAGGTGCGCACTGCGCAGCGGCCAAAGATGAGCTTGAGGTTCTTGCCATACAGCGTCAGGCCGGGGACGGTGACGTCGTGCGTGTGCAGGCCGCAGCTCGCCACTGTGCCGTACGGCCGCACGGCGTCGATGGCCGTGTCGAGGGCGCTCTGGTGCCCCACGACCTCGCAGGCGGCATCAGCCCCGCGGCCCTCCGTGGCCTTCAGAACCGCCTCCTTCAGCTCAGAGGGCGGGAGGGCGATCGCGCCGTGCTTCCGCGCCGCTTCGAGACGGTGCGGCGCCAGGTCGGTCGCGAAAACGGTCTCGAACATGGTCTTGGCACACGTGATGGCGCACAGGCCGACGGGGCCGCACCCCACCACCACGCACACGCCCTTCTTCCCCTCGGGCTGCACCACCGTGCCGTCAAGCGACTGGGAGGGGATCTGCCCGTCATCCATCCCGTGCCGCGCCTGGTAGGCCACGTAGTACCCCGTCGGGATGATGTCGGCCATGAGCAGCATGAGCTTCTCGGGCACCTCGGGCGGGGCGTGGTACAGCGACGCCTCGCCCTCGGGGATGCGCACGTACTCGGCCTGGCAACCTGGAGGTCAGCGAGGGAGCAACGAGCCGAACGAGCCGAAGGCGAGTTGCGAAGTGAGCCACTCAATGGTTTGGCGCATCGCAGCCCTCTTCACACTTACCGGGAGTAGCCGCCGTGCCGAGCAGCTGCCCGCCGCCATTGCAGCGCGCCGTGTATCCCTTGTCGCAGTAGTGGCACTTGCCACAGGAAGTCGAGAAGGGCGAGATGACAACGTCCTGTATGTCAGCGAATGCGAGCGAAGCGAAGCGAGCATTCCACCCCTTCGCTGCCTCTCTTCGACTCCTCGTCGCCCTCCATCTCGCCTGGGCGAGAGTGGAGGTGCAAGAGAAATTGAGGAGGTTTGAAAGAGACTGCTCCGGCGCCTGTCGGCGCCTATGTATGCTTTGCGCAACACTCGGGCGCCTGCGGTGTCCTCGCACTCACTCCCGGCTTGAAGCTCTTGACGCCCTTCCCGACCTGGACGACGGTGCCGAGGATCTCGTGCCCGATCGTGATGCCGTCACAGCCCGGCTGGTGGCCGCGGTAGATGTGGAGGTCGGAGCCTGCTGTTAGCGATGCCGGCGCCGGAGCCGAAGGCGGAGGCGGAGGCGAGGGCGGCGACGCTTCTCTATTCCAACATGCCTGCTCTGCTGCAGAGCATTGTGACGATGGATCGGTCCGAGGACGGAGTGCGGTGGTCTGCTGACCACCACTCCTTCCGAGCAACCTCGGGAAACACACCCGCTCCAGCAGAGCATCACAACACCGCTACACCCAGTCCAGCCTCAGCCTCAGCCTTCGCCTTCGGCTCAGGCTTCGGCGCACTCACCACAAAGACCGGCGAGCTTGGTCTTGACGATCACGTCGTTGTCCTCCTTGATCTCGGGCGTGGGCACCTCTTTCACGGCCACCTTGTAGGGGGCCTCGAGGACGACGGCCTTCATGGTCTTGGGGAGGTCGACTGTCATGCTGTTGAGTCTGCGAGCGGAGCGAGCTATGTTTCGCGAACGAAGTGAGCGATCCGGCAAGTGAGAGCGAGACGAGAGCTGTTGTTGACCTAGGCGCGTTGGCTAGATCGTTTGCTTTAAGTGACCGAGAAACAAGGTCGAGTGTACAAAGAAGGGAAACGAGGATGCACTCGCCAACGTGTGGGGAATGCATGCGCTAGATCAAACAGCTGACCTCCCACCTCGGGCAGACGGGAGAAGGTGGGCTAGTCATCGCCCGGCCGGCTGGGCGTACGGGCGAGGGATTGGGGGCGCAACCCTTCAGAGCAACGTCGGCATCCACCGATCCCCGCTTATCAACCCGGGCAATCCGGGGATCGGGTACTCACATTCCGGCGGGGGCGCCCACCACTCTATACTCCTCGAGATATCCAACCAGCCTCCAACAACCAGACAGCTGTCAAAGACACGCGGCAGCCACTTCATGACTGTCCAATGCATTATCGAGCTGAGACTCGGGCTGAAACACCAAGAGGAGTCTAGATACCTTCTCGAGACATCTGCGTATGCACAAGGTGTACAGCCGGGGCGGGATCGTCCGCCTCATTCTCGCTCATCGTTGCCCCCGGCGATACTCGTTTGCTTACTCACTGACACACTCAAGATGACGGCCTGCGCACTTCCTCAGACCCTCGCACACTCGCACACTCGTGTGTGCTTCGTGGACACTTTGCATGCCCCATTCCAGTCCCGCGCCAGCGGGGCCATTTCTTGCTATTGATACGAGGAGAGAGTGAGAGAGAGAGAGAGAAAACTATAGTAATATAAAGTCTGCACGGGGTTGAAGGTGAATCGGGTATACCCAAGTAAGGCATGGCGTGGGATGGCCCAGGCCAGAGGACATCGTCGAAGGGAATCTACGTCTACGTCTCGTGGTAACAACGAAGGGAACGAAGGGGTAATGAAGGTGGTGTATTTGTGGTGTACGTTTTTGATGTGGTGTGAGGGGCTTAGTACCTGTGGCGCCCATAGTACTCGTCCTCCTCCTCTTCCTCGTCCTCCTCACCGACAAACTGCAGCGGCTCGCCATGCTTGTATCGCGCGGGCGAGGGCTCGCGACCGGGGGTGAGGTCAAAAATGGGGCCGGGGGGCGGCAGGTCCTCGACGTATCCGCCGTCGGTGCTCTCGCGGGGGTCGTACATGCTGTCGCCGCGCTCGGACGCATACGTCTGGCTGAAGATCGAGTCCCGCTGCAGGCCGCCGTACACGTCGTCGGCAACACTGTCGCGGCCGTACCCGTCCACAATCGAGGCGATCGCATCGCGGTCGCTGTGCTGTCGGGGGCGGGGCTGGATCAGCTCCTGCTGGTACTCGCTCGGCTGCTGGGGTGTCGGCGGCAGGGCACGCTTGGCGGCCGCAGGCGGGAGGGGAGGCAGAGGTCCGCGCGACGTCTGCACGGGCGGGATGGGGAGAGGCGGCGCCTCGATGGGCGAGAAGGGCTCGGACTCGGCGTCCGACGTCGGGCGCCGCATTGAGATCGAGTCCGAGGGCAGGACAGAAGCGTCGTCGCTCGTGAGCACCGACTCGCGCGTCGAGTCCTCGTACGACGAGTCCTGCGAGCGCGTGACGCTCAGTTCGGGCGGCTCGTAGATGGGCTCGCCACGGTGTCCGTTCTCGAATGCGTGGCCGTTCATGTGGATCGGGGACTGGAGGCCGGCAGCCTTGGGAGGGGACGGGTTGCGCAGGTGCATGTCGCCGAGTTGCGAGGCGGGCGGCGTCAGGTCGTCCGCGGGCGGGCTTTTGCGCGAGGAGGGAGAGACACGTCGGATGGTAGACGACTGGCTCGTGGCGGCTTGCAGCGGCGCACCAGAGGGCGGCACGGCTTGAGCCATAGGACGGGCTCCATTCGCGATAAGAATGTCCATCCACTTCTCCTCGTCCTTGAGTGACTTGTCGTTTTGTGGGCTGCTCGTGCCAGAGCTGAGCCCCGACGCAGACTGAACCTCAAAGTCCATCGAGACCTCGCGCTGCTTGGCCGCCTCACGCTGCCTGCCGTTCGACTTGACACGGCGGATCGACTTGAACATGCGCGTTTTGGACGATCCGTTCACAGGCTTGCCATCCTTCTCGGGGAGAGGAGGCGCCTCTTTCGGCGAGGCGGATTTCGGCTGCTGCGGCGGGAAGTAGCCCTGGCCGTTGCTAGAGACGCTGTTGGACTTCTTGACCGTGGGCGACGGCTCGTTGAGCGCCTGCCAGAGCTGGGACGAGACGGACTGGTCGGCGCGTGTGAGGTTGATGCGCTTCTGCTGTGTCCGGTTGACCGTGAGCATCTTTTCAAAGTCGTCCCTAGGCGAGAGTTTGGGAGGCGGCTGCTGCTTCTTGCTGCGCTTCGCGAACAGCTTGCCCAGCGTCTTCTTCCGCTTCGGGTCGGCGATCGCCATCTGGTATTCTAAGGGCACACGCTCCTCGAACAGGAAGTGCAGCTCAGTGTCTCGCGGGTCGTCGGCAAAGCTGTCGACAGCGTCCGGGTGGTTCGGCTTGGCCCTGTACTCGACAAGCGCCCAAGATGCCTCCTTGAAGGTGAGCTCGTCGCGGTCCATCCAGCCCGCGCCCATCATGAAATCGGTCCAGCAGTCAATGAACGCCTCCTCGATGTACACGCGACCCTTGTCGTCGATGCCCTCGACGCCCGAGTGGCGTCCGAAGCGCGGCGTCGTGTCGTAGTTAAACGGCGTTGCCTCCTTTTGCGTCTTGTGGAGGCGACGCTGCAGCTCGTCGCGCTCCTTCGGCCACTCGGTGATCGAAGATTGGATCGGGGCCGAGAACGTGAGCGACGCGGTCAAGTATGACTCGGTCCTAGTGAAGCCACCGTCAGCAAAGTCGCTCCAGTCCATCGTCTGGCGTCGCTCAGCTACGCTCTGGATGTTAGTTTACAGACGCTGAAGGCTTAAACTAACCTGTTTGGCACTCTCGTTAAGATCGAACTGCAGCCGGCTTTGCATGTCTGGCCGCTCGGGCTCTCCTCGCCGGGACGTCGCCTGCGAGTCGAAGCCGAGCTCTTCAAACGCACTCCACTCCTTGCCGGCGAGCGACGCGAAGCGGCCAGCCTCGCCCTCGTCCTTCTCAATTTTCGTGACAGATCCTCCCTGGTTCAGGGGAGCACCGTAGACGACCTGCTGTGATCGCTGCGAAGACGCCGGCAGCGGTAACGTCTCCTTAACAGCCATCTTGCGACGGTAGGACGCGGAAAACTTGGGCCGGGCAGCCTCTCCCCGCTTCTCCTTCAGAACAACACGGTTCCAAGCGTCCCAGTTTGGCGTTTCGGTGCCCCAGAGCTCTGCGCTGGCAACGAGATCTCGCGAATAGGCGCGGACCGTGCGCGATGCCGTCTCGCAACGAATGACACGGGTTGCCCGGCGGGGCATACCGCGAGACAGATCGGCGTCCGACACGACCATGGAAGGGTAGCCGGTGACCCACTCCTTCAGTCTCGACGGCAGGTCCGTCAGGCCGAGGCCGCCGCCCTCGGTTGGCCGACCCGACGAGCGAATATTGGCGAGGATCATATGTTCCGTGGCGGCCGCCGCGCGCACGAACACGGCATGGGACGCGAGACATGTCACATTGGTCGGGATGTCGAAAAGAAGAGGCGCAAAGTAGGACGCCAGGGCGTGGGGCGTCAGTCCAGAGTTGTGCGAGTGGGCTGTGCACTTTGACAAAAGGGCGAACAGCGGGGAGATGATGTAGTTGTAGACATCGGCGGAGAGAATGGTAGCGAGGGTGTTGAACGCGTCATACGGGTACTTGGCCGCTGGACGTCAGTTAAAGATCGCGAAGAGACAACTCACCTCGCTCGCGTCCGCGCCACTCCTCATACTGCTCCCACTCCATGCAGCCATGAGACACCTCTCTCGTTCCGTCTCGGACGCGCGTCAGACGCGACAGGGCCCACCTCAGCAGCCAAGCCAGCTCTTGGTCGTTGGCAAACTTCAGGTCCTGCTCCCACGTCGCGACGGCTGTCTTGGTCGGATTACGGTTGTGCGTGCTGAGCGTCAGACTGCGAACTGCACGTGGGCTTACCGGATGGTTCCGATATATGTCTGGATCAGCATCTTCATGCGGACCTGGTTGAGCTCGAGGTTTTGGTTCGAGAACAGTAGCGGCGTGTCAAGCGCTGGTCGTCAGTTTTACCGAGGGTGCCCATGAAGCTCACATCGTCGTGACAACTCGGCACCGACTTCGCGGATGATCCTGGCAACCTCATCGATGCCAAGAATCACGTTGCGCCCCACAGCCGCGAGGAAGCCGTACGGCCTTCCAGAGCTCTCAGCGCTGCGCCCGGCGTCCACTGACGTGATGGCCTGGGTCGCGCTCAACGGCACTGTCGTTGGCAGGAAGGCCGGCGGGCCAGGGAGCAGAGACTGTTCGGAGGGCGAGCTGGACATGTTGACGCCGTTGGCCAGAGCCGAGGCATGTGAGACACTGCGGGGACGGTCAGTCATCGCTTTGGAATCACTAGTTGCGATCGTGTCTCGCACGTTTCCAATACTCACGGCGGCACCGTTCCAAACTCGCTGATGTTCGAGTTGGACTGCACGCTCGACCCGTTCCATGTCTTCGCAAGGCCTAGGACGCGGCGATCCGGTCCGCTAGGGTTGGCGACGAGCACGGCGGGGGCACGATCCTTCTTGGGAGCATGCTGCGAGCGCGAGAAGAGGGAAGGCATCGCGATCGGAGGAGAGCTCTGTCGGCCGTGGGACAGTGGGCGAAGCTATGTCAAGAACGTCGATGCGGGTGTGCGTGGAGAGGTTGAGGGGAGGTGGGAAGGGTATAGGAGCGTGTGTCGGATGGTAAGAGCACGGCCCTCGGCTCACGGGCGGCGCGTACTGGGGTATCGAGTGCCTAGATGTGAAGCAGAGTGTATCCTTTCAGAGTGTGCGCGGCGGCCGCGCAACAGATGTCCAGAGAAGGTGTTGTGTTGAAAGGGATGGTGGAGCAGATAAGAAGGAGCGAGGTGCTAGGTCGGATCGTCAAGTGAGTGAGAGCGGGCAAGAGGTCGTAGAGGGGTCGTCACAGATGGATATGGTCGATGGAGGGTAGTCAGAAAGAGGAAATAAAGGAATGGAGTCGTTTGGTGGCTGGTGTGGGAGGGGAAAAGGGGGGGTCTGGCCCAGAGTGTGCAAGTGTGTCGACTAGCGGAAGCGGGGTGGTCGACGCTATTGTCGTGGTAGCAGTAGTAGTAGTGTGTGGATGAGATGGTTGAGTGAGTAGTGAGCTCGAGCAATGGAGATGACTTTGGAGAGAGGCGAGGTGGTTGTCGAGCGCACTGACCCACGAGGATGTGGAGTGGAGAGTTGGTGGTGGATGGAGAGGAGAGGGTGTCCTGAGTCGTTGCGGTCGTCGGAAGTGCCAGAGCAGGAGCAAGTCGTCAGGACCGCCGGATCGAGGAACGCTGGGTACTACGGTGTAGCTGCACTGTACGGTGGGTGAACGGTTGTACGCGGAGGGAGAGCTGCAGCCAGGCGCGAAGGCACCCCGTAGGATCGAGGTAGCCCAGGGTCGGCCCGGACGACAGGGTTAGCACCTAGTGACCCTAAGGGAAGACTGCAGTGCCGCTGCAAAGCGTGCAACCGACTCTGCGCTCCGTTTTCGCCGTCTCGCGATGTAGAAAGCTGCGAGCGAGGGGAGGGAGGGATACGGGGACGTCGGATGGGCGAGTGCAAGACCGCACGACGCTCGGCAGCATTGGGTTCAAAGGCTAACTCTATCCTACGTTGCACTCAGTGGTTATCAATGCTCGCTGGCATCCAGCCTTCAACCGCCGTGAGAAGAGTTGTGGAGTGAGGCTGGGAACAACGGACCCGATGCATAGCATGCGGTGAGGTAGGTCGATTGCATGCGATGCATGCCGTTGATTGTTGCGTCGGGGGGCGCTGGGCGCTCAAAGAGTATCGGACCAAGAGTAGTGGAAGAGCGTAGGAGCAGAGACGGATGGCCCCAGGGCTAGCGCATATCTCCGTCCGTCACGGCGTGCCTCTCGTTTGCTTCCCGATGGCGTTTTTCGCGATCCTCCTATCCTCCTCCTCCTGCGCTGCACTGCCCCTTCTCCAGGTCGATGTGCTCTCTGTTCATCTCGTCTGGCACGCCCAGTGTCCCGTCCATCGAGCATCTCAATGACCTCCTCGACCCCGCCCTGGATCCACACCTCACACGCACCCTCACATCTCGACGCGTCGGGCCAGGATACACGCCTGGGGGCACGCCCAGGGTTTCGCGGATCGGCCCGTGTCCTAATGCCCCAAATAGGTTGGATTAGCATTTCGCGTCCTAATCCCGGTCCAGGCCCCAATTACAACGGTCCGAGCCCATTGTAGGGATCCACCCTGGCCCGCCGCGCGCGCTATGGCCTCCACTGGGGGAGAGACAATTTTCCAGCCCAAAACCTGAAACGCCAGACGCCAGCCAGTACGCGCTTGAAACACCCAGTCCCACGCGTCAACTGACCCCTGGCATTCATCAACAGCTGGGTCTTCATCGACCATCCATCGACATGTCCATGTCCACTGTGCTCAGACGAGTGCGAGTCTGACGTTATCCTTCCGTACGATATTGCAGAACACACGGGCAATCACCATGCTGACATTCTCATGGTGTTCTGTCCATCGTGCCCCGCACCACATGCACGTTTGAGATCAGTTCTCACAGAGCCCGGGAGAGCCTGGCGCGGGTTCGAATCGTTCGCATCTCTCCAACAGTCTATCTGCAGGCTAAGCCGCGGCACAAACACATCAGCCCGTTAGCCAGCATATGGGCTGACATTGCCTCGGTGATCGCCAGCGCGACGGGCCCGGCCCACTGCAGTGCAGAGTCACTTTGATCGGCCGATGATCTCCTCCCTGCAGGCAACGCACTCGAGGATCAATGTGCCCGTTCACTGGTATCTCCGTCGCACTGACGACGCCATCGTCCGTTCTTACGTGTGCCATCTTGTGTGTTCCAGCGAACCCTCTTGCACAACTGTCAGCCAGCAGAGGCGCAGAGGCGTAGAGGGATGAAGGAAAAGTGCGGGCATGAAACGCACACTGACCCACTCGCACTCCCCCTGCGCCTCATCTCTGAGCCCCTATTTCTCCTGTTGTCAAGACTAACCCCCTGCAGACTCCATTCGTGCGGCGCGCAGTCAGCAATCAGCGCTGGCTGTTCATGACGAATGACTCATTCCGCTCTTTGCATGAACGTCAGCGTCTACATGATATTGTCACGGATAAGAGACGAGTGAAGTTGTCCCTTCTCCTTCTGCAAGTGTTTCGTGGCGATAAGGTCAGAAGCGCCGCGTCGCTTAGCCATCCGGCGCGCAGTGACGCCGAGCATACCGGATGTGCCGCAAAGCCGTAATTCCAGAATCCCGGGCACGCGGGCCTGACGGGGGTGTATGGACCCAGCGCGATCGTGGCTGCCCAGCCAAGCCGTGGCGGGGTACTTTCGACGCCGCCGGCTTTCTGGACGATGCTTGGCGGACCTTCCATGGCAAAGGCACTGGTCTCTCCACAGACTTACTGGAGATACGACGAAAGTCTCTCACTCTTGTCCGAAAAATCTTCAATCGGAGAGCCTCAAGTGCACACGGCCCATCCCGCAGCGCACAGTGAGCATCCCTCTGAGCACTTGTCCATATACAGTATGCCAGCGGGTGAAGTGCAAAAGACGTAGAGTCCGGACTTGCTTCAGGGCCTCGACACATTTATCGGGAACAGCTGAGGCCTGAGACAGCCCGAGAGCTTGAGAGCCCATCCCGGATGAGCCGGGGTGGGTTCAATTTTCGGCGCGACTGCTCCCTCATACCTCCAGGCATGCACGCGTCGCGTCCTCCCAGCGGGATGAGATATGGGCACTACGCCAACAAGCCTCACAAAGCTTACATCCGAGCTGCCGAATCATGCTGTCAATGATTGAATCCAAAGATTGACCTCTCGCTCACTCACTGCTGGTGCGGGGTCAGGTTTCCCACGGTTGCAGCTTACTGACTGTGCTGTCTATAGCGTCGGAGCTGGCCACTGGTAGATTCACTCTCTCCCACGGTTGCAAACTGACTGTACGGATTTTTCAGGAACGAGTCGCAACGTGGTAACGGCGTGGCTTATGTCCACGTGACCACTGTGAAGAAAGGGGGGGGACTGTTTAAGCAGTCTTTGTTGTGACCTCACCTGCATTCTTGGCCCTTGATCTGCAGCATCAGAGCAGGCAGCATCCCACTGACATAAATCAGCAAGCATTACACCCAGCATCCATCACCAACAAAAGGCTCAGTGCCAGTAATCTGATCTGCGCGGCTGATTTCTTGGTATCCGCGTGACTTGCCCACCGCGCGCAAAAACACACTTCATCAACGCGCCGACGACGACCACACGACCCACCCATGTCGCGATAATGAACTCCCACCGCCCCTCCTCGCCTGAACCGGGCCAAGTGACCGAGTTTCGACGCGGCTCAGACGGTCGGGAACGGCGCCGCTCAGCGTCCCCGCCCACGTCGCTCCCTCCGCGACATGCGCGCCAGCCGTCGCCGCCCTCGTCCATGTCCACCCTTCCCCCACGACATGGGCGGCCACCGTCTCCGCCGAGGGGTCAGCGCCCGCCATCCCCTCCGCCTCGATCGCGGATACCCCCGCCGCCGCGCCGGACGGATCGTGAGAGATGGGACTCGCCGTCGGGGAGAATCGACCGGCCGGTCATGTACGATCGATACTCGCGCGAGAGCAGGGATTCGCGCGATTCGAGGGAAGACCGCTTCGCGCGCCGCGGGTCGTCGCCTGGTAGTAGAGGTAGTGTTTCTAGAGGCGGGACGCCGGCAAGGGAGGCGAGGGAGATCCCGAAGGAGCCTGTGTTCAAAGGGCTGGACGGATTGACGCAGTGAGTTCATCATGCACCGTCCTACCTTTGCGCACCATCGTGGTGCATCGAAGGGAGGCATGTTGGAGAGCAGCTAGGGATTCGGCACACCGGTAGCTGACAGCAGGTACCTCTCGCGCACGATCATGGCCAAGGCGAAGGTGGAGCAGGCCTCCCGCGCTCTGCAGCGGATAAAGGAGTTCCAGCCGGACGCGGTGACGCTGGCGGAAGCGGAGGGCGCGCTGTCCGCAGCTGAATCAGCGCTGAAGACGGAGTGCGAGTCGCTGCAGGACTCATTCGTGTCACTGCTGCAGCAGGCTCTCGCCGTTCCCGGCGTCTCGTCCGGCGATGTATCGGGCCTGCACGTGGACGAGCTCAAGTCGCGCGTCTCTCGGCTCGAGCAGCGGGCTCAGCAGCCAGCGCCGGGCCTGACAGAGGAGGAGATCAAGGCGTTCGTGAAAGCGTCGACGCCGACGACAACCTCGCCCGTGACGCCAACACTGAAGGAGGACGAGATCCGGGCACTCGTGCGGAAAGAAGGCGTGACGGAGGAGCGTGTACGGGAGATTGCCAAGGCGTCCAATACAGGTCTTAACGAGGTGCAGGTCCGCGCTATCGTCGCCAAGATTACACCGAGCGAGGACCGCGTGAGAGAGATTGTGCAGGCGTCTGCTACAGGACTGAACGAGGAACAGGTCCGCACCGTGGTCAAGAAGAATGCGCCCGCCGGTCTGTCGGACGAGCACATCAAGGCCCTAATCCGCCTGAATGCACCAACGCTCGACCAAGTGAAGGACATCGTGAAGGCGTCCATTCCCACGACACTCACTGCGCCGGCCGTGCCGCCGTCTGCCGCTTCTTCCGTTCAGGCGTCGCCAGCTCCGCCACCGCAGGTCGCAATCTCCGCCCCGGCCCCCACTCAAGCGACCGAGACGAAGGCAGAGCCGAAAGCGGAAGACGTGAAGGGAGAGCCAGCCGCCGGTGCCCGACCGCAGATCAAGCTCCGCGCGCTTCTGAGCGAGGTTCTGCAGCGCGTAGAGGCTGTCGAATCCGCCCTCGACGAGCGATACGAGCGGTTGCAGGGTGACATCGATGAGCAGCGGTATGATCTGAACCAGGCGGTTGGCCGATATGAACTCGCTGCGGCACGGAGGGCAGCTCTGCCGCCTGGCGAGTCGGCCGGCCATTCGCTCGAGGGCACACCTGCCCCTGCCCCTGTCGCCCCGGCCGCTAAACCAGCACCTGCCACCGCGCCAGCACCAGCGAACACCCCAGCGAACTCGGCTCCAAACTCGGAGATCGCCCTGCTCAAGGCGCAAATGGACGCAATGCGCGCACAGCTGTCCGCCGTCACGTCCGAGGTCTCCGCCCTGCGCACAGAGGTCGCGACGCTGAAGATGACGCCCTCTAACGCGCAAGCACCGAACGCAAAGCCAGCCGCACCGGCGGCCATGGGCGCCGAGTTTGACGCCAAGATGGCGGGCTGGAAGACGGCGATTCTGAAGGACATCGAGGACTGGATCCACGCCAAGTTGCCCGGTATCATCGCCCCGATCCTCGAGGACATGAAGGGCAAGGTGCTTGCGCAGATGCTCGTCGAGGCGCGGGCGGGGGGTATGGGTGCCGCGCAGAACGCGCCCCGCGTCAACTCGCCGAGTGGGCGGTTTGCGCCCCAGGCCCAGCATGCTCAGCAGTACCCGCAGCCTCAGACTTATCAGCAGCAAGGGTATGGGTATCAACCGTATCAGCATCGATGAGGCGTTGCTGCATCGTCGCTCATAGAGGATGAGAGGCAGTCTCAGGTTCATCACACAACACGTTGTACAATGCATCAGGTGTCACACTCACCCGGCCAACGCACCCGTCCGGTGATGGCGAGCGTGGGAGTCCGATCGTTCTGAGCTCACAACAGTGCACCCCAGGGGGGGGGGGGGGGGGGGGGCGATCGATCTGCGAGCAACGCTGGAATATATACTCCGTCTAACCGCGCTCTGGCGTGTTCTGCGACCATCTAGCGCGCCTCCACGAGCCTCGGTACACATTCTGCCCTCGGCGGTCGGCGCTCGGCAGATGATAGCGTAACCAAACACTTACACGTCCCCACGAGATCAAGTGGGTCGTCCGCCGAGCCACAGCGAGCAGCCGCAGCGAGGAGTGAATTGTGACAAGCCCGAAAGGCGCGAGAGGCGCGAGTAGCCCGAGATAGTGGATTGACACAGCACATGAGGCGCCGCAAGAATCCGCGAAGCACCGCTGCGTAGCACCGCTGTACCGCTAAGCGCCACCACTACTAAGACGGCGGGGTGTGTACCTCGGCGGTGTATGCGCCACTGGGACTAGTACAGCGCTTCGTCAGCTTGTCAGATCCGCAAGCTCTATCACGGCTCACAAGTCGCGGCGCCTCGGATCCTCGGGGTTGTCCGTCGGCGTTCGCGTGCTTCGCGCGTTTTGTGTCAGCCGCTGGCGCCGAGACGCACAGAAGGTCGTGACTACCTCGGCGGTGTATGCTCGCCACTGGGACTGGTACAGCGCTTCGTCAGCTCGTCCGGTTCGCAAGCTCTATCACGGCTCTCAAGTTGCGGCGCCTCGGCGTTGGCCGTCGGCGTTCGCCCAGTCAGCCGCTGGTCACTATGCTATCGCGTCGTGTGCGTCTCGTGAGCTCCCACGCGGGCTGATCTCCGCTTGGTGAATCAGGCGTGTCGCTTGGCGTCGCGTTGGGCTCGGAGAAACCATCGTTTGATGTCTAAGTGTGGCGCAGCATAATTGCTATAGTCGCGCATAGTCGCGCAGTTCAGCCACAGACTCTTCTCTCGCTGGACGCTCGGGACGCTCGCCCGCCTCCCATTTCACACGTTTAGCAGTCCGTTCATTCCTCTGGGAGAGGCGTGTTGGGCTATGCTTGTTGATTGCGTCTCTTAGTGTCGGATGATCCAATGTGCCAGCTCAGCTTCATCTGAACAGCACCTACGGTTCGCCACTGGCCGCCCTCTGGCGCCTCTTGAGCCTCTTGAGCCTCTTGTTGGCGCCACTGACGCCCTGCCGGACTGCGAGTTGACGCGTTCAACAGCCTGTCGCGCGCCTTCGCCCGCCTTCGCAGCTCGTGTGCCGCGGCAATGCAACCTCGGGTACGCCAAATGTTGCTTCCGATACCATCTCCGCACACCGCGGCGTCGCGGCTGTCGTCGGCGATCTCGGGCAGACACCCGGGCAGGCGCTGATGGTCGGTGTCTCGGTCGGCCGACAACACTCCAGCTAAGGCAACATGACAATGTGACAAGCAGGAGGACTGTGGCGGCAGTGTAGAGGCGTGTTGCATGTGCTGACCGCGGGCTGAATGGAGTGCCGTTCGCCCTCGTGGCTGGCAGATGGACGTCGATTGGACCTATCCACGAGCAGAGCTAGCAGAGGAGTGTCCAGAATAGCAACATGAGCAACATGAGCAAACATGTCCGGGCCACTCAGGAGGCCGCTGAGATCTCGAAGACGCCGCGGCACCGCAGAGGTCCTCACTTCGTCACCCGTCAGGATGTCGCCCGAACAAGACTGGGATCGGATCATGCGAAGAGTACGCGTGTGAGAGATGACGAGACATGACTCTTCCATACCGTCTATTCCGTTCTGGTCACCGAGCCACCTGATGAGGTGAGCGGACTGAGCGGAGTGCGGAACATCATTCCCTCTGGGTTGCATCGATACGACTCTTCGGTCCGTCGGTCCGTGACCACGCAGACGCAGCCCTTCCCCCTTCCGGTTCGGTCGCTTGTTGTGCTCTCTCGTAACACTCGCAAGACCGACCAGGCCAGTCTCGTCAGACCGTCTTTATCGCACGAGTTTCTGACCGCCTCACGCGATTGGGTCGTGGGACCATGTGTGTGTTTACTCGACTCGGACATGCTCAAGCGATCAAGCGAGCTGTTCTATACTCCGCTCGCTCTAGAGCTTTTAGCTCTGCTAAGCTCTGATCATACCTGCGCAGCAAATGTAAATTTCGGTCAGCGGTTGCGTTGCACCCAGGCGCGGCGCTCATGCACCGAAGTGGTCAGGTCAGGTCCAGTCAGCACGCCGCACGCCTCACGCCGTTAGGGAAATCCGCGGGAACTGTAAACTCTATCCACGTCTGCATTCAGCAATAACGCCGCGAGGACGCCACATGATACGCTTGAGTGCTCGTCCGCTGTCGTCCCCCGTGCTTCCTGCCCTGCTTACCACCTTGCCTCCGAGCTGTCCGTTCCCTCCGAGCTTTCGTGGGAGTGGGAGTGGGAGTGGGAGGTTCCTTTCGTGCTGCCTCCAAACTTTGAGCCTGAGGATCTAAGGAGCCTTGCGACTAGTTCAATAGTTCAGGCAGAGCTTCCACCACCCTCCTTCCCGATCTCCTGAGCCCTTCGTGCCCCTTCGTGCCCTTCGTGTACCTTCTGAACGTTCTGAAGACCTCGGAGACAACTCCACCTTCCCTTGCTGGAAAACGAATCACATGCCCCAGCGCTCACTGGAACACGCATGGATTACGCACATGCATCGTCTGCACGTCCGCCTTGAATGGCAGCGGGAGGTCAGGCGGTCAGGCGGTCAGGCGGTCAGGAGGGCTAGAGTTTCGCCTTTTAGCAGTAGACTGAACTCGGACATCCGCGCAAACCCGCCGCACGCCGCACTCGCTGTGTGCGCCATGTGCTGCTGCTGTGTTTCGGCACGTAGACGGCCGGCCGGGGTGGCCGGGGATAGGGGATGGGTGGATGTACGAGCCAAGGGCTGGATGTAGACGAATATAGTCAGGTGGGGGTGATCGGAGACTTTTGCGAGCCTTTGCTGCGGCCCAGTTGCCGACGACTTTGTGTAGACATGACGCAACTCCGCGTTCCACTCAGTGTTCACTCCGACGCGGGTGAGCAATGTAGGTGAGTTGGGACCCACTCGGCGCCGAGAGTTATTAAGCACTTGGTTGCATTCATTGACTTTTTTCGATTAGTAGCTGTTCCCGATCGGACGGTCGTTGATTCGTGCCGAGGACTGGCATGATCGCATTCGCCGCGCTGTGCGGTGATTGCGCGAAAAAGCAAATCAACGCATGGAAGACTCTGCGATAGGAGAAATATCGCTCAGTGTCCAGACAGTGCGAGAGATTATGGAGATGCGAGATATATACATGCGGCAAGATGTGGAGTGAGCGATCTGGCAGGGGGGGTGCGGTATTAAGGGGCGGCGAACGAATTGACGCATTTATTTGCGGCGATCGCTGCGTAGCAGTAGTGCATGAGTGGCCAAGCGAGTCACGCGATGCGCAGCAGTGGTGGCGGCAAATGGTCGTGCGCTCATGCGGGTGCGGCTGATGCGGCCAGAATTGAGATCGAGTCGTGTGCACACGACCACAGCGGCCAGTGTCCGTCCTTGACTACCGTATGCAGGGTCCAGGCAAAAGATCATCCGAACAGCCGAACGATTTGACGCTAAGGTACGGAGGAACGGATCAACTTGCCTCTCTCGCCCACTCCCGGAGTCATGACCGAGCAGACAGCGGGGACGGGCCCACGGTCCGAACACCGAGAGCATAGGGTATGCACTGTCTGCACAGGATTGCTGCATGCTGCAGGCGATGTTGCCGAAACGTTGCTGCCTTGGACCTCGTGCGACCACTCACGCCCTCGATACGCTGCCTGGTTCGACCGGTTCTCTGGTCGCTTGACAGCCAAGGACGAGCCAAGGAACCAAGGCTGGAACCCGGAACCGTAGTGTCTGCCGTGGATGCCGTGCCGTAGTGCCTTGTGCTGCTCCCTGGGCCAGAACCGACTGCGCACGTGTGTCACACCGCGAATCGCGCGGATCCCATTCCATCCCCTGCAAGCTTGGCTCCACCTTGGTTCATCGGCGGCGGCGCGCAAACGAGCAGCGGTGCTACGGCGCTACTTTTAGCTCGTCGTCTGATGTATGGAGGTTCACCTCCGAAAAAGACCTCGGTTACTCTGAAACTAAAGCGGCGACGGGGTGCCGGTGGTGGTGGGAAGAGGGGCGACGTTGTCTTGATAAGAAGCGTGTTGTGATACGGGGGCCAGCGGGATAGGGCAAGCGGGCCCAGCGGGGGGCGGCGGGGATGGAGACTCCGCAGCGTGTGGTGTGTGCTAAAACGGGCAGGGGAATGAACGTGCATTCCCTTCGCTCAGTCGCAATCGCAGCTCATCCAGACGAACTCAGGGTCCACAACGCCGCCCATCACCGCAAGTACCGCACAACTGCTGCACCACACGATCCCCTCGATCCCCCCTCGATTGTTGCGGACCCGAGTGGTCCCCGCCGTGGTCGCACGGGTCACACGAGTGTCACCCACTTCTTTCTGCGGCCAACGGTCCGGCGCACTACTCGCTTAGCGTCCTTCCGAGGTGACAGGACCACTCACAGCGATTGCGACACCTCCTCTGCCTCCAGAGATAGCCATCCCCGGACACACCTCAGCGCACGTAGCCCCGACAGACAGACACTCCCCCCTCCTCGCCTTCCTCGCATAACCATGTCCCAACAGCAATAAGCAGTTCTGCCTTGTGTCCGCTCTTGTTTATTCTGGACCCATCACAACTGCAACCATTCTCCTTTTTCTCTTTCATTTCCACCGAGAACACCTCGATATTCCATCAACCCGCCACCGCCTGCGCCGCCAACAACGCCAAGAACAACGTCCTCCTGCTTAACCCTGCCAACGTTGCTGCAACTTTGCTCCGTAGTCCCGCGACACCCGCACGCAGACCCGCGACCTGACCTGCCGCTCGTCTGCCAGAGAAGACCCGGACCAGCCAGAAGCGGCACACGACCGAATTGAACCCCCGTGCGTGGTGACATTCACGCACGCGTGCAAGTCTCACGCACGTTCGCCCTTCGACCGGCCACTCCCCGGTGGAGGTTTCTCTGTCTTCCGACCTTGCCTCCCTACCCTCTCTCCAGCTGCCTGCCCCTCACACGAGCATACGTGCATACACCACCACGCATACCTGCATAAGCGTGCATAAGTTTCCATAAGATGTCACAAGTAGCCACCGCCCCCGTGTGGACGACAAGTTCTCTGTCGCAGTACTCGCTGAAACCCCTCCCGCTCCGTGTCTCGTATCCGCCCAGCCCCGAGCCCGAACGCGACCACCGCGACCTACGAGACCACCGAGATTACCGCTACTACGAGTACGACCGCAGCATGCCCCCTCCTCCCATCCCAACGAAGCGAAAGTATGAGGGTGAGGAGCCTGCGCGCTCCTCTCGCTCGCCCGAGTCAGACGAGGACTCGGAGTACAACCCGCGCTCTCGTGGTGCCGCCTCTTCCAAGTCGAAGCGCCCACCCCCGCCCTCAGCGACCAAGACGCCTGCTGGTAAAGTCACAACCGGCCCGAATGGCCGACCAATGTCGCGCGAGGCGCTGCGCAAGGCAAACCACAGCCTGATCGAGCGAAGGAGGCGTGAAAAGATCAACTTTGCCCTTGGTGAACTGCGAGAGATGGTGCCTGGCCTCGGAGGCGATGGGCCCGGAGGCAAGGGTGGAGAGTTCAAGCTTGAAGTTCTTGAGCGCACCGTCGTGCACATGCGCGAACTCAAGGCTCAGGTCGCGGAACTCGAGCGCGCCATGCGCTCTCGCACTACTAGCCACTCGGCGAGCCACTCTATGGCTAGCACGAGGTCGGTCGACCGCGAGTCGAGGGGGTCTCGTGACGGAGACGTCGAGATGGAGTCGGACTCGGGGTCGGCGCGTGACCACCGCGAGTCGGCTTGGCGGGAGCGTGAGCGAGAGCGGGAGAGGGAGAGGGAACGCGAGCGGTATCGCGCCTACGCCATGCCGCAGAAGCGATCACCGCCTTCCCCCTCCGTCACCCCGCCCTCGCGCCGCAGCTCGCTCCAGCCCGACCCGAACGAGACTGAGCCCGAGTCCGACCTGCCTCCGCCTCTGACGCTGGCCTCGCGCGTCTCCGAGTCTTCCTCCGGCCGCACTGCCTCCCCTCATCCGCCGACGATCGCCTCGCTCCTCTCGAACTCTTCGCAGTCCTCCTCGGCTGTGCCCCGACGGGCAGCGCCGAGTCCGAACATCTACCTTCCCTTCCCCACCCCGTCTCCCACCTCGCCCTTCCTGACATACCATGGTGGATCGAACGCCAGCACCGCGTCTTCGGTCACTGGTCCCCCAGAGCCTTCCCCCTTCATGGCTCCGGTCCAGAGCACGCCGCTTTTCGGCGGTCTCTCCCTCGACTCCTCAAAGGACGAGAAGCGCCGCTCCCCACCGGACCTCTCCATGCCCCCGCCCAAACGCGAGATCGGCACTGAGGAGGCGGCCAACCTCCTGCTCGCCTTCTCTTCGCCTGAGACGAGGCCGTTCTCGACCGGTTCCACGCCACTAATGGGCGCGGTCGTGAAGGAGGACGGCGTGAAGGGCTTCACGCTCGACGGAGGGCCCGTCACGACGCTCGAGAACTACAAGGTTGTCTCGGGCAAGAACTCGAGTGCCAAGGTCAAGACGGCCCGGGACTTGCTCCGCATGTAACCCACTGCACGAGCCGAAGGCGAGTGCATGAGTGGGCGCGGAGCCAAATAGATGCTTGAGCTCGGACACACCGACTTCGCCCGATCCAACCAACCACACAAACATGAAACACGACGCACTGGTAATCTTTGTCACGCGAGTGCCAGCGCCAGTATCCAGCCAACAAACCAGCCCAGAGAGCGCCCCAGCCCACCGTTATGGGTCCCGGTGTTTCGGGCATCATCCTCGCCTCGTTGTTGTCACGGCGAAGGAGGAAAGATAGAAACACGTAAAACCGTATAGAGCTGTAACCTGTGATCTCCTCGATATCTTGAAACAATCCCTAGAATCTGCTTGCTGTTGCTTGCCGATGGATAATTGTATGTATGTGGACATACCTGGACAACGCAGGGAGATAGGGGGATGGGAGATGGAGTGAAGGGGATGTGAGCCATGATCGCGTGCATGAAACGCGACCGTGGCTCAAGCTTTCAGGACTGCTTTCAGGCCGGGCTGGCTGGCTGAAGCGGGGCTGAAGGTGGGCTTGGGCGGGGTTGATGTGGGCGGCGATGCCTGTGGGCGGCGGCAGTTGGCCGCTCTTGTGGTCGTGTGGACAGACATGAGGCCGCTCGTGGACGCAAGGGTTGCAAGAGTCAATGAAGGGCAGGAAGACGGTTAGATCAGGCCATCACAGCTCTCGGTGCGCTGGGCGTTGCCGGGCGTCTGCTAATCCTGACTCATGACGAGCGCATTAGACGTGACTGGCCAGTACGTACGAACACATCGGGCCGGATCGCATTGTCGCAGGTGAAGTAAGGTTCTGGCCCCGTATCCTGAGCTCAGTCTCGAGTCTGCATCAGTGTGCGGCCGCTTTGCAGTGGAGAGTTGGAAGGGAAAGTAAGGGGATTGTGGCGTGTGGCGCAATGTCTGGCGCTGGGTCTGGCGCGCAGGCACCCCCTTCACAGCAGCCCTCCACCGGCCGTGTCCACTGTGTCCACCACAGTGTGGAGTGTCAGTGCACGCACGAGCCTCCACCCGGCCGGTTCGCGGTCTTGGTGCTCGCCGCTCGCTCGTCGCGACGATGCATGTGGATAACCGTTCACTCAGTGTTGTGCGCATCGTGCGCTTTCGCTTTGCGTTTGAGAGCAAACGCAGAGTCAATTTGCTGAATACCCCATTCTGCCCGTCCACCTTCAGAACGTCCCGACAGCCCCGCGAACAACGGCAAGACCCCGGAAGACGCACGACGGATACGGGACGACGTCGATCCTCCTTACTCCCCCATTGTCGGCCTGTGAGTGCAAGGAGATCAGTGATGATCAGATCGCCGCTGATACCGTAGTCCTCCAGTCTCACATACCCGACCCACTTACGATACCCCGACGAACCACTGTCCCCAGCCCGACACTTGTACGACACCTGTACGATCACACCAACGCATCTAGCTTGAACAAGTCGAAGGTCAAACAAGAACTGCAGACCTAGCGTCGACGATGGACGACCGGCCGCAGAGTATCACGCGATGGCTGCTCGGCTTCGTCATGCCGGCCAAACTGAGTGAGTACAGCGCAGCAACTGAGCTTAAGCGCAGGGGAGCGACGGAGTGTGCGAAGCCGTAGCCGCGAGGAGGGCGATTCCCAAGCAGGAGCAGGAGCAGGAGGGCGAGGACAGTCCGAGCCGGCTGGTCGTGTATCGCCGACAGCCTTCACGAGTGCCCTCGAGAGTGTGAAGCGGCTAGAGCCCGGCTCGCCCTATGTTCGTGTCCGCTCTCACTCGTTGGCACCTCACAGCAGACCTCGACCGATCTCGCAGAGCTCTCCGCAGAGTAACCGCAACTCCGCCCCGCCCACCTCTGCCTGGTGGACGCCCGGCCTTCACGCGCTGACAGCAGACGACTCCATGCTCCGTATCGCCGAGACGACCAAGATCCGGCCACAGGTCGACTCGAGCCACCTCCTCACGCCTCCACCGTCCTCTGCCCCATTGCCTTCTGGCACAGTGTCAGCCCCAGTGACGCCGACGAAGACGGATCTGCGCTCCTTCGGCGCCGGCGGCGGCTTCGTCCCGGGAACAGGGGGATATGCGGCGCGCGACGCGCTGGGCGCAGCTGCGAAAGAGGGAGGAGGAGCAGGCCCGTGTCCCGTGCACGGATACAGCGTTGGCCGGCGACCGAGGCAGAGTCTCCCGGCCCTGCCGCCGCTGAGCTCGCGTGTCGGGCCGGGACCGAAAGGTGCTATGAGCCCGATGAGTCCGCTGAGTCCGACACCGGGCGCGAACATGCAGCAACTTCAGGCGCAGCAGATGCTCGGCTTGCGCGTCGACCTGGCCCCGATGAGGCCGCACAGTCCCATCCCCCCCACGAGCCCGACGACGCCTACCATGCCCACGAAACCCGTGACGCCGACAACGCCCACGGGGCGCGCCTATGCGCTGAACGAGGCGCCCGACTCGCCCGCATCCGTCTCCACCGCAGCCACGGGAGAACGCCGGCCAAGGGTGCTGAACCAGATGCCGATCGAGCGCGGCAGCGTCTCGTACACGGACAACACGGCCACGACGGCGGCTCCGCGGCCAATGTTGAGACCGTCGCTCGAGACACTGGAGCGCGCGGCAGCCTACGTCCTCCACATGGAGCAGTACTACGAGTCGCTGACGAATGGGGTCTGGGCCCTCGGCGTCGGAGGCGCGGAGGGCGGGCTGAGGCGGGAAAGGAATCATAATGTCGACATTAAGAGTTTCCAGCTCGGACGAGTCATTGGGCAGGGCGCTTTCGGCGTTGTGCGGATCGCGACGGAGAGGGCGAAGAATCGTATCGTTGCTATCAAACAGCTGAGGAAGTCTGAGTGAGTATATGCTGCCGCTTTGAAGAGAAGAAGGCGGTTCGCCTCGCCCCGCTCGTTGCGCTGACCCCCAGCCTGCTCAAGATGGGCCAGGAGGGCCACGTCCGCGCCGAGAAAGACGTGCTCGCCGCCGCCTCCTCGTACGAAAGTACCTGGATCCCGCGCCTCTTCTACACGTTCCAGGACCACGACCATCTCTTCCTCGTCCTTGAGTTCATGGGCGGCGGCGATTTACTGTCACTTCTCATCAACCGCGGCCGGTTACCTGAGGCCATGGTGAAGTTCTATGCCGCCGAGATGGTGCTCGCGCTGCACCAGTGCCACGCCCTGGGCTACATCCACCGCGACGTGAAGCCAGACAACTTCCTCTTCAACAAGGAGGGACACCTGCGCATTGCCGACTTCGGCCTCGCGACCGACCTGCACTGGTCCCACGACAGCAGCTACTACGAAACACAGAGGCGGCAGATGCTGAAACGCTTCGACTATCCCGTCGGCCGGGCCGCGTTTGGGAACCGGAGGCGAAGTCGGCAGCAGCTCGGCATAGGGCCGCAGGCGATCAGCGACGCGAACCGCCGCTTCCAGCGCCGCCGCCGACAACTCGCGTACACCATCTGCGGCACGAATAGCTACATGGCCCCAGAGGTCATCATGGGCACGGGGTACGGGTTCGGCGCAGACTGGTGGGGTCTCGGCGTCATCGTGTACGAGGCAATCTACGGCAGCGTGCCCTTCAGCGGGGAGAATCGGCATGTTGCGCGACAAAAGATTCTCGACTGGCGCTCCTCCCTCGTGTTCCCGCGGGAACCACGGGTGTCGCCGCTGGCGATAGACTTCATGCGGCAGCTGATGTGCGGCGCTGAGGACCGGCTGGGGTACTGCCGCAAACCTGGGCAGGAAGACGGTTAGATCAGGCCATCACAGCTCTCGGTGCGCTGGGCGTTGCCGGGCGTCTGCTAATCCTGACTCATGACGAGCGCATTAGACGTGACTGGCCAGTACGTACGAACACATCGGGCCGGATCGCATTGTCGCAGGTGAAGTAAGGTTCTGGCCCCGTATCCTGAGCTCAGTCTCGAGTCTGCATCAGTGTGCGGCCGCTTTGCAGTGGAGAGTTGGAAGGGAAAGTAAGGGGATTGTGGCGTGTGGCGCAATGTCTGGCGCTGGGTCTGGCGCGCAGGCACCCCCTTCACAGCAGCGGAGGAGATGTTCCTCAAGAAGAAGGCGCGGCACATCCACAACGACCTGCGCGCGCTCAGCGTGCGCATCTCATCCCTCAACTCTAGCTTTGACGGTAACCCTGCCGATCGCAAACCGCCCCTCCGCCCCGTCACACCGGCGCACATCAATGTCCTCGAGGAGGAACATTTCTCGGACGAGCCCGAGCCGCTGCCCTACGACATTGCGAGCAGCAGCGAGGGAGGGGACCACAAGTTCCAGCCTCATGCTAGAGCGTACGCAGAGCTCGTGGGAGACAACTCGGACAGGACAGACACGACCGAGACCGCTGCGACGGAGAGCTCGCAGTGGACGACAACTGATGATATTCACGACTTAACGAACGAAAAGAAACAACTCCGCCACTCCAAACCCGTCGAATCCCTCCGGGCGCACGTCAAGCAGTGGCCGTAGCCTGGACGCAGCGCTGAGCGGGAGTAGATAGATAGACGCAGTACGAACGCGATTATTTCCCCCTTTGTAGAACGCCTTAGAACTAGATGATATGGACTTCTCAGCGATCAGTGCAGACGTGGCTGGGAAAACGGAAACGGCTAACATCTCGGTGCATGGGCCACAGGTAGAAGTCTAACGCAACAGAAGATATCGAAGACTTGCGCACCCGACCGCGACCGAAGATGACGCACGAGAAGCACCATGCAGCGAGATTGCCGGTTTTTAGATGTAGTGATCCATCAATGCGTACAAGCCGTCTACGGCAAACCCGTCTACAATTCGAAATTCGAAGTGGATTGGGCGCTTAACCCGACTTGCCAGCGGGCTGGGCGTTCCTGTTTCTGTCAGCTCAAGTTCACAAATGTGAAGCAGTGGTGTGCGCCTGGTCCTGTCTCCTCAAGCACGGAGAGAGACGGGAAACCAGACGTCGGCGTGGTTTCAGATAGGAGCGAAAGACTTAGATGGAATTGTGTCGATCATTATGACTTCTGATTGAACTATGCTTGATTTGTGTATCATCACAAAAGGTGGGGCTGATGGGAAGAGAGGGTTGGGACGGATACTCACATGGAACGCTTGCCACCAGGAGTGAGGGTGACGTTGACGAAGCGGCGGGTGTACTGAGCGCGCTTCTCTGTTGCAAGTTAGCACCTGTTTGAGCAACTGAGTAGCGCGACACAGAGCGAGTCAACGTTCGATATCGATTCGCGAGAAGGAGTCGACGCTATCGCAGAATCGAGGCAGCGTCGAGCTTGCTATCGACACGCAAGCCCTCAAAAAGTTGCGCGGACCCTTTGCGCAGACGTCCAATAACTCCCATCCCTCAATCGCTAAATCGAACATCGAAGTCGGAACAGTCGCTCGTACGTCGCGCTCGCCTACTCACTAGCACGGCCCTTGGGGGACTTCTTCTTCTCCTGCGGCTCAACCTTAGGAGTCTGGAGGGGTCAGCGGGTGCACAAGACATTCTTTAGCGTCTGGTTGTTTCTCTGATTCCCGCAGCTTCCTTCCAATCTCGCAGCCCAGCATTCCCTTCTCGTCCATTGTCGGCTCTTCCATTGTCATCGTCGCGCTCCGCTGCCTCTAGTCGAAAGGCTCTTCGATCCAAGTCCGCCCACCGATCCAAACTTCTTCCATCCTTTGCCACCGAACCAGAGAAACAACCAGCGCTTATTGCGAGACCGATATTCACCTGCGACTTGACCTTTCCGGCACGCGCGAGAGATCCGTGGACCTTACCCATTTTGACTGTTCTGTCAGCTGCTGCTGTCGACGATGGGTCTGTCGGCGTAACTCACCTGCTTGATGTGGAGAAGTCTCGAAGCCAGCCTCCTAAGCTTCAATGTAGCAAGGGAGCGCCTGGGCGTGGCCAGTTTCGAGACGGCGTTTTCATCGGCGAAAACGGGAGCAGATCGGTGGCACACACATTTTCACCACGCCCTTTTCGTGTGTTTGTCGCGTGGCTGCACTTGCCGCACGGAGACCCCGCACTCGCCCTTTGGTGACGACTGGGTGCACTTGGTTTCAGATAAACCGGGCCGACAGGCTCAGCCGACCTTGGAGCCAGAGTGCCCAAGTTAGCTCGTGCTCAAGGCCAGACGCCGACTCGATCGGAGAACTCGCGATCGATAATCGCCCGGCCACCCCGGCCCGAACTTTTCTCTGCTCCATGTTCAGATCACTCGCGACAGCTATGAGCAAGCGCATGGCCTACCTCGGCCCGGCGGGGACATATGGCGAGCAGGCAGCCAAGGCTTTCCTCGCCCGGTTGCCCGACAAGAACGTCGAGTTGGTCCCTTGCCCGAACATCCGAGGTCAGTCACCGCCCATCACAACCTGCGAACATCGCTGACAATGTAGCTGTCTACGACGATTCGGCAGAGTACCGCGTCCTACCGCTCGAGAACACGCTGCAGAGCGCTGTCATCGAGACTGTCGATGCACTGCTGAGCACGCTCGGCCAGGCGAAGCAGGCGAACGGCTCCACAAGACCAAGATCAGCAGTCGCCGACACTGCGCTCCAGATCTCACACCAGCTCGTCGGACTCAAGGGTGCAACCCTCGCCGACATAACGCACGTTCGATCACACGAGCAGGCCCTGGGCCAGTCGGCATCGTGGCTCAGCGAGCATCTCCCGAATGCCAAGCGGGAGCCCTGGTCGAGCACGGCTGCGGCCGTCGCGAGTATCATGGAGGAGGGCGACAAGAGCGGTGCAGCCATCTGTTCCAAGTCGGCATATGAGAACGACAAGAACAGGCTCGAGCGCCTCGCGGACGGGACGCAGGGAGATCCCAGTGAGTTATGAGTAGAGGGTGAAGGCTGACATGCAGACAACTACACGCGCTTCTTGCTGTTGGCGGACAGCGACACGGATGTAGCGCCAAAGTCGGACGTGACCGTCAGCTTCTACGCTGTGCCGGAATCTCGACTGATCCAGGACGTGAAGGGTGAGCTGGTTGCCGCCCACTCACGGCCAGCTCCGCAGGGTTGGCGTTCGGAGACGCGCACATCACGAAGAGCGTGGCCGGTTTGGACACTGGTCGAAGTGAGAGGTGACGCCCCCGCGCCGTCAGATGCTGTCTGGCTGGGAACATTCAAAGAGGATCCCTCGACATACCAGCGACTCCTCTAGACAAAGATCATAAGTAGGTAATAACATAACCATGTCGTGTCACACATACTTGCATAGGGAGAGACGTAACGAGGTACAGTGAAAATGTACAAACAAATGACCTAGATGCCTACAACACCGATGATAGACCTGAGAAAGGCGGCGGGCAATGCAGTGATGGATTGGAAATGGAGCGTTGAAATGGGGAGTGGATTGAGAGTGTTGATTGATGTCGGATCTATAAACATAGACGAATCATGATTGAAGGTGGTGGTTACGCAATAGCGACGACGTGAAGGGGTCAAGTCCTGTGCGATAAAGTGTGAATTGTTGTTGAAACTCATGCCCTGCGGTTGCGTTGAACCCTGGGCCGGATAGTTGACAGGGAGGGTTGGGCAGGCTCAGGCGATAACGAGCGCGACACATCGTCACGAGCTGCAAATAGTGAGCTCACTGGACACTGAGTATGCTTACCAGCAGCCTTCATTTTACTGCGTGAGGATCGACCAGAGGACTCGGCCTTCCCAGCAGAAGTGGACCCGGTGCCACTGGATGCGGGAGGCTGAGCTGACGAACTGCCTTGACCACGACGACTACGCTTGAGGGGACGCAGCTCCTCGAGCTCTTCGTCAGCGGGAGCTGCCTGCACAGGTTGCCTACATCGGATTCGATCTCCGGATCACTAGACGTATCGGACGACTGTTCCTCTTTATGAGAGCGTCGCGCTGAGGAGCGCGCTGACTTGCGTGTCTCCTGCGCAGAGGCTGATGATGCGCCCTTCTTGCCCTTCTTGCCCTTCTTCACCTTACGCTTCGTTCTCTGTGGCAGTCAGCAGGCAGGCAGGGAGGCACACAAACCCGCGCCCTGTACTTCGTCTCGCCCTTGCGGCTGATGTTGTGACGCAGTTCCGGTTTGTCGCGACGGAACAGAGGGTGGGTGAAGCACAGAGAGCTGGGTGTCAGCATAGAGCGAAGGGTCTGGCTTCTCACTGGATACCGCCACGCTTGAAGCGGTGGAAACCCCACCTACAATCAGCAAAATCTCGAAGCCACGGCACGTACATGTGAAGTTGGCGCACAAAGCCGCTAACGTTGCGAGCATCAGTGATAGCCCTCATTGCTGTGCGGTGAGCTTGGGGTGACAGTAAATGGCACTACCTGCACTGCGTTCGAACTATTGTGAGCGAAATTCCCACACACTTCTTACCTGTCGCCTATCAGGGATCTCGCCACTGAGCCCGTCCTCTGCCCAGTAGATGTCATCCTCAAACTCGGGATTGTTGATGGCACTGGTCGAGTTAGTCACTTTGGCCGGCACATTAATACGTACTCCCACAGACCGTCTTTGAACGTCTTCTTGGTCGCAGTTGATGACGTCGAAGCGCGCTTGCGTGTGGGCGGCGCAGGGACAGGAGAAGAGGGAATATCATCCAGCTCGTCCTCACCTTCTCCATCGTCATCGTCGTTGGCGGCGGCGATGTACTCGTCGTCACTGATGACACTGCCAGGTCCCGGAACCAAACGCGTGCTGGTAGGGGTGCCTGGAGCACTCTCGTTCTCGGAGAGGTCTCTGTTGCGAGACTCACGGCTGGCGGGGGTGACAGGAGTGAGCGGCGGAGTGTCCAGTTCGTCTTCACCTTCAGCATCGAACGAAGCATCGCGCGAGAACGTCATAGCCGGACCTTGCTGCGACGCGTTCTGGCTCAACTCCATGAACGGGTCATCATCTCCCACCTCTAAGCCAAGAGCAGAGCCGCGAGGAGCGACGAGATCAGCCTCTGATAAGCCAAGGCTTTCCAGGTCGTACATCGCATGTGCATCACCAGGTGACACCTCGAATCCCGCCAGCGCCTGCTCGCCTTGAGCACGGAGCCAGGAACGGACGCGCCTGATGAGCTGGATGAGTAGAAGCGACTGGCGTTGGTGGGTCTTCTCGCACGGGCACGGATCGGGGTCTCGTACTCGCTGTCGCCGTCATCGCTGGCATCGCTGAGCAGCTGAGGTAAAGAGGGTGTGTAACCTTGATCAGGAGGGCTGTCAAAGGTGGTCGGGGCCGCGGGATAGGATGGGATCGTCGCGGGCTGGTGTTCTTGATTGTGTCCGGTAACCATGACCTCATCTGGGGCTATGGTGCTCGAGAAATCGGTTAAAGGGTGGTAGACGGGTAAGGACCACGGGAAGGTGAATGGGACATAGACAGGTGGAGATGGCAGACGTGGAGTGTCGTAACCCCACGGGTGATAACAGACTAGGGCGTCAGTGATCTGCGGAGTGTCTGTGGAGGGTCTGTGGGTCACACCGCCGCCAGCACCACCAACTGCGCCTACCTGCTGCTGCCTGTTGACGATAGGGGCTGTACATGTCAGAGTTCTCGTCTCCGCTGTAGCCAAACGGATCCTTAATCGCGTTCGCGGGGAATGGGGGATCTAAGTCCATGGTGACTGCCGGGGAGCTCGAGAAGGACGCAAGTTAGAAGAGATGGTGAGTGGAGGAGGGTGAGTAGATGTTGTAGTTGAGAAGAAAGAAAAGAGACGCGTCGCGATTGCAGAGCTGAGTAGACCGGTCACCTGAGAAGACAGCGCGCAGCGCGGTGATAGGGTTGTTGATCGAGGTGAGGGCGAGGGGCGGCTGGCTAGGTCTCTCGACGTCAGCGGCACTGCGCAGCACGCACAGAGCGGCGACGCTCCTGAAGCTATTTGCAGGATGTCTTGTTCGCTCGCCGGACCGTCCCCCGTGCTCCTCCGGCCGCATGCCGTAGCCCCAGGACATGTAAACAACGCGTAGTTCGTTGTGTGTGCTTGTCCCTGGATAGACGCATGGCCCTCTGAGTCAACCGGCCTCCGACGCACCGGCGAGCCGGGGTGCCCCTCGCCCTTGCTCGCAATAGCTTGGGACAGAGTCGTCGACCACACCCCACTAGTGACGCCTTGGAGCACTCGACTGCCCTAAGGAGGACGTCGGACAGATCTCGATCCCAGACGTCTGGACCCAGGCCACAGGCTCCCACTTGCGGCGTGTAATCTCACAAGACCCACCATCCCGCTTCGCAGTGGACATTGCCAGTGACGGGACCAGAGCCGTGAGACCTCTTCGCTCTGCTGGCCTGCTGGAACTGAGCAACGAGCTAACCACCGCGACCTCAAGCAACATGGCTAGAGCGGCTAGAGGTCCGTCGGCACACACATCGCCTGCGATGCGAGCTCACGGCAATCGTCGGTAGCGAGCGGAGGTTGTCACTTGGACGCTCGACGTACGCCCCCCTCCACGATCCTCGAGGTCCGCAGTAACCGTCGCATGTGCCGCAGTCCTCGAGCTCCCATCCGATGCGTTTGATCTCGCTCGCCCTGTCACCTGTTTATGAGTAGTCAGTCCGCTCATCGCAATCATTTCGCCCTTGCGCTGACCCTCGTCGATCGTCCTCCGTTGCTCGAGAAATGCTAGCTGCGTAAGGGAATCAATACATCGCCCGATGCCAAATCCATCGCCCATCCGAAGCGCTATAGCGCAATCTACTTCTTAGAGGCGGCGGCCTTGGCCTTGAGGACGCGCTTGACGATGGTAGCCTCCTCGATGAGGAAAGCGCGGGTGATGCGGCCCTTGACGCAAGTGGCACAGACGGATCCACCGTAGGCGCGGTTGACGGTCTTCTCACGCTTGGAGAGAGTGGCGTACTGGCGGGGGCGGAGAGTGGGGATACCGGCAAGAGCCTCACCGCAGTCACCGCACTTGGGGGCAGACTGTTCATGTTAGAACTTGGACTCTGGCACACGACACCTTGTGTCCTACTCACAGCAAGCTTCTTGATGTGGTGGACAACGAGCTTGCCACCGGGGGTCTTCACAACCCTCCTGCGGTTGGAGGTGGTGTTGTAGGGCGTGCGCTTGCGGATGGTGACACGCTGAGCCATTCTGTCAAAGTCAGCAACTTGGTTCCGGTGGTGTGTCGAAATTTGCGTGCAATCGACATATGCCGAACCGAGCGTCGAGAATCGAGCGAGAACCTTCAGAACCACCGACAGAGCACGTCTGCGACGTCCACGAGCCTGCCCTCCCCATGCCGACGGTCGCTCCAACACCCAGCACGACACATCGACCTAAATAGACAGAGTCTCCCCGTGCCAAAACTTTCGATATCCCGTCACAACGTCATTCCTCCACTGCACCGCCGTTCCTCCTGATCCAACATTCGTTCAACTTGTCGTCGGGGTCGATAGTGTCGGTGCTCTCGGTTCTCGTGTCGTCTCGATCTCGGTGTCGTCGTCGATGGCGGTGCCTCAAAACTCACTTGAGGGGATTGGTCTTGACGGTTGAGTGTACGCCTCGAGCTTCAACTCAGCGATACCAAGCTGGCCCGCCAGACTCAGAATTCAGGGCGGCATTCACCGACGAAACGCCGCCCAGCTGGGACGCACCTGGACGGATGTGGCAGTCCCGAAAAGCAGCCGTCGGCGATTACCGTGTCGCCGATGCATACGGCGTGTGGCCTCGTGCAGTCCACTAGCTCATGCATACATGGATTCCTCAGGACATGCAGAGTTCATGGGTGCTGTGAGCGCAGGCAGCGAGTTCTCTACTTGTCATCTCCCTGCTCTCACTTCACATTATGCGGCGCTTCGGTCTGCTCTCTCCATTGCTTCTGATCCAAAGAGACGGCTGTCCCATCCAGCCCTGTCATCTCGAACGCGCGTGCCAGTATACAAACGAGGCCGAGGCCGCCACGATTTGCTCTTCTGCATCTTTATCTTCTGCTGGCTGCACCATCGTCCGGCTACTGCTAACCCTTGAGTATGACTTCTGAAGAGAGTTCGTGGGATCAGTCGCTGTTCTATTGCCCGTCCCCAAGCATGACACGTTTTGTTGTCGGAGGCCAGCGTGAATGCATTCTGGGGGTACAATGCTGACTTCGTGACCAGTCTTCCAGTGTGTGGAGACCCCACTGATGCTTCCGTACCTTCGCGAAGTCGATGACGAGAAGTCGGTGGAGGTCGACCACCAACACCCTGCAACTTGACTTACCGCCATGGCCGCCATTCGCCCTTCGCTCCGGCCGCGAGCTCTCCTCCGCCGGCCGGCATCGCTGCTAAGGCGGTACGAACACTCCACTCCCGATGTGACGATCGAGCGTGGTGGGCCAGTGAACGTTGACCGACTCTGTCAAGTATCTCGCGACTTCCGAAGTTCGTCAACCTTATCAACCGGATAAACCAGACTGACCATCAGGTGATACCTTCACGATTCCGACAGATGCTCAGATCGAGTCAGCTTTCCTTGCGACTCGCGGAGACGACGTGTACGGCGAGGACCCGACGACGATCGAGTTGGAGACACGCCTGGCGCGGCTGACGGGGAAGGAGGCCGCACTGTTCTGCTCCTCAGGAACAATGACGAACCAGCTCGGCATCCGTGCCCACCTCCAGGGTCCGCCGCATAGCATCATCTGCGACCACAGAGCCCACATTCATCTCTGGGAAGCGGGAGGTATTGCGCTCTTCAACCAGGCTACAACACATGCGCTCGTTCCGAAGGGGAAGTTTCTGACGGCGAAGGAGGTGGAGAAGAATCTGCACCTCGGCAATGACCACCACATTGCCCCCACACGCCTGATTTGCCTCGAGAACACCATGAACGGGGTGATCTACCCTCAGGAAGAGGTCGTCAGGATTGGCGAGGCGGCGAGGAAGCACAACATTCCGATGCACCTCGATGGAGCGAGGATATGGAACGTCGCGGCTGATGAGGTCGAGGCGCAGCACCTGGACTCATCCAAGGAGGAAGACATTCAGGCCGTTATGAGCAACCTTCTGGAGCCATTTGACACGGCAAGCATCTGTCTGTCCAAGGGTATCGGCGCACCCATCGGGTCGTGAGTGCCAGCTTTTTTCCGTTCGGTGAAGCTGACTGTCCAGGGTGCTCGTTGGACCACAAGCTCTGGTTGACCGCGCTCGCTGGTTCCGAAAAGCCTTTGGAGGAGGCTGGCGCCAGTCTGGTGTTCTCGCCGGCATGGCGGACTATGCTATCACGAACCACTTCCCGAGACTAGCGCGGACACACATTCTCGCTCAGCGTCTGGCAGTCGGTCTCCAGCGTCATGGATTGCGGATACTGGCTCCCGTTGACACCAACATGGTCTTCTTCGGTGGTCTGGATAGCCAGCTCGTCATCGACGCCCTGGCGGCACTGGCGAGCCCTATCTTGCTGGACTCGAACCGCTGCGTCATCCACCACCAGACTGACGCCGAGGCTATAGACGAGTTTGTCTCGGTCGTAGAACAGCTCGTCGCCGAGCACGGTGTGAGCGAGCCCACGGAAGACGAGATGCTGGGTTACTAGACTGCTTGGTTATGCACTGCGTCACTCACCCGGCTTCGTGAGCCGGCGTCTACCGCCGTGCAGGGACCTCCCCTAATCTCGCGATCTCGGCTAGTGGCTGATCCAAAATTTACGAGAGCATTCATTGCAGCACATCGGCGACGTCCTGCACATCTCGTCGGCATGCGGACACATGCATGTGCCCACCCTCGTGTACGCAGAGTAGATCTGTTGCGGCGATAGTCACGCATAAGCCGAAGTACCGGGGTAACTGGGGAAGATAACTGAGCGTGCGGGATAGAGTAATCATGTGCGGCGTAGTTATGCGGAGGTATAGGCCCTACCTTATTGGGCCCGGGGTGGGACTGTGCCGGCGGACTTGAGTCGATTTATTGTTTCGGGTTAACTAGTCTCCACCAGGCGCCTTTCTCATTTCTCGGCCTCGCTAACAGCACTTTCTCTTTCACAACTTCACTCTTACACCACCAAAAGCAGGACACACCTCTGCACAATGCCCGTCTCTACCCAGTCTCCCGACCGCCAGCGCCCCCTTGACGACGACAAGGTTACCGGCGTGAGTACATTGCAGCAGCTCGAAAAGTTACCCGGGTTTTTCGGCCGCCGTCGAGATCGATTGCCATGAGCTTTGCTGACGACCAGTACGACCCTCTCATCCCCCCTGCCCTCCTCCGTCACGACCTCCCCGTCCCGGCTACCGCTGCCAAGACCATCTCGGCTGCGCGAAGGACTGTCCGCTCCATTGTCCGCGGCACCGACCCTCTTGACCGCCTTCTCGTCGTCGTCGGCCCTTGCTCGATCCACGATGTCGACCAGGCCAAGGAGTACGCTACCAAGCTCCGCCAGTGCGTCCAGGAGGGCCGCTGGGGCGGCCTCGAGGTTGTCATGCGTGTCTACTTTGAGAAGCCCCGTACCACTGTCGGCTGGAAGGGTCTGATCAACGACCCCGACATCGACAACTCGTTCCAGATCAACAAGGGTCTCCGCATCGCCCGTGAGCTCCTCTGCGACATCAACGCCATGGGAATGCCCGTCGGATGCGAGCTCCTCGACACCATCTCCCCCCAGTTCATTGCCGACCTCATCACCTGGGGTGCCATCGGTGCGCGAACAACCGAGTCGCAGCTCCACCGTGAGCTCGCCTCTGGAGCTTCGTTCCCCATCGGTTTCAAGAACGGAACCGATGGCTCTGTTGGCGTCGCTATCGACGCTATGCAGTCTGCCGCGCACCCCCACAACTTCATGGGTATCAACTCGCAGGGAATGGCCTCGATTGTCAAGACCTCGGGCAACCGCGACTGCCACGTTATCCTTCGCGGCGGCTCGAAGGGTCCCAACTTCAAGAAGGAGGATGTCCAGGCCGCTCTCGGCGTTATGAAGAAGAAGAACCCCGAGGACTTTGCGTCGATCATGGTCGACTGCTCGCACGGCAACTCGAACAAGAACCATCGCAACCAGCCCCTCGTCGCCGAGGACGTCGCCAAGCAGATTGCCGAGGGTGAGCTCTCGATCACTGGTATCATGATCGAGTCCAACCTCCGCGAGGGCAACCAGAAGTCGGACAAGGGACGTGACGCTCTCGAGTACGGTGTCTCGATCACCGACGCCTGCATTGACTGGGAGACCACGGTTCAGACCCTCGACGTCCTCAACAAGGCCTCGCTCACCCGCCGCGAGCTCCTCGCCGCCCAGCACGCCGCCTCGGACGCCAACCCCGCCGTCCAGCGTGTCAAGGACCAGCAGTAAAATGTTAGACATAGTATCTTTATGCATCTAGGACCAGATTGTAGTCACCCTGTATCTTCTGTGTGTGTTGCGAGCTACGTTATCACTGACTTAATGAGCCTACCCCGCGTTAGATTTGCTTCGCACCCCTCTGCCGGCGGCAGCGGCTAACCCACCAGCCAAGTTTTCAGTGACGATCGCATCCGCAGGAACAGCTTCAGACCGCGAGTGGCAAATTTGGTTCCGCAACGAGTCCGGCCGTGCCTGGGCAGAAATATTCAGACCTGCACCGAGCTCGTGGTCCACCAACTGCTCCGGCGCATCCAGGCTGCCCCTTCCTTGTTTGCTTCTGCTTTGGTTCCTCGACACACACATCATCAACCATGGCAGCCACCGCTACCGAGACTGCGCCGACGCCGAGTGTCTCCCGGGATCCGGCCCTTGTGTCGGCCCTCGCCGCGCGCAACGACACCTTCACGACGCTCCTCTCCCTCATCCCGCAGCAGTATTACGTCCAGCCGACGCAGGAGGAGGCCGACTCGCGATGGATGAAGAACAAGAAGAGGAAGACCGGGGAAGAGATCAAGGAGCACAAGCGCAAGGTTAAGCAGGAGAAGGTGCGTGCTCGCCCGATGAAGCACTTGAACGGTGTTCAGCTGTTTTGGCATTGCGTGATAATAAGCTGACCTCAGCTCGACCCGGACAACCTGCCCGGCGCTGCCATTGAGACCGAGACCGAGGAGGCTGTTGTCGCTGAGCTCCCGCCAGCTCTCCCGGCTTACAGCGCTCTTCCCCCCGCCGCGTCGATCTCGGACCTGCGCTCTCGTATGCGCTCCAAGCTCGAGTCGTTCCAGAAGAACCGCAACTTTGACCCGAATTCGCGTGATGCACTCGAGGCCGCGCGGCGGCAGAAGCGTGGCGAGATGCGCGACAAGCGGCGCAAGGAGCGGAAGGAGGAGCGGCGCAAGGCGCGCGAGGAGGTGACGGCGAAGCCGGCGAAGAACCAGCTCCTTGTCCCGCAGCTGCCGCGCGAGACAGGCGAGGACATTACGCTTCCCGCCGTCGCGCTCCCGAGTGCGGCCAAGGGCAAGGCGCCGCTGAAGAAGCTGTCGAACGCGGCTCAGGCGCTCGCGCACCTCGAGAAGCACAATGCCAAGCTCGCCGCCCTCCCCGAGGAGAAGCGGAAGGAGGCCGAGCAGCGCGAGCTCTGGGCCAAGGCCGAGGAGCGCGCGCGCGGAGGCAAGGTCGCCGACGAGGCGACCGTGCTCAAGAAGGCGGTCAAGCGCGAGGAGAAGCGCAAGCTCAAGTCCGGCCAGGCGTGGGCCGAGCGCAAGCGCGAGCTCGAGGCGAGCCAGCAGGCAAGCATCAAGAAGAGGAACGACAACATTGCCGCCCGTCTCCAGGCACGCCGCGACAAGAAGTCGGGCAAGAGCGCAAAGGACAAGGCCGCCGCCAAGAAGGGCAAGGGCCGTCCCGGCTTTGAGGGCAAGAAGAAGCGCGCCTAGGCGCAGCCGCGCCGAGCCGGAGGCGAGGCGGGGCGAAAGCTGGAGATCCACAGCCCCGCGACGAAAGGATCTATGCAATTCATAAAGGTGTATGTAGGTCTAATTAGAGCACTATGTATGTTTATTGCCCGTACCCAGCCGCGCCCGCGCCGCGGTAGTACTGCTGCTGCTGCTGCTGTTGTCCATGCTGTCCTCCCTGTGGTCGTCCAGGCTGCTGAGACTGGGGGCCAGGCGGTCCGCCGGGGACGCCATAGCTGCCCCCACCGATGCCTCCGCCGAGGGCACCGGGGCCAGTGTAGGGGTATGTGTTCTTGCCGGCTGCAGGCGCAGAGGGGTAGCCGTACAGCTGCTGGCCGGTGTAGGGTGGCCGGGCGTAGTATCCCGCCTGCTGCTGCTGGTGCTGCTGGGACACGTGCTGGTAACCCGGCTGCTGTTGGAAGCCAGTGTACTGCTGGTACGGGTATCCCTGCGGCGAGGGGGAGCCGTAGGGCGAGCCGATTGCGCCGACATTGGGCACGCCAGCGCCGCCCATAGCACCGACAGCGCCGATGTACCCCCGTCCAGCGTCGTAGCCGCCCGGTCCAGTGGGGAAGCCATACGACCCCTGGCTAGCGGTGGACGAGTACGACGACGAGCGCGAGAACTCGGGCGCTCCACCAGGTGTACTCCGGGAGTACTCGCCCATGTTGCGGCTGTACTCATTCGGTGTGTTCCTGCTGTACTCGTTCGTACTCCTGTTGTACTCGTTCGTACTCCTATTGTACTCGTTCGGCCCCGTGTTCCGGTTGTACTCGCTCGGTCCGCGGTTGAACGCCTCGTCCCGCCTCACGCCGTGACCGCTGTTACTCCGCGCGAACTCCTTGCGCTTCTCCTCCTCGGCTGCCTGGGCTTGCGCCTGCTGCTGGCCCTGGTTGAATCCAGCGCCAGAGGGGCCGCGCGGCTGCCGCAGCACGCCGGGCGACATGCCGCCTCGGAGCACGGGGGCCGGCCCACCGGGTCCTGTTCGCGCACCTCGGGGACCCGTACCGCCCATGGAGAGCGAAGCGAGGTCGCGGCTCAGATCATCCGGCGACGCCCGCCCAGACCGCGGCGTAGCGTTTCCCCGTCTCCGCCCTGTGACGCTCGACTCGCGGCTCTGGTCGCGGCTGTACTCGCCCCGGCTGGTGTCGCGGTATTGCCCTTGTTGACCACCCTGTAATCCTCCAGCCTGCGGCGGTGCGCTCGTCGTATCTCTTTGTCCTGAAGCCTGCTGCAGTCCCTGCGAGATCGGGGCCGCCGGTGTCGACTGAGATGTCGGAACAGAGTGCGCGGCCTGCGATGGCGCGCTCTGCGATCCCGTCGGCGACGACGTGCCGGACCCCGAGGCGCCAGACTCGCCAAAGATCCGCTCCCGGGCTAAACGGTACTCCTCCTCGCGCTGGGTGAGCGACTTCTGCGGCCGGTTCTGCGGCGTCGTACTCCGCGACTTGGGGGCATCGCTTGGCCGCTTCAGGATCTGCATGCGCGGCGGCGGGCCGGCGGCCGCGGGCGCGATGACGCCCACACTCGGCGCGGAGCGGTTGCTGCATGTCAGCTATGTCTGCGCCGGCCTGACCAGCTGCGTCCTCTCTCCGCTTCCCACCAACTCCTCGTCTCTGGAACAAAGACAGGGCAAGGGTTATGGGAAGAGTCACTGGCAAGCAATAAGTGGGCGCACTCACGCTGTATCCCAGAGCTGGCGGTTATTCTGCTGCGGGCCGCGGAACCAGTCGTCGTCGCCTTCTCCCTCCTTCCCAGCGGCCCCAGCGCCAAGAGCAGGGAACGCCGAGTCGTATCTCGGGTTCTGGTTTTGCTCCGTCGATGTCGCTGCCGGAGTCTGCTGGGCTGGGGGTCGGGCGAGGATGCGAGGCTTCGCCTGAGCCAGTTGCGGCTGTGACGGCTGCGATATCGGCTCGGTGTCGTTCTGTCTGTTAGCTGTGGGATGCACCCGAAGCTTACCTCCCAGTCGTCGGCCATTGTGTTGCTTGCGCGCAAGAGATGCGGGTTCCACAAAGGCGTCAACAATGTTGGGCCCTCCCTTGGCATTGGGATTTGGAGTTGGGTGAGGGGCAGGCCGATCCACGCCAACTTCTGATCCCGCTCAGGCACAGCACGCCCATGCCTGGCGCCAGCTTAGGCTGGTCCGATCACGTTCATGGACGCACAGCAACAGAGACACAACAGAACAGCACAAAGGATACATGCATGTTATAGCCATGAGGGCCCGGTAGGGATTAGTCGATACAAGGGACTTCGGTCCCGCAGTCCACGGAAGGAGAAATCTAAGCAGAGTCTGGAGTCTAGTGGTAGTGTCTAGCAGATAAGGGCAAGCGCACCCGCGCCCAACATCAGGCTGAGAGCGGGGATGACGGAGGCAGCTGCGCTCGTCGCGAGCGCAGTAGTACCAATTCTGTACTGGTCAGCTCAGGATGGAAGACATTCAGCTTACGGTGACTCGACGATCTTGACGGTGAGCACGGCAACGAGCCCATCAATCGCAGGAAATCCGTCAACGGGAACCGAGCCCCAGTGGTTGACGTTGTCCGACGAGTTCTTGAGCAGGCCAGAGACGTACTTGACCTCCGTCTCGTACGTGTAGTTGTTGAACGAGGAGCGGCCCGTGAACACGGTCTCGTTGGTAACGCTGCGCGTGTTGAACTCGTGCTTCGTGACATTACCGACGAGCTGGTCGCGGCCAATATTGTACCCGTTCGGAATGATGTCGTGCGCCTTGTCGAGCGGCAGCTCCGAGCTCACCGCCATAAAGTACGCCCCCGTACTTCGCTGCCGCCAGTAGCGCAGGTGCAGGCCGCCATTGAACGTCTCCTTGCACGATCCGATGTACTGGTCGCCGTACATCCAGCGCAGGACTGCGAACTCGTCCACGCCGTCGGGGCCGTCCAGCGCCGCCTTCTGCTTCGCGCCGAAGTGCATCCCGAGGCACTCGGCCGCCAGCTCGGTCGACCTGTCGTTAGCTCGCCGTCGACAGTTCCTAGCTGGTAGGAAGTGTAACGCACAGCATGTAGTTCCGGAACCCGCCCAGATCCTCGGAATCGACAAGCACGGCCGGGTCAGAGTCTGCCGACAGGATTGCATTCAGCGGTTCGCCCTCGTGCGTCCCGTTGATTATCTGGCGTCAGCAAAGTCGACTCAGCTGCTGGAAATTGGCGTGATGATGCCAGGCTGGCTGCCCTGCATGTCACATGTCCATTTGGTCGGCAGGGGAGGAATTTAGTTTTGGGTTCTTGGGACCTGGGTTCGTCCACGATAGCTTGGCAGCGTGCTGCGCGTTCTGATGCGCAGTTGGCGACAATGGACGCGTGGCAGCAAACGAGGAGAGGAGACTCACCGTTAGCATGCGCCCGCCCTTGTCAGCGGGGTCCTCGTAGGGCTTGCCGTTGCCCTTGTACTCGTCGTCGCGCCTCTGGAGCGCCAGGGCAGGCACGCCGAACGCGACCGCCAGGAGTGCCGGTAACCGCATGTTGGTGCTGTCGTTGGGGGGTTAACAGAGAAAAGGAGAGGTCGCTCGACGGGGGGTTGTCGATCACGCTTGATAAGAAGTGTCAAGCAAGGAGCAGGGGGTGCAAGGGATCAGTGGTGGCTTAGCGATAAGGGGTCGGTCTGGGTCGGTGTCGAATTTGCGTCGAGACCGAATGCGGTGCGTTTGTCGCGCGCGGAGCGTCTATCCGTCAATAGCGAAGAGCTGTGCAGAGATGAATGGCAAAGAGCGTGGAGCAGAGAACGAGGGTGGGGCTGCAGCTATCAATGTGCTAGGGTATATATTGATGCGGTGAAAAGATAGTTGCGTAACGATGGCCATGGTTGTCCGATCACCGCTCGCCGCTAGTCCAAAAGCTCCCCGGTCCCCGCAGCGCGACGTCCGCACCCCGCGCACCGGCACCCTGGCCTCAACTGCACCCTGGATGACGACCAGTGTGGCGTGGCACACATCACCCCGCCGTCGTCGCCCGTCACCACTGTCACACACAATTAGTCCATTGCTTGCGTCTTCACCGAGCCTTGCATGCGTGCACAACCCCAGTACTTGCTCACGCCTCACGCCGTGGAATTCGTTACGTTTCTTAGCATATGCTTACAACCGATGATACGGTACGTGTTACAAATATGGACACCCTGTTACCCAATCGAGTCCCGATGCTTTGCTTAAACTTTAGGTTCTAAATTTGGAGAGGCCCTTCAGGCGTTGACGAGACGGCGCCAGAGCTCGTCCGAGACGCGCTTGCGCTCGACGCTCGCGCCTCCCTCGCCAGCCATGACTGCCTTGTTCTCAATAGCGCGGCGCGCGAGGAAGGGCAGGACCTCGTCCAGCTTGCCGTACGCGATGTACTTGAGGGCGACGGGGACGGCGCCCGAGTCGAAGGTCTGGACGACGCCGTCGGTGATGTCGTCGCGCATGCCGAAGAGCTGGGCGACGAAGAGCTTACCGCGCACGTCGTCGCGCAGCCTCAAGCGGCCAGTGTACTCTGTCTCGGCGCTCGGCTCGGCGAGCCCAGCCCGCTTCAGCTCCTCCGTAACGTGCGCGACAGATTCGGGGTTGTGCGTCGCGAACACGACCGAGAGAGCCAGATCAGGCCGCGGTCCTGAGAGCTGGCGCTGCAGCGTCGAGACAATCTTCGAGACAGACTGGTTGTACGCCGCGTCCGTCGCGGGCTTGTCGGGCCAGATCGGGTCCGCGCCCGTGCGTCCGTCCTTGAGCCAGCGCTTGCGCTCCTTGACAAAGTACGCTCCGCGGACGATCTTGATGCCGAGCGCGTAGCCATTCTCCTCGGCGTGCTTCAGCGCACTGTCGAGCAGGTGGGGTGCGCGGCGCAGGTAGCTCTGGTACGTGCCGAAGATGATGGGGCCGTGGTACGGCTTGCCCGGCCGGGGGCGGTTGTACTCCATCGACAGGAGCTGCGTGAGCGCGTCCATGGCCGGCTGAGTTGCGGCGTACTCGGCGTCAATCATGAGGCGCACGTTGCTGTCGGCGGCCAGGTCGGAGAGGCGGCGCATCTTCTCCCAGAACACTTTGAGCTCGGCGAGGTCAGAGTCGCTGACGTCCGGGTCAGAGGCGAGGATACCCGTCGGCTCGATCGCGCCCGAGACGGAGGGAATCATGGCGCGGCTGGAGGTAGTGTCGGAAGGCGCAATGACAACGGCGTCGCACACCTGCGGAACACCGGGGTAGGGGGCGTCGGTGAGCGACTTGTCGCCAGCGAGCGGGCGCATGCGGACAAGCGTGTTCGAGGCGCGCTCAAGGATGTCAATGTCGATCAGACCCGAGAGCTTGATGGCGTACGAGGCCGAGCCCTGGGCTGCCGGCGGGAGGGACGCTTCGTGCCGTCCGAGGGCCTCGATGGCGTGGTAAGACTCCTGGTAGTTGGCATCCTCGGCAGCGCGGTGCGAGTCGCCGTGCTTGCCATCGTCGTGCTCCGCCTCGGCAGAGTAGTTGAGGACACCACCGATACCGCGTGCGCCGAGCTCGTTCACACTGCGGATGCATTCGGGAATGTCCTCGCCGGCGACGAACTGGTCGAAGAACGTGCGGCGGATGATCACCTCGGTCACTTGCTTCACGCCGGGAATGGGCGACTTGGTGCAGACGTCGAGGAGCTTGGGGGAAATGTCGATGAGGGTCGGGAAGCCACAAAGCGTGTACACGAGGTAAGCGCGCACGAGGGCCGAGGCGGGAACGCCGGAAATGCCACTGAGCCCGCCTGACGTAGGCTCCTCAGCCTTGGCGCGAGAGCGGAGCGTCATGACGGCGCCGGTCGCGACGACGAGGGGCACAGCAGCGTATCGTCCGAAACGCCATCGCTGGTGCTGGTTGTTGCCATGCTGGTGGTGGCCCTGGTGGTGGGAGCCGGAGGAGGCCGAGGGAGCCGGTGCGGCACTGGTGACTGGCCGGGCCTTGATGGGCTTGGTTGCCTTGAGCGGCTGGACACGGCCTCCGAAAGAACGCGAGAAGAGTCGGAGTGGAGATCGAGAGAGCATGAGGTCGTGAGTCACGGGGGACTCTGTGCATTGCGTTCCAGAGGTTGCATTATGTATGCGAGTGCGCGGTAGGAGGGATGCAAGCGACACACACAGCATGGAACTCTTGATCCGTCGCCACTATGCCGCTGAGCGCTTAGCTGGGGGAGGGCTGGGGCGCTAAGCTTATCTAGTGTGGATGGATTAGGATCTGATTAGTCGCGGTTAGAGGGGAGGTTCCGGCCGGATTAGAAGTGATTAGAGAATTGTCGCCAAGCACTTGTGACATGACCAGGGACCGAGACAGTCAGGTGGTCATGAGCCAGCCGCGTAGAGTGGTGCGGGCCCGCAGAACGTCGGCGCCTGGCTCAGGCAGAGTGACCGCACTTCGCCGACAGGTACGACAGGTCGAGACCCCCTCCACACCCTCCTCGCACCCCTCTGCGCCGTACCGCCCGAGCCATTGCGAGGCAACACCGTCACGAGACTGGTCCACTCCACAAACACCCACCGGGGCCCTTCGGCACACTCTGTCATCGACATCATACCCAATAATACCCCGATCTTGGCACCGGGTGTCACCGACAGCGAATCACTAGCCACTCACTCGCCGAATCTCACAGAAATCTCACTTGCCGCGATACAACACACCCCTCCACAGATCTGACGTATCACGCCCCGCTCCCACAAAGTGGTCCCAACTACGGCCACCACGAGGACGTCGCTAAGCAGGAGGCGTATGCCTGTGGTCACTGCGTCGGGATAATCGTCGGATGAGTCGCCGGCAGTGGAGCCCTCATTGTGTGCCAGCCGCCAGCCATGTGATGACAATAGCAAGCTAGTCCCACAACCACTGGGGCACTCAACTGTAAAGCCGTGTCCCCCGCCGATCGTGGAGCTGCCCTGGATATCACCAGTTCGTTGTTGCATGCCTCGTCGATTCCGGGAGAAACGCCTAATCTTCGGATGGAACTACCTTCACTCACCGAAATGTGCCAGCCGCCCACTGCCGCGCTCCTCTCGCCACTCATCGCAGAAGGCCGATGTGCCGATCACGTGACTGCTCCACATTCCCAATGTCTGTGCCGAAGATCGCCAGGTGTGTCAACAAAACCCTCCACCACACTCCACCTCGTCTTGCCTCCGACACCTTCATGCCCATCGACGATCGCGCCGGGCGCTCGTCAGAGTCTTCCGATCCGGAACGGCTGAATACCCACGATGAGGCTCCTTATCTCGCTCCGGACGCGCCTCCGCCGGCCGAGAAGCCCACCTTCCTCCGCCAGACGGCACACTACGCCGGCCTGGTCCTCGCGGCAATGATCGGCACGCTTATCAGGCTCGGTGTGGACGCACTTATGGAATGTGAGCCGGCCTATCTGCCCACTTCAGCTAACGACAGATGACGGTAAGGTCATTTTCCCGCTCGCGTGGGTGCAGGGCGTCGGGTGTGGAATCATGGGTCTCGGCAATGCGAGGAAGAATCAAATAAACTGGATGTGAGCTAACCGGAGCTCACACTCAGCTGACAGACAGCTACCCACCACTGGCGACCTTCATCACTACAGGTTAGCCGCGAGACATGCGGTGGTTAGCTAACTCCAGGCATTGCTGGCTCCGTGACGACGTTCTCATCCTGGATGCTGGAGGGGTATGAGGCGTTCGCCAACTATAACAACTACCCGCGCGGCGGGCTGTACGACACGATCGACGGACTTGCGTACTCCTTTGCGACCTTTGCGATCAGCATGGCGTGCATCAGCCTCGGCGAGTTTGTTTCGGCATGTCTTCCTCGCCTTCCTCGGCCCCGGCGGCGGGTGCGGAAAGCGGCCCATTCCAAGCGATCTGAGGGTTCGGGCGGCGACACGGCCCCGATGGCCGATGTCTCCTTCATCGCTCTTGCTTGCGTAACGTACGCGATGGCGCTCGTCGTGTACTTCTGTGCCCCGAAACCATGGCGGCATCGCGCCGTGTTCCCACTGTTGCTAGCGCCGCCAGGGGCGATGCTGCGCTATGCGCTGTCGAAACTGAATGCACGGCCCGGATTCGAGAACCGATTCCCGATCGGCACGTTCATCGCCAACATTGCCGCGACGCTCATCATCGGCGGGGTATTTGCAGCGCAGCGCCGGCCCGGCGTAGGTGTCGTGAGGTGCGACGCGCTCTACGCGCTCCAGCAGGGGTTCTGCGGCTGCCTCTCGACCGTGTCGACATTTGCCGTTGAAGCGCGGTCGATCAAGGGCAAACGCTGGAAACTCCTGTACGTCCTCGGCAGCGTTATCCTCGGCCACGTCTTGATTCTGGGAGTCGTCGGAGGCGTGGGCTGGACGCAGGGCTATGTGCCCGTCTGTTTTGGCTCGGACTAATGTCGCTCCACTCTCTCATATTTGTATGCATGTACTCCCACCCGACACGGAAACCAACGCGCTGATCTCATCGCCGTCTGCCCCATTATCTGCTCCAGTCGTCCCACTCTCGGTCTCCAAATATCGGGAACCTGGCGATATACGCTTGGGGATCACGGCAGCTGCGTATAGACGTTGCTGGTAGCACCGGCCGAGATAGGAGTGTAGTAGCCGCGGCAGCGCGGTCAGTGTGCGGTAGTAGCCGCTAGCCGCCGGCAAGTCCAAGCTCGGCCATCAGCACCAAAGCGCTGTTGTGGAGTCTCCACAAGTTGGGAGAGCTCGACGAACAAAAAGTCTTGAGCTATAAAGAGTCCGTCGGCCGTGACTGGGCATGGAATGTGACATGGAAGACCACAGCGTTGAGGTGTGCGAGGCTCGAGCGTCTCATATTAATGGGTGTCCCGATCGCCCCTAAGCTGTGTCGCGAGTTGTCCGCGATCGCGCTACGCCGCCCACGGAGCGATACAGTTATGTCTCGGGGAGCATCTTCGATGTCTTCGCAGCCTTCAAGTCAGAGCAAGAGGTCGAGACGACTCTCTCACGTGCGACGAGCAGCGCGACACTCCCGTTATTCAAGTGCAACTTTCCTCTCCGCCTCGCCGCCTCGCCGCCTCGGCGAACTCACGATTCCCACGAAATGAACACCGAAGGCATGCCATGGCGCACCCTTGACCGCCTGTACGCTCTCGACGGTCTTGAACACCGAGACACCGAGGAAGAACTAGTCATTCTTGCTTCGTGATACACCGCCAGGCGCGATCATGTGGACAACAACAATAGGGGAAATGCCTCACCGACCGCCGAGCAGGGACCGAGCATTGGCCAATCAGCAAGCGAGGAATTCACAGCAACTAACCAGGTCGTGTGCTTCTTGCGTCTCTCGACCGTCTCGTGGCTGGGGCGTATATCCACTCCTCTATGCCTTCTGCAGATTCTACAGTCTGTGCACTCCGCTGGAAACTCTCTGCACTCGTGTACGTTCCTTAAGCAGACCCAAAGATCCCGCGATACGGTCGACACGGCCATTTTGCGTCATCTTGCTCATGCATCCTGTCCGCTTTCGTTATTCGCCACGTGCCGTCTCTATGACGAATGACCGGGAAAAGCGAATGGAAAAGTAGGGTTGGCCGATTAGGTTTCTGGGTTAATTTTGGGAAGAGCAGGGGATTGGGGGTGCCAAGAAATAAGCAGAACTGTAATGACGGCAGAACCGCCGGGGATGGCTCGGGTTGAGGCTCTGTTGAGGGGGACGATGACGAGCTCGAGGCTTGGGATGAGCAGAGAGGAAGAGGGACAGTGCATGCGGATCTGTCAGCTGTGTGGGATGTGGCGCTGGGGGATGCATCGACAATGTGTCGGCATGTGAGTCGGAGTGTGGTGGTCGTATGCACAGAGATCCCATCGAGGCCAAGAAGGAGATGCGTGACACTGGTGTCTAGTATTTCGAGCGTGAGCAGCAGCAACTTCTTTGACGGAGTTCAGACAGCCGTTGGGCGAGAATGAGGGAGGCCTGACTCATCACGGAAGTATATCCGGATTATGTAAACGTCATCCTTTGCTCTCATTCCGTGGGCCCACGGCCTGTGGGCCGCCAGCTGTAAGCCAGTCGCTTTTCAGTGCGGGCCGCCGGACACTGTGTGCCTGGCCGTGGGACACTCTGCGCTGAGCTGAGCAGAGCACTGGCTCGGCCTCGGGGTAGACCGGCCAGCACCCCTTCTCTCTCACCTGACACCGCCGCCGCCTCTTCTGCCGTCGGTTGATTACTACAACGGCCATCCTTTGTCTAGCCACCTGATATGACAAACCACTAGTCCTTGTCTCTGGCCTCTTTCCCCACACCATACACTCTTACTGCACACTTCGACTTTGACACATCTCACACTCCATCTTCACTCGCACCATCTACCTTCGACACACATCACCACTCTACACAACCAACCGACACCCCGCACACCCAGACCCAGACCCAGATCCACCGACCGGCGTTGCCGCGGGAGCATTATCCGATAATCAGCACTCCTTCCTTCCCCCTCAACCCCCCTTTTACCCCGCGCCTCCGTACCCCCCTCACTCCGTCACTTTCGCCGTCTCTTGGCTCAACTCAGAGCCTCGCGCCGCTGTATCCCTCCGCCTTGGCCGATTCCTGGGCGATATACAAGCGTGCATTAACCACTTCCATTTGACCACCGACCCATCCCCGAGCACTGAACCACGCCGCCATGTCACAAGACAAGCGCTGCCTCAAGATCGACGTTACGGTGAGTTCACAAAGGGCGGCTCAGCGCAGCAAGCGCCCATGAGCCGAAGGAGCCATGACCGGTCGGCCGCGCTGTTATCAATCGTGAGCACCGCGTGCTGACTCTCCCAGTCGGACATTCTGTGCCCCTTCTGCCTGCTCGGCATGAAGCAGCTCGAGCTCGCGATCGACAAGTACAGGCAGAAGGACCCGACGCTCTGCATCGAGATCCACATGCACCCGTTCCAGCTGAACGGGCTCATCACCGAGACGCCGATCAAGCGACAAGACTTTGGCGAGCGCAAGTTCGGCAAGGCGCGGTGGGACGCCATCAACGCCTCGCTCGTGGACAAGTTTAAGTCTGTCGGCATCGACTTCCAGACCGACAGCTACATGAGCAGCTCGCACCTGGCCCACCGCCTCGCGGCGCTGTGCGCGGACAAGAAGCCCGAGGAGGAGGTCTCCCTCGCGATGGACTTTTACGACATGCATCACGTCCAGGGCATCCACTGCAGCGACAAGGAGGCCCTCGCGCGTATCGCCGTCAAGCACGGCCTGTTCAACACGGAGCAGGAGGCGGTCAACTGGCTCAACAGCTCCGAGTACGACCTCCAGGTCAAGAAGTGTTACCAGAAGGCGCAGCAGAATGGCATCACTGGTGTGCCCTTCTTTGTCTTCCAGGACAAGTATGCGGCATCGGGCGCTATGGGCGTGGACGAGTTTGTCCAGGTGAGTCTGAGCCACAGCCGCGCCAGCCAGCGGCTGGAGCGTCGATCGAGCGGCTCTCAACATCTGTCCGGCAGAAGGTATTCGATCCGTCCGCGCCAACAGGTCCCACGAGAGTGGCTCTCGCCGGCCCTCCACAGCTGCCCCAAGTTGCGCCAAGCTGACCCTCCAGATTCTCTCCGAAGTCTCGCGCCGCGAAAAGTCGCTCTCCCCGCCTCCCCTCCAGGTCTCGGGCGACACGTGCCCGGTCAACACGCACGAGGACGCGTGTCACGCCGACGACGCCTGTCACGTCGAGCACGCCCAGACGCAGCCTGCCGCGGCGGCCGCTGTCTGAGCGATTATGAGCGAGCGCAGCGAGCGTCCCAGTTTCGAACAGGGCGAAGCATTTGGCTGCCGGAAATCGATGACGCCCGGCAAGTTTACAAAGTGCACCCAACTAAGTGTGCGGATACCCCAACCCTCTATCCTATCCCATCCCAACCCCATCCGTGTCTGATCCGAGTCCCACGTTGTTGTTTACTTGATGAATACTTGTTGAGTTTTTGCTACCACTGAGCGCGTGGTGCGAGGTGACCAAAGGTGCGGAATGACAACCTCGAATGACTGCCTCGGCTGATTGTTCACCGCCCGCCATCGGTCTCCGCAGGCCATCGGGCTCGGCCGCCGGTAGACTGCAGTTAAGGAGGGAGGGTCACTGATTCGTCTGACTCGACTGACTCGACTGATGCTACTGATGTTGCTGACTTCTCACATAGGTGGCAGGCATCAGATCCATTCCGCGCAGAATTGCTTCGCTGTAGCACAGCTCGCACAGCCCGCGCATGTAGCACGCTAGCACGAGCGTACGATCGCGTACGAGCTGGTGATCTTAAACTGTTGGACAACATCACAACACCGCGGCTATCTCGAAGCGCCGCGAAGGGCGCAGGCATGTGAAAGAGGAGGAGAGGGCGTCGATGGCATGTGAGATGGGAAGATGGGAGGGACACATGCTCGGCGAGTTCTCAAGCTTCTATTCCCATGCGCCCATGGGCCATGCACGGCGTGGAACGGGAATGCGTTGTTGCAGCTGACATGGTCGTGTGTGTCTTGACTCAGCAGACGCCACTGTTGCTTACAACTCAACAAAGTCGGAGCCGGTCATCTGCGTAGCAAGCAGCCACATTCGTCAGATCGCTCTTCAATCGCCCCTTCCTCTGTGTCTTCGCAGGTCTTCAGTCTCTCGCATTCTCAAGGACACCCTCGATGCAGAAAAAGGTAATGCATACAAACAAGTCCGCCCTTCGTCCCCTCTACATACGCTCTAGCAGCTCTCTAGCAGCGCTCATACAGCCGGAGCCAATACCGCCCATTCTCAAGCTTACACCTGCCCCACTTCTCGTTCCCATCCAACCTAAACCATCTTGAGTCCTCGCTCCGGACCTTCTTCCAGGATCCCTTCGGCACAGCGAGGCCGCCCAACAACGCGTCCGTAATCATGTACACGGGCCAGGTGCGGTCCGAGTTGCCGAGGGGGAACTCGGCAATGTCGCTCGCCGAGTCGAGAATGAGCAGGTGTCCGCCGACGGGCGTAGAGCTGGTCAGGTGTCGGAGAAGATTGATTGTGCGCGGGCGAGACTGGGAGAGGAGCTCGGTGAGCGTGAAGAAGATGGTCGTCAGGTCGGGCTGGAGCTGGAGCCAGGCGGGGATCTCGGGCTTCTTCGTTACGCTCGTCGTCGGCGCGGACTCGGTGGTGGAGGGTGCGGCGGGGTGAGCGGGCTTCGCGCCGGGCTTCGGTGCGTCGGAGAGAGGCAACTTGAGCACGTCGGCCTCGATGAACTCGAAGCTCGACGGGATCTCCCAGTCCCCCACGCTCTCGGCCAGACGGCTGATGACACTGCCCCAGTCGCCGATGTCGACGCCTGTCCACTCCACAGGCGCGTTGGCCGTGCACGAAAGCGCGGCTATGGCGAGGAGCTCGCTCCCCGCCCCGCCGCCGATGGAGAGTATCCGCGCGGGCCGCCGCCGCTCTCACCAGACCCGTCCCGAGTAGACGGCGGGGAAAAAAGCGCCCTCACCGGCTTCACCTCCGCCATGACGCTCCTAAACATGAGCGCGCGACTGGGCACCCATCGCCCCGCATACGCGTCGAGCAGCTCCCGATCCAGGAACAGGTCCAGCCACCGCCGCTCGAACAGCAGCGTCTTGGCCCGCTGCACGTGTTCGGGGAAGCGTTCGTCGTACCGGATCGCCATGTCGAGGGCGTTCAGGATGCTCTGGTTTGTGGGTTTCTCCTTAAAGACTGTGGCGGGGAGGGTCCCTCGGCGGAGGGGGGAGGGGCGTCTTCGATGTTGGTCGGGGGAGGCGGCGGGTGGTGCAGTTTCCGCCCGGGCTTCTTCTTCGCCCCGGGGCCCTTGCGGCCCTTCTGCTGCGGTCCGGGACCGCCGGATCGGGAGCGATGCGTCATTGTCGTATGTGGTCGTTTGTGTCGAGAGACGATCTAGATCAGCTCGAGCGAGTGTAAGCAGACATTTGGGCTGGACTCACCGGCCGGCCCAAGATTTCCATCAGGCACCGGAGGGATGAGGGCGGGGTAGGAACTGCGGGGTAGGGCTGGGTTCGTTGCTTGTTCTGGTACCTCTTACGTAATCCAGGTGTTGTTAAGTGGCAACGCTTGACTGCCACGAGGGTCAGATCGTGTTCGGAAGTGACACAGGCTGCTGGGGAGATGCATGTGCACTTCTACTTAGTCTCTAGAGCGGGATAAGAATATAAGAATCAGTGCCCCTGGTTCCTGTAGTGTAAGCGGTGTAAAAATCGGGTGCGTATCTTGTCCAGACTTTGGGACTAGGCACTTGATCTGCACTGCACGTACTGCGGCGCTAGGACCGTTAGTCACTGAGTTTCCATGGCGCATCGCCGGGTTTCTAGATGGAAGAGACACTGGTTGAGCTTCAGTGCCTGTGACACTTGGGCTCGGTACTGTGCATACTGCTGGGCTTCTTTGCCTTGATGGTGACTAGGCTGAGACTTCGAGGGCGTGGTGGCACATGGAAATGTCGAAAGAGTTTTCACTTGCCCTGTCACTGCTGGCGGAGCTGTTGGGCGCCTCGCATCAACGTCCATACATTGATCTCGAAACATCTTCAGAGACCGAATGTCTGGGGTGGTCATTGTCAGACTAGTTGGCAAGAGAGAGCTCACTCGGAGTTCCTCTGGCTCCTTCTTTTGCAGCGCAAGGAGTGCCAGTTGGCACTTGCAACTCCCATCTAACTAACCACCTGTTCAATCGCCGTAGTGCAGCCATCCGATCGGATACACTGGGCACAAGGTACCCGAGACAGTGATGGATTTGCCTCATTTCAGACTGAGAACAAAATGGGAGAGGGCTCCTGCCACTCTTGCGACTTCAGCGGTTCCTTTTCTCACGAGGGCGTTTGCCCTCTCTTAATCAAGGCAGAAGCCACGCAATAGCAAGTAAGAAAGCTGCAGGACTACTGCTGACCTTCTAGACTGCCTCTGCAGGCCACAACTCTGTCTTACGACGAACGCGACCACCTTCGCTGGCACCAACGTTGGCAGCCACACGCTCTCTCACGTGACCTGGTTATCGCTCGCCCTCGGCTCTCGCCCCCGGGACCAATCCATCTGCTCCCGCCCAGTGCTCGCACCGCTTCCTCCCCCTCTCGCACCCAGCCCCCTCCGGTGCACTGCCTATATAAACCGTCGACGACACTTTGTTGTCTCCTCAGATCAAAAAAATATGGGCCCTTCTCTGCCATGGGTTTGGGGCACGGCTACCACGCCCCTCACCTGCCATGAAGGAGCACACTAGACGGACGGATTAATGCCTCGACACCGTTAGGAAACGTGCTCGCTTGACGCCATCGGCGTGGTGCGTGCTGGTGTGTCGATACAACTTGTACTTTTTACTTCTATGATATTTTTGGTTGTCTGCGAAACCTTTGCTGCTCGGCGTGGTCGCTTTGCTGGGAACGTTCTGTTGAGACAGAGTATGGGGGCACGGCGGACCGTCCACTTCCACTCGCTGAGCTTCGGGTCTCGTTGCCCGAAAGAACGTCTGCAATTCGGAACGAGGAACGAGCTACACACCCAGACGATTCGGACCAGGATCCAGGACGTGGTTGAACTTTTTTTTCGGTCGAGGCATTGCACTGCACTGCTCGTTTCAGTTGGCTGCGACGCAAAGGCCAGCGACGCGCAGTCCGAATCCTTAACAGGGAGGAGCACACAAGGCAGCACCGCCAAGGGTTCAATCAAAAGGGATCGGCCATGTCCCGTGCCTCCACGCCAATGTTATCGCCTGCGAGGCGTCCAGGTGTCCGACGTGGTAGGGCCCATTACCCGCGACCGCGCGGCATCTCTACCCGCAACCGCAAACTGCAACCACCGCAACCACTCACCGCCGCGTCGACAACTTTCCGAGTGTACACGGACGCCTTCCGAAATCCTCCCTCCACATCACTTGTCCTGCCGACTTTGGACTCAAGCCGACAGTGACGGAGCTTGGACGCACCACTCGGCAAACTACCGCAGCCCACGACGCAATGGCGACCGAGACCGACTTTGCCTTCGACCCGCGATGGGTGCGCTCGTTGCCGGATGAGTGGGAGGACACGCTCTGCGAGTACCGCAATGCGAGCAGCTCGATGCACCGTATGGGTGAGCTTCATAAGGGCCAGGGCTTAGCTGACAGCAGGCATGATGGACCGCCGCGATGAGCGCGACCCGAAAAAGAAGCAGGGAGGCAAGAAGGAGGATGACTTTCAGCAGCCGAGTGAGTAGCTACGCATGGTGTTGGTATGACAAGCTGACGGCCAGAACTCCCGACAGCGGCTGAGCTGTACGTCGAGAGCTTGCCTGGTATCCCGAACATGGCCGCGCACCCTACGTAAGTTGATCGACGAGCTCTTCGACTAGTTGTACCAGCTAACCTCAGTCACCCTTTGAACGTCTACGCTGGCGAGATCCCCTCGTACCCCGGACCAGGCAAGGGTGGCGGTGACGGACAGGTCGGCGTGGACGCAGACATCTTGTGAGTCAACCGTGCTTGACTGCGCCCTGCGCAGCTAAGCCGAGCTCTTGTCGCTGACGACAGTTTCCTCATGGTGCGCGCGCGCCGGCAGGCCGGAAAACAGCGTGTGATCTTCTGGTTCAACGGCGGGCCGGGATGCTCCTCCTTCGACGGCGCGCTGATGGAGGTCGGACCCTTCCGCACCGTGCCGGACAAGGATACGGTCAGCCGGCTCGTCGAGGTCAAGATCACCGAGGGAGGATGGGAGGAGTACGCCACGATCGTCTTTGTCGACCAGCCGCCTGGCACTGGCTTGTCCTACGTGCCGGCTGGCGGATATCTCACGGAACTGACCGAGGCGGGCCAGCACTTCGTCCAGTTCCTCAAGAACCTGTACCAGATCTTCCCCGACCTCGAGAACCAGGATGTAAGCTAGACGTCTGGTTTTCGAGCTGACAGAAACAGACCTACCTTGCCGGAGAGAGCTACGCGGGCCAGTACATCCCGTACATCGCTGATGCGATCCTGAACGCGGACCTGCCCAAGATGCACCTGAAGGGTCTGGCTATCGGAAACGGCTGGGTCGACCCGCTGAACCAGTACCCGGCCTATGCCGAGTTCGCGTACCAGAAGGGACTCATCAAGAAGGGCACGCCGGAGGGGAAGGAGCTCGACCTGGCTGTCGGATCCTGCGTCGAGACGATGAAGCAGTACGAGGACCCGCTCAAGACGCCAGTGCACATTGACGGGTGCGAGTCGGTCGTCATGAGCCGCGTGACGGACCCGTATTCCAAGGAGTAAGCTTCTAGCCGTTCCTGCCTAGCTAACGCACAGTGTGGACGGACAAAAGATGTGCATGAACATCTACGACGTGCGCCTGGTGGACACCTGGCCCGAGTGCGGGATGAACTGGCCTCCCGATGTGAGCGACGTGCAGTCCTTCCTGCGCCGGCCCGACGTCGTCAAAGCCCTGCACGCGACAAAGCACGAGCAGCCCTACCGCGAGTGCAATGGGCAGGTGAGCGTGCGCCTGCGCAACCGCAACTCGCCCGCGAGCGTGCACCTCCTCCCGTCCATTCTCGAGCGCGGCGTCAAGATCATGATGTTTGCGGGCGCCGAGGACCTGATCTGCAACCACGTCGGTGTCGAGCGCACGATCGAGAACCTCGTCTGGCTCGGCGAGCGCGGGTGGGGCGCCAACACCACCACGCTTCCGTGGAGTATGAACGGCACCCAGGTCGGCGAGTGGACCGAGGACAGGAACATGACATATGTCAAGGTGAGCACTGCGGAGCTTCGGAGCTCCGAAGGAGCTCCAGGAGCGACTGTCCAGCTGCACGATATGGGATCCTAGCTGACATCCAGGTCAATGGCGCCTCGCACATGGTCGGCTTCGACGTTCCCGCCGTGACGAACGACATGATCATGCGCTTCATGGGCGTGGACATCAAGGAGCTCGGCGGCCCGACGGGAGAGGTCGACTCCAAGGTCGGCGACGACGAGCGCCCCGCGCTCCACTACGGCGCGTACCCCGAGACAGTGGGCATCCCGCTACTCAAGGGCGGCAAGAGTGATTGGGAGTGTGAGTATTCCCCCTTCAGCTCTGCTATCTCAGTGATCATGCTAACACAATCAGCATGGTACAACGCCATCTCGGCCGTACTCATCCTCCTGACCCTGTTCGGCATAGTCGGCGCGTACCTCTACCTCCGCCGTCGGCGGCTGCGTCGCCAACTCGCCGCGCGGGGCGGGCGCGTCTCCAGCTTGGAAGACGAGGAGGAGCGCGTCCCGCTAGCGACGTACGACGGGGAGACGTACCGGGACGAAAACGGGCGCGTGGACAGGAAGGGCAAGGGCAAGGCGCGGGAGAGTTTTGACGAGGAGGTCTCTGAGCATGTGCTCGCGCACTCGCGGAGGGAGAGCAGGGGGAGCGCGCACAGCAGTAGTCGCAGGGGGAGCGGGAGTGGGAGCCAGACTGTGTTCGCCTTGGGTGATGAGGAGGAGGACAACAAGTAGACTAGATCTTAGATGCAGACCGCTGATTGTATGACGCACTGAACACGACTGATGGGATCGGATCTGGGCGCATAACTGGGCGCAGATCTGGGATGGGACTGACATTGATCGTGCTGGCATCGCCCGTGTGTATCGACGCAGTTGTCGTGTGTCGCGACATCGGACGATGGCACGATGGGCCCGAGAGGGCAGCGGAAGAGATATAAGAACACACCTTGCGAGGTTGAGCTCAGCCCTCAGCCCACCCTTCCAGACGACAGAGTGTAAGTGACGAGCTTACATGCGGGCTTCATAGCTAACCCCAGCCTCCAGTGAGCTGCCACCCAGTGATGTGCAGATATCAGACCGCGTAAGCAGCTTCGATGCAGAAATGGGCAAAGCTGACAACCAGGAAGAGTGAGCGCTCTGGAAATGCGTCCATGTAGCCAACAGCAGGATGGGTGTCCGGCAACATCGCACGAGCGGACAACACAAGACGGGTAAGAAGCTGTGGAAAAGGTTCACGCAGCTGACAGCAGACTGGGTAAGCTCTCGAGGTATCTTGCTAGCTGACATCAGGACGACGGGTGAGCTGCCGCGTTGGTGGTGGTAAAGCTGATATCAGGGTGAGCTATGTTGCCGAATAGTTTGGAGCTGATGACAGATCGTGGGTAGCTTTGCAGGACGGAAGTGTAAGCTAATGCCAGGGCTATGGGTGAGCTGCAAAAGGCCGTGAAGAAGCTGACAGCAGACCGAGAGTAAGCTAACAACAGCCGCATTCGAGCTGACGTCAGGGCCGTTGGATGGTTAGGATGCTGGACGGATTCTCGGAGCTGACTGCAGGACGAGTCAGCTGCATGAGCCTCATAGCAACTCGACACCAGGGCAATTGATGGTGAGCTTTCAGGAGGCACTCAGCAGCTGACAGCAGAACGAGTGGGCAAGCTTCGATGGCCGCATTTGAGCAGACATCAGGAATACGAACAGGTTGCTAGCAATACAGGTTGCCGGAGCTGACAGCAGGACAAGGTAGCTGCGCACAGGCCTCCTGGCAGCTGACAGCAGGACCTGTGAGCTGGCGGCCGTGGAACACAGCTGATACGCAGTCTTCGACGTCCGTATTCGGAGCTTAGGCGTAGAAGCGAGAATGTAAGCTGGACTTAGGGAGAGTTCAGCTGACAGCAGGACGGGTGATCTTCCAAACACGCTTCACAGCTTACAGGCAGCTTTCGCTGGTCGTACTCGGAGTCCACGACCAGAAGCGAGAAGGTGAGCTTGGCAACAGGCGCAAAAGAGCTGACAGCAGCACGGGTGACCAGGCAACGAGCATACGAGCTGCCCGCCGTCTCGCACCCGTCCCTCTTGCGCGGCAGGCAGACAGATCGGGTCAACTGGAAACGATCACGCGATCTGCGCGCCGTCTCGCACCCGACCCTCTTGCGCGGCAGGCAGAATCGATGAGGTGAGCTGCGGTGCAGAAGACGTTTGACTTCAGGGACGAGTGAGCTGGACCTTGAACGAATGTGAGCTGACACGCAGTCTCAGCCCAGGCTCTACCCCAGATGTGGGGGCGACAGGCAGTGAAAGGGGTGAGCAGACTAATGACGTACGGTAGCTAACAGCAGAATAGGTGAGCTGGTCCATTTCTGCGCGTCGAGCTGGCTCCAGCAACATAGAGGCAAAGCGAGCTGGGGAGATGGCTCAGGTGCAAGTGACCACAGCCCGAGAGAGACCGCTGCCTATGGGGACGACCGCATACCGCCCTGCTACCCCATGTGCGATACTGGCTTGCAAGCAGAGTTAGCTGGATTGGGGCTTAGACCAGCTGACCCCAGAGTTGACGGGCAGAATAGCTTAGAAACCTCCGCATAGCTGACCGGCAGCATCGCGTCAAGTCTATGGTCCGCGGAGGTCGGCCACACGATGGGTAAGCTATACACGTCATGCACCGGTAGCTGACGACAGAACAGGTACGACAGCTACTTGCCGTTCCCCGGAGCTGACGAGCAGCCTCGCCATGGGTTAAGCGCCGCGAGGTCGTCACGGAACGGATTGCATGGTGAGCTTCCAAGGGGTGCCTGGAAGCTGACTCCAGGTCGAATGAGCTGGGACTCGGAGGCAAGCTGACAAGCGGAGTCGACCTGGGAGATTCTCGCGCCCGAGACCGGGATCGAAGAGTAAGCTGTGCTGCATGGGTGGAAAAAGCTGACAGCAGTGGAAGTGCGACAGCTCTGAGCCCTCTTGTAGCTCACCTCAGTGGTGATGCGGCTCACCCAGCTTAAAAGCTAACCCCGGATCGAGTCAGCTTAGAGACGATCGAACCGAGCTGACTCGCAGCCAGCCCCAGCCGTTCATGTCCGAGTCGAGTGCTCAAGGCGGATAACAGCTGCAGTTCTTGGGTCCTACTGCTAAAGAGAGGAGTCCGGTAGCAGGACCTGCCAGCTGCCGAGGCGACAAGGCGGCATAGGACGAGGAGTAAGCTGCCCAATGTTGGTGGAAGCTGACTCCAGACTTGGGTTGGAGCTGATTCCGGCACCGCGCAGTGACCTTCAGTGACTGCGAAGAAGGCAAGAGACGACGCAGGTGTAGCAAGAGCGGCAGCGTAAGCTTTCCCGACACCCAATCGTAGCTGACGCCAGATACGGTCCGTGAGCTAACAATATCTGATAGTGGAAAGCTGACGATCAGCTCAAATGGGGCAAGAGGTCGTAGGTTGGACGAGAGTTGAACAGAATGGTGAGCTGGTGCGCATATGAGGATGCGACGTAGCTGACTGCAGATCAGGTGCGCCAGCTGCCCAGTGCTCGTGTAACTGACCGTCAGTGCCAAGTCTGCAGGTCTAGCTATTGAGGAGGTGCTATCGCGATGGAGTAACGGTGAGCTACGGCACGTCGTCTGCAGCTGACAAGTGAAGGCTTCAGGGGATTTACCAGTAGCTGACATTAGAGCTTGTATGTCAGCTGAGGAGTCAGGATGCGTAGCTGATTAACAGTCATGATCCGGGGTCACAGTTCGAGCCGCAAGAGCGACCACGGAGGATGAACCTGCGAAGTAGCTGCACGAAGCGGTAGTAGCCCAGTAGGCGGCGAGGCAAAGTAGCCGAAAGCCCCGGCCAAGGTGATGGTCTCGCACACTGACAGGTTGATGCCCTCGCACACTGGCAGGCTGAGATGTAACGTTTGCGAGCCAAGTTGCGAAGTGCCTGGAGAGCAGACCACAGATGGGACGGAGGCAGACTGCGTGTGAAGATAACAAGTGTTCATTGTGGAGCACCACAACTTCAGTCGGTCCGACGATCCGATCACGGGAGGTAGTGATGTGCGGCCGCGCTCGGATTACGTGAACCCCACAGGCTTGCCGGAAGTACACATCCACCGGTAGGGGGCCTAGGTGGGCTGCTGTAGGTGGTCTGGCGCTCGGCATCCTCGGGTCGATCGAGAGAGGCGAGAAACATGTGGTGTGGGGAGAACCTTGTCAAGATTGCAGGTGAATTGTCACATCGGTGGGAGGGATTTGAATGGCGCCAGATGTGGGCACATCTCCAATGCGCACGGAGCTTGTCTGAGTCGTCGCAAGTGCCAGCAGCGTTATTGACACTCGGAGCAACGATGATACGGGTGCATTTTTCCTCACAAGATTATCGAGCGATGAGAGGGGAGTGGCGTTGCCCTGCTCGCATTTCAGCTCCACTCATCTCATCGAACCCCACAGCAGCCGTAAGCTCCCGAGACACCCAGCATCGAGTCATGATGTAAGTGACTCACAATCTCGTGCAGGTTGCCTATTGTGGTGCAGGTGGAATGGACAACACATGCGATGGGCAAGGAATGCGTGTGGTCATCACCGGGCCGGGTCACGTCATCCGCCACCATTCTGGCCAGTGTTCGAAAACTGGCCAAGTGCTAATGCTCGTGATCGTCGCCGTAATGCTGCAATACTGCTCTTTTACCATGTGCTTCGGGCGTCATATTCCCCAACCTTAATCACCCCCTTCACATGCGCAATGCAAGGCGAGTCACAGGCGGAGCAATGTGACGTTCGCACGAGGGGACACGCACGAGGTTTTGAGTGCAGATCCAGCGAAGCCACTCGAGCTTGAACGTCAGGGATATTCACGCCTGGCTACAGGGTTAATCCCGGGTCTGGACGCTGACGATCGCATTACAAAGCCTGACTAAGGACGTGGACAGATTCATAATGGGCCCTCAGTTGCAAAGGGACGACGGAATCAAAAAAGTTGAAAGTGGCCCTTTGAGCCAGCGGTGCACGCGCCGATCTGCGATGTCGCCATTGCAGCACTTGTTGCCACCATCAACAGAGTGCCTATGTCGCCATGCAGTGTTGGAGTCATCATGCGCTGATGTACATCGGAGCAGACCAGAACTACATAAGACGGTGGGCTGTGCTGATCCATGGTCTCAGCTCATAACCTCCATACATCGTTCACCAGACGACGACACAAACTGAATCTAAGCGAAAAAGCGCCAAAACAAAAATAAACCTGTACAGGCTCACCCACGACCCTGTCCTTGCCGCCGTGCCTGCGTGAACTCCGTCGCCGCCCAGATCCCCAGCCTTCGATTCCGGCACGATCCCCGGTCCACCGCTGCAGACTGCCCTAGCTGCCCTGCCGGTCACCCGGCCCCTCGCCGCCACCCTTAGTGGCATTTGCCAACACAGACTGAGCACACCACCGCCCATCGCAGCGCGTACCGACGCGTCCAGCTTTAAGGCTTAAATCCGCACCGCCTGCAGTTTTCTTCACGAAAACCTTTACTGCTTTACCCAGCACTTCTTTTGCCACACCATAGTTCTGCACCATGGCTGCTACCGTTAGCCCTCTGTCGCGCACTGCCGAGTTCCCGAGGGAACGCCGCCCCTCGCCCCGTCGGGGCCGCTCGAGTGTGCCCCCTCTCGAGCGCCGGCGTTCGTCCAGCACGACTCCGATCGACATCCCCGGTTCCTCTTCTTCTCGGACCTCCTCTCGCTCCTCGCGCGGCCGCGACGCATCGCCCAAGTCCCTCCCGAATCTGAACGACACGACGCGCTCCCCGCATGGCCTCAGTAACCTCCCCGCTGTGGCCGGTCGTCGCATTTCCGCCACGTCGTTGGCAGCCCCGCTGTTCCAGGCGCACCACCAGCCTCCCCCTGCTACCGCGCCGCCAAACGAGGACCCGATCCTCTACCTCCCGCCTCTGATGAGTCGGCTCCCGCACGAGCAGTTTGACGAGGACGACTTCAACACGCGTCTCCCGGACATTGACCCGGCGAGTCTGGTACTGCACCAGGCGCTGCACTACTTCCGCCCGCTGAATCAGCACTACGCCAGCAGCTCGTATCCGCTCGCGTTCAACTGGCACGAGCTCGCCCTCCCCGAAGAAGAGGAGAGGGAGTGGTACGCCGTCGTCTTCCGCAGCCGCAGGAAAAAGGAGAGCGAGAGCTTGTCGCTGTACGCTGCCGACCGCGCTGCTCATGCCGAGGCGGTGCGCAACGGCGGCCTCGTGATGTACTGGTACGGCGTGCCCGATTCTACGGGTCTCAATCTCGCGACCTGCATCTGGCAGTCGCGCCGGCACGCTGTCAACGCGATCAGCGGGCCAAAACACATCCTTGCCATGAAGCAGGCGGCGGGCGCTTACGAGACGTACGAGCTCGAGCGATGGGTCGTCCGTAAATCGAAGGGTCGCAGGCATCTCGAGCTTGAGAAGTGGACCGGTGGCGATGTCGGATGGTAGTTCCCTCGTCGCCTCGTTTGCTCTGGACTCGTGAAAACAAAAGCCTGTAGCCATTAGATAGTGTGCATGTATGTCAGAAGTTGTTCATTAGAATCTGGCGTGAGCAGTTGTCAGTTGCGATGGGAAGAGATACCACAGGCTGCCGAGGGCGGGAAGAGAAGGTTTGCTGACGATTTCGCCGGAGTAACGTTAAGATGGGCATCGAGTTGAATATAGCCGACGATGGCTGGATGAAGTCGACGTCGGAGCCGCAAATAAATCTCTTCCTCTGTGCCGATTTCATGGTTGCTCCGCGCAGCGATGCCCCGCCTCCAAGGCCGCCCGGTCAACCGCCTTTCCCCACGCCATCGTATTGCTTCGGTGGGATGTGCCATTGCGCCGAAGCTGCCGTCCAGTAGATGTCGTCTTGATCCCAAATACAATACAAATGCATCGCAAAAAACCGTTCGTTCCGTGTGAATCGAGTGAACAAAGAACATTACGCTCCTCCGCTGTAGACTGTCAGCTAGGTCTTTACCTTTAGGCAGCCGTACGCACACAAGGATGTTGTTAATAGGAAGGTGGACGACCTTGACAATGTATCCGATGAAGCCCATCACGAGGAATCCGACACCAACGGCACGGCAGAGCTGGATGTACTCAGCCTTCGTGGGCTTCGTGCACCGGTTGAGGAACTGCGGGTCAGCTCGACAGGCGAAAAGGTAGCTGGCATGTGTGCTTGTTGTACGGGTCGTTGCTTCCACGATAAGACCTAGCGCAGCTTCTGCTCTTCCGCGGCCAGCCCTTGAAGTCGGCAAGTAATTCCGGAGCATTCCAGTCTTAGGAGGGCAGCACAGCAAAACCGCAGAGCGAGCTGCGGTCAAGCATTAGATGGTTATCGAAAGTCGCGCGATCCCGATCCCAATGTCGCACACGAGCTGCTGCACTTTGCCGATGCACAATGCGAATGGTGAATACTCACGTGGGTGCCCTCCTTAACGAAGGCCTGGGGAATCTCGACGAGCTCCTTGATGCTGTCCGACATGGTTGATGGGGTATCTAGAGAGGAAATAACAGTCCAACACAATCTCTACCGAACTCGACACGCACCGCTCGACATTGCCGTGCCAGCGAGCCGGTCCAGGGCGGTTGCAGTAGGGCGGGACGTGGCGCCGTGCGCCGCATGCGTGTAGCTTTTACCATCCACCCACTTAACGACGTGTCAGCGACCAGCCGTGGGAGATCAGTCCTGAAGTGACCGTGGGAAAGCCAGGAAATGACCTCCACCTCGCATGTCCGCAATGTTGTTGGACGCGACCCTAAGTAAGGACTCGCAGCGCTCATGTCGTCATTGCTCTAACCACCTCAGCATGTTCGGACAGAATAAACCACGAAGTGAGTATCAGCTAAACTGATACCGGGACGAGCTGACTGTCAGGCTACGCCATCTGGGCTATCCCGGACAAGGACGACGAGCGCGCTCTCCACGAGGCGATGGGCGCCGTCGGCGCCGCCTTCCCTCCCCACGTCACCATCCTGCGCCCCTCCGGCCCTCTCTCCTCCGACCCGGAACGCATGGTTGATCTAGTCCACCGCGCAATGGACGCAACAATGCTGCAGCGTGCAGTTGTTGAGCCCGACGTCGGCGGTGAGGGCGGCAGTAAGGTGAGCTGCGATGGTTCTGCACGGAGAGAGCTGACAGGCAGGGCGGAATGGAGCTGCATCTCCTACCACCTCAGCCAGCCGATGCTCCCATGAGCGAGAGCGACACGCAGGCCGTTCTCTGTCCCGTGGACCCACGCAGTGCCGCCTCCCTCGTTGCTATGCGCACCGCGCTCTGCCAGATCAGCGGCGACGAAGCGCTGCCTTATGCTCCCCACATGACGCTGTTGTACGGCGACTTGCCCCAGCAGCAGCGCCAGGCTGCGGCAGCTGCTGCCGCTAGCGCCCTCGAGTGGCCTCGCTCCGTTACCGTTTCTGAGGTCGCTGTTGCAGCTACCGACGGCGCCCCCAACAGCTGGGAAATTGTCTCGCGCATCAAGCTGCAGTAATGCTCGCTGACGTGAGTGATAGAGATAGACTAAGAATACAGAGTGTACATGTGAAACGACAGAGATGTATCTTGTGATCGTGTACAAAGGGTTGAGCTGCGGGTTTACCGCAGCATGCGGTACCGCTCCCATCCCTCTGGCTTCTGCCGCAGCTTCCAGAACGGTCCTTTCAGCCCTAACTTCTCAAGGAGTTGCTGTCGTTCCAGCTGGCTGTTCCGGTCGTTCTTCGGACACCACCCCTTAGCGAGGTGCCACAGGGTATCCACTTCCATGACACCTCCCTTCGTTCTCCCCACGCTTTGACACCAGAGATCGACACACTTTTCATGACAGAACAGCCTTTGCCGCCCCGCCCACTCAACCAAGGCCACCCCCGACGCCATGCTGAAGAGGAAGTGTGCGACAGGCAATTCCCGAAAGTCGCAAGCTGTCGCACTCGGCGGCTGTCCCGCCTCCACATCCAGCGATATAGCAGTACCGCACCCCGGACATCGCGTCGAGATAATCACGGGCGCTTCGTACGACACGACGTGGGGGATGCAGAACGCATAGAGTGCCCCGGCGGCCCACCAATGCCTCGTGTGGCCCGTCACCCCGCATCCGGCATTCACACCGCTAAAGGGCGGGTAGCAGAGCACGACGATCCTGTCGCCCTCGAGATCCTCGCCCTTCTCGCCCTCATAGAAGTCAATCTCCTCAAAATCGCCCCAGTACCGGTCCGCCTTGACGTACGTGTCGTACAACTCGGGATCCAGCTCGAGTATTCCCTGGTGATGCAGAGACAGCAGCGCGAAGCGGACCTGCTCGATGCTGGGCGGTTGCCGCGCTGTTCTTCTCAGTCCGCGCAGGATGGCGCGCATTGTCACCCGGCGGGAGTCAGCGAAGAGCGAAGCAAGGGTTCGGTCGACGGCGCGGACCTCCGTCTCTGTCGCGTCGATGAGGAGCGGGCGGCGGGTACTGCTGGCAGAGGAGGCGGGGCGCGGGATGGCGTACGTGTTTCGGCGATGGCGGGCGCGGAGGGTGATGCTCATCTTGGGCTACCTGGGCTTGACGCGGACGCGGGATGACCAGGTGGCCAGATGGCGGATTGCAGGACATCAATGTCAGTCCCGAATCACGCGGTGGTGCCCATCACTACTGGGCGGTCCGGGCGTGATGAGTCGGAAGCATGGCGGCCGTAGATCTGTGCGCAGTCGCGACTGCAGCCGATGGGGAGGGCATCGTCGTTTGAGACAGAACTGTGTCTTTCGTCGTGCGAGAGTGGCGAGAGTGTGTGCGAGGGACCATCACTCAGTCAGGTCGTCAGTGCTGGGTTTTGGATCGAGTGGCGGGGTCGGTGCGAAATTCGAGATATTGGGCGAGTATGAAGTAGCGCAATTAGCCTTCTTCCCAGCATCTTCTGATGCCCTGCTGTCTTCTATCAAGATATAATACTTGACTGACTGACGCTCAGGACACAGGCATGCACATGCAGTGCTTTGGCAATGATCGACCGTCAGTGATGAGAGCACTCGATTTGCAGGCCCAACGGTCCTAAGACGCATCTAGCATCGTGTACTCCTCCAGCCTGCGCACCCTCGGGCCATCCCCTAGCTTGCAGTGTATTCTACAAGTTGAGATCGGTGCATGAAGCTGACGGGTTATTGCCGAGTCATCATGGCCGTCGTCGCCATCGCCGCCACATCGCCAGACGCCCGGAGTGCCAAGCCCTTCCGTCACCGTCACCAGATCCACACATTCCTCACACCTCCACCTCCACCCGCACTCGGCGACTTAACATCGGACCCGATCGCAGGTGACTCATCTCGCCTCAACATCAACACTCAGCATATATCGCAAGCCATGTCCCCTCTCCACCTCTTCCACTCCCGCTCCCACTCCCAAGTCTCCGCCAACTCGCCTATGTCCTCCTCACCCTCGCCCGACGACATTGCCGCCCGCCGCGCCCGCTTCCGTCAACTCCATCAGTCCGGCTGTTTCCTCATCCCCAACCCCCCCTCAGCCGGCGCCGCAGTCTACCTCTCGACGCTCGGGTTCCAGGCTCTCGCCTCAACCTCATCAGGCTACGCCTGGTCCCAGGGGAAAGAGGACAATGCCCTCTCCCTGGAGCAGACACTGCACCACCTCCGCTCCCTCGTTACCTCGACCGATCTGCCCATAAACGCCGACTTTGTGGATGGGTTCGGATCGACGCCCGTCGAGGTCGAGAACGCCGTCAGCCATGCCATCGACACGGGTGTAGCCGGCATCTCGATTGAGGATACATACTCGACGTGGGAGGGGCCCGAGAAGGGGCGCCAGCGGCCGATTAAGGAGGCCGCGGAGCGCGTTCGGGCAGCCAAGCGCGCGATCGAGGAGTCGGGCTATGACGTGTTGTTGGTGGGAAGGGCGGAGAACTTCTTCGTCGGCAACCCGGACATCAACGATACGATCGAGCGTCTCAAGGCGTACTCGGCCGCAGGCGCGGACTGTCTCTACGCCCCCGGCATTACGGACCCGGACCACATCCGCGCTGTCGTGGAAGCCGTGGCGCCGAAACCGGTCAATATCCTCGTCGGCGGACCGAGCCAGTTGAATCTCGACGAGATTGCGAAACTTGGCGTCAGGAGGGTCAGTGTTGGCGGCGCGCTGGCGCGGGTCGCGTGGGGAGCCGTCATGGACGCAAGCGAGAGGCTGGCGCGGGGGGACTTCACAGGTCTGACGGGCGTGAGTGGAGACAAGCTGAACGACATCATGCGTCGATAGTGTGTGCGTCTGAGTATGTAACTAGGCCCCTCTAGCTGGCTATTGCAATGCATCTGTATCCTCAAGCAGCTCCCATCACCACCGCAGCGCCTTGCGTCGGCGCTGGACACTTGTCCCCGTCTGAGCAACTCAGTCCTCCAGTCCCCAGAACGAACCCCTCAGCCCAACCTTTCGGAAATACTCCTTCGCCTGAGCCGGTTCTCTTCTCTCGTACCCCCGTTCAAGCCTTCCAGTATACCAATCCCTCGCAAAGTGCCAAAGGGTATCAACGTCCATGACGTAGCCCTTCGCCCTTCCCTCTTGTTTACACCACCTCTCCACACATCCCTCGGTGCAGAAGAGATTCTGCATCGAGCAAGTCTTGACGACATCCTCCCACGCATCCTTCATTGGCGTGGCAAAGTGTGCCACTGGTCCCGGTCCTTCCATTCTTGCCGCCGTGGCTTCAACTGGGGCCTCGGGGCCAGCGAGGGGCGGATAATCGCTCGAGACATCGACGGCGATCGGGTTGCGACAGCCCGGGCATCGGGTGGCAATGAGACAGGGCGACTCGGAGGGAACGAGGCTCGGCAGCGCGAACGCGTCCCATGCGCAGCCGCCCCAGTACACGTTGTTGCGGCCCATGACGCTGAACCCGAGATTGACGCTCGAGAAGGGGTGTGCGAGGACTACGAGTGATTCCTCCTCTCCGTCGCCGTTTGGTCCTTCATGCCCAGACTCCCCGGTCTCCCCGGCCTCCCACGCACGCTTCACCCCCGGATCGAGCACTAAGTCGCGCGACTGGTGCAGGTCCAAAAGCGCACGCCGAGCTTGTGGAGCAGAGAGGGAGGAGGCGCGCATGATTGTCGTGAGAGTCGGCGAGCGGCCCCGTGTCGCGAAGAATCGATAGATTGCCACGCGGGCGGATTCGCGCTCGTCTGCGGAGAGAGAGGGAGCGACGAGTTCGGATATGGTGGACATGGCGGATGTTCTGGAGGAGGGTAGACGGGTTGAGACGATAGATCTACCCACTGAACTGACTCGTGCCCACTAACGCCCAGGAGACCGAGATCTCGGCGACTTGACTCGATCGAAGTCTTACCCACGGTCGTCTGTGCCATCATCGCATGAACCTCTCAAGACGTGCTCTCGCGCTCGCAGACAGTGACAGTGATGCAGAAATACATAATTTAATATACCTATTGAGCTACGAGGGGTGGGGGAGGGACTGCTTTTTCCTTCTCTTTTAGTCGCGCTTGACGGCGCGCTGCGTGACCTTGACGTCACCCTCCGAGTCGATCTCCTCGATCTTAGCCGAGGTGACCTTGCCGGCGGGGGACTCGGTCGTGGTCGTCGTGACCTTCTTCTTGACGACGGTGGGCTTCTTGGCCGTCTTGTTGGCCTGCTTGGGCTTGGAGCCCGAGAGACCCATGAGGCCGAGGAGGAGCGCGAGGAAGGTCACGAGCGCGGCGGTGAGGCCGGCGGCGACCTCGGGGAGCGCCTTGGCGGCGTCGAGGAGCGACGTCTCCTTAGCCAGGTCGGAGAACTCGTAGATCTTGAGACGGATCTTGTCCGACAGCGAGAGGTCGCCCTCGTCGTCGTCGGCGAGCGAACCCTCGGCAGCCTGCTCGATCGGCTTCTTGACGTGGAACGTCTCGTCGGCAAACTTCTTGGCCTCGGCAGGGTCGGTGCCAATGTAAATGTTGTCGAAGAGAATGTCCTCGGTCATGGTCCAGAGCTCGATGCCGACACCACCGATGGGCTCGAGCTCGGCGGGGTGCGGGTCCTCAAACCACTCGGGGTTGTCAATCTGGCGAGGAGCCCAGGCACCCTTGTACGCGGGGTTCTTCTTCCAGGGGCGCGTCCACTTGCCCTTGTAGTCGGGGTTGCGGATCTTGGGGGCGACCCATGGGCCACAGCCAGAAACCTCGTCACACTTGGGGTTCGGCACAGTGGGGGCGATCCAGTCTCCGTCCTCCTCGTCGTCCCACTCCTCGGGCTTCCCCGCGTCGGGGTCGGCTATGTCGCGGGGCTCGTCGACGAGCCAGTCCTCGGGCATGACGGCCTCAGTGTCCTCGATCATGAGGGGGGCGTCCTCGTCCCAGTCGTCGGGCTTGACAGCCTCAACGTCCTCGATCATCTCCTCGTCGACCCAGTCCTCGGGCTTCGAGTCCTCGGGGTCGTCGATGAGCTTGGGCGGGTTGACAGGGGGCTTGAAGTCCTCGAGGAGGTTGCCCTCGGCGGTGACCTCGTCGTTGATCTTGATCTGGAACGTGTTGTCGGGGTTGACAATGAGCGTGTAGAGCGCAGTCGTCTTGGAGATGCGCGGGGCAGGGGGGTGGGTGTAGTGCTTCTCCTCGTACTCGCCCGTGATCGGGTTCTTGTGACGGAAGATGAAGTGCACCTTGTTGGTCGCACCGCACTTGTCGGGGCCGAACATGATGGTGAACGGCGTCTTGTCCGTGTACTCTTCGCCGTCACGGAGAGCCTTGGCACCGTTCTCCTCGGTCAGGAGCTTGATGTAGGCACCGCCACACTCGAGACCCTTCTGGAGCTTGACCTCGTACTGGACAACGAGGGGCTTGCCCTTGGGGTCGATGGGCTCGGGGAAGACGGTCGAGATGGCGTGGTGAGCAGCCTTGGACTTGAGGACAAGACCAGTGTCGCCCTTGATACCAGGGTAGACCTCGGGCTCCTCGACGGCCCAGGTGCCGACGTAGGAGAAGGTCTCGTCACCGACGGGGGTCTGCTTGGTGGCGCGAGAGACGGTCCAGCGACCCTCGGGGATCTGCTCCTGGAACTGCTCGACGAAGAAGCCATCGACATTGGAGGCCTAAGGGTCAGTCGAGCGGCGCTAGGGTGTGGGTTGGTTACGTACCTTGAAGGAGGCCTCGTTGGCGAGGGCGTTGGCAGCGAGGAGCGCGCCGGTGAGCTGAGCGACGTTGTGAGCCCTCATTGTGGGTGGTGGGTAGTGGTGAGCAAAGAGTTGCAAACGATGAAGTCGATCGAAGAAGCAGACGACTGGCCTCGTTGTCGTGTCCCTCCTTGATATTTACACGCGTCAGTCGACGTGGAGGGCGTGTCATGCGCGGCGATTAGGCACGGCCCGCACGCCGCTTTGCTGGCCGACAGCCAATCGTCGCTGGCGGGGAGTAGGGGGTAGGGTTTAGACACTCCGCACAGCAATGGGTTGGGTCACGTGATGCTCGCACTCTGGCATTGAGTTGAGTCAACCGTGGGTAAGCTGGGAGGGCTCGGCTGAGTGCGCGCAGTGGGCGCCTGGCGGCGTGTGACGTACGTACGAGCCATTGATCGCGAGCGGCCAACAGTCGTCTCGACACCACCACTCCAACCTCATCCACCACCATGTCCGAGTCACAGGACACTGTCCGTCCCACCCACATCGACCTCCCCGTCGACAACCACGACGCACACGAGGACCAGCCCCACCACCTCCAGCCCTCCGGAGAGCGCCCGCCCCCCGCTCGCGGTATCCTCAAGAATGCCCGCCCCAACCCCGCCGCCGGCGTCGACCCCTCCAGGGAGCAGTGAGTGCAATGCATGCATGCGTCCAACTGACAATCAGCCTGACCTGGGACGAGGCCAATATTGCGCTCACCGAAATCCAGAAGGACTCGCTCATGTGCGTAGAGGTTCTAATTCCGCACTGACGCTCCAGGAAGATTGACGAGCCCAAGACCCCTTACGTCCGCTACGACGCCGAGAACGACGTTGTTCTGGGCATTGGAGAGCCCCCCTCATTCGATCTGAACAACGACACGGCGCCGGACAGCCCGACCGCGAGCACGGCGCAGAACACGGCCAACAACGCCCGCCGCCCGTCCAACGCATCCACTGGGTCCTCGCGCTCCGCCTCCTTCTCCCTGCCGAACAAGGCACACCCTGTGCACCCCGGTCAGCCGTCGTCGCCGACCAATGTGATCCAGGAGCCTGTCGGTGCCACCTACGCCAACACAGCCGGCAACCGATCCGGTAGTGTATCGGGATCCTCGGTGTTTGCGGACAGTGACGAGGAAGGCATGGACGAGGAGCAGCGCGCGCACAAGCGCGACTTTGAGAAGAAGCGTGCGAAGCACTACGGACAGGAGGCTGCGCTTGCGCTGAAGAAGGCGCGCGAGATGGAGGAGGATGAGGACGAGGACGAGGGGACCCCGGTGCCCCCGGTGCCGAACGGCAAGTAAGCCGGGTGTGATGATATAATAGGTCGGTCTCGGTCATGCATGTACATTGTGTTCCCTTTGAGAAAGAGCCGCTTGGTCGCCGCATAGGAAAAAAAGTCGATGCATACGACACTACTACTCTGTTCGCCGCTCACTCGCTCTCGCTCTGGCTTACCCGGAACTCTGCTCGCCCACTAACGACCCTTTGCTGACGAAATGATAAGGGGTTCGGTCGGCGGAGTAACGGATGGGTTGATGACTAGCCGCAATCTGACTCGCTGCGCGGGGCCAAATGACGCACGTGTTGCAACCACTTGTCCATGCCGTCCAGAACACCTAGCCTATTTAACCTCTTTTCCCATCTCCCGATCGCGACCGCACACAGCACAGCCCACAGCGACCACGAACGGCCAGCATGAAGGTAGGCAAGCTCCCAGAGCAACGCTGACCCCAGTTTGGCAAGAGCATCGTCGCGTCCCAGGTCGCGGGGTGGTCAGAGTACTATCTAAATTACAAGGTGAGTAGTCACTCACTCGCCACGCGCGCGCACCCATATGCGTGTGCGGCCCGAGCTGGCATTGCCCGCTGACTCCCAGGCCCTCAAGAAGATCATCAACTCGCTCGCCGCGGGTCGACCAGCATCCGAAGCCGCTCTGCTCGCATCCGGCGGACGTCCGAAACGCTCCGACTCGAAGGACTCTGGCGCCGGGACACCAGCCTTCGGTGCGCAGTCGGTACCCGAAAGCAATGGGACCGACCTCGAGCCGCTGCCCGCCGAGGCTGCGCCGCCAACAGGCGGTCAGATGCTGTACGCGGGCTCTGTCGACCGTACGGCGAGCTTCAAGGCGCACCGTGACGCCTTCTTCTTCCTGCTGCAGCGTGAACTTGAGAAGGTGTGACATGTCATGTGGCCGCGCTAACAATAGATCAACACGTTTTACCTGATCACGGAGCGCGAGCTGCGACTGCGGCTACTGGCGCTTCTGTCGAACCGCAAGCGGTTAATGCGCAACAATTCGTCGGAGAACACGGTCAAGTCGCCCGAGTGGGCGAGTCTGGAGGAGGGGTGGCGTCTGTTCGAGCGTGATCTCGGCAAGCTGCAAGGGTTCATCGAGATCAACGCCACGGGATTCCGCAAGATCCTGAAGAAGTGGGACAAGCGGTCAAAGTCGAACACGAAAGAGCTCTACCTGGAGCGCCAAGTCGAGGTGCAGCCGTGTTTCAACCGCGAATTTATTGCCAAGCTGTCCGACATTGTCGCCGCCAACCTGCTTGACATGGAGACGGATCCGGACCAGATTGCCGAGTTGTTCGCCGATCTGCCGCTGCCGAACGAAGAGTCATTCGACCGCGACGACTATGATACGCAGGCGGGCGAGGCGGTTACGAACGACGCGCTGCTGGACGCCGAGGCCAACCTCCCGAACGTGATCGACGCGGGCCGCGATGCTGTCGCCAAGTGGATCAAGCAGATGTACAAGATCCGGGCGAAGCGCAACCCCAAGTCGCACGACCGCGCGATGCGCATTCTGTGGCGCGCGGCGTTCAGCGTACCGGACGACTACCTCGACCTCGTGTTCGCCCAGCCACTCGACTACAAGTACGTCGACATTATCAACAACCGCGACCCGATGCACCAGGGCTGCATTGTCGGCTCGCTCAAGGTCGTCGAACTGTGCATCCAGAATGCGCCCGAGTTGATGGAGATTGGCGACGCGTACAACCGGACGCCGTTGCACTACGCCGCGATGAACGGGCACCCGTCGATCGTGCAGCTGCTGCTCGACCACGGTGCGGACGCGAACAAGACGGACATGGATGGGTACACGCCGCTGATGCACGCAATCACGCAGGGACACCTCGAGGTGATCCGAATATTCGTCGGGCGCGACATTGACGTCGAGCCGACAAAGATGTCGTCCGACTTGATCCCGCTCTCGCTCGCGTGCCAGTATGGGCATGTCGAGGTCGCGCGGCTACTGCTGAAGCGGGGTGCGACCATCCGACCAAACTCGGAGGGCCTGTACCCCATGCACTTTGCGGCCAAAGCGGGGCACGCGGACATCTGTCGTCTGCTTGTCGAGGAGGGCGGGCCGGACGGCGGCGGCAAGGACATGGAGGACAAGTACAACCAGTGGACGCCGCTGCACCACGCCGCTGTCGGCGGGCGGCCGCAGCATATCGAGTGTATCAAGATCCTCGTCGAGGCGGGGTGCAACGTCAACGCCCTCGATGAGTATGGCAAGTCGCCCGGGTGGTACGCGGCGTGGTTTGGCCAGGTTGAGATTCTGAAGTATCTGATCTCGGCGGGTGCCAAGCTCGGCATGGACCCGACACATATGGAGAACCTCGGCCTGGCGGCAGACCCGCAGATGGACGCGCTATCGCCGGGCTCAGACCTGGACCTGGACGCGCCAAACGACGACTTTGAGATTATCCCGTCGCTTTCGCTCCCGCCGCCAATCATGCCGTTGCGCGTGTACGGCCACGAGTTCCTCGCGAAGCGGTGTCTCGTGCAGGTCTCGCTCGGACACCCGTTCACGCACGGCCGCGAGAAGACGCCGCCGATCAAGCTCTACTCGCGCAGTGGCGAAGACTCGTCGTCGCTGCACCTGTGGAGCTCGCTCAAGCTCGTCATGGCGAGTCGCACGGACACGTCTGTCGTGCCGCACAGCGTGATCCTTCCTCTGGCCGACTCTCGCGAGGTCTTTTCGTTCCAGGTGCAAAGCCTCGAGCGGTTCTCGCTCGAGCTGTCTCTCTACCCCACGTTCGGGAGCAAGGTCATCGGGCGCGCTATCATCCACCCGGAGACATTCTCGCACATCCAGAACCGCAAGTGCTACACGGCCTACCTCGTCGACCACCACCTCAAAACGATTGGCGAGGTCGCGTTCGAGATCAGCTGCATCAAGCCGTTCGAGGGCGCACAGCTCGAGATTGGCGGCCGCGTTGAGACGTACTGGAAGAGCAAGGTGACGCCGTCAAACCCAACGCAGGACCACGCGCACCAGTTCCAGTCGCACCGGCCCGTCGACGTGTCGTCCATGTCGCCTGCCGTGCGCCCGAACACAATCTCGGTGCCGTCGCAGCAAGAGTCGGCGCTGCTCACCGCCTCCTCGCTCTCCGGCGACTACATCCGGCTCGACGTGCAGGTGACGCGCGACGGTGTGCCCGTCATCTACCAGGACTGGGCGCTGCCTGTGCCGGGGCTGGACGTGGGTGTGTCCAACGTGACGTATGCGCAGTTCCAGGCGCTGGCCAAGGCGCACGGCCGCGAGCTCGGCCCGGAGCGCCCCTCTGGGCCCGCAGAGTGGTACACGCTCGTGTCGCGGTGCATGACCTCGCTCGAGAGCCTGCTGCAGGCGATCCCCGCCGACGTGGGCACAAATCTGTGCCTGCGGTTCGTGCGGCAATTCGACGCGCAGCGCCTCGGCATCGCGCCCTCGATGGAGGTGAACGAGTTCGTCGACCATGTGCTGCAGGTCGTCTACTCGGCGGGACAGGACACGCCCGGGCGGCGGCTGCTCTTCACGTCGTTCGACCCGACAGTCTGCACAGCGCTGAACTGGAAGCAGCCCAACTATGCCGTTATTTTCGCGTCCTATTGCGGTCTGGAACCGGATCACAAGCTCGCCCCCGTCGACCAAGGCGTCGAGAACGACACGAGGTGCCTCAGTGTCCGCGAGGCGGTCAACTTTGCCAAGACGACGAATCTCCTCGGCGTCATGCTCGAGGCGACGACGCTGGCGGCCGTGCCGTCGCTGGTCGCCAGTGTCAAGGACGCGGGGCTGTTACTCGCCACCTTTGGCAATGAGGAGGATATCAACCACCTACGCCTCGGAGCGAGTGACGGAAGGACCGTCGACGCCTTCTCAAGTCATGGCATCATGAAGCTGGTCATCTAATGCCGCAAATCGATAGAAGAGTTTAGCATCCCCTAAAGCGTAGTACACAGTAGTCTAGTCCCCATTTCATCTGTTCATCACGAGGTCTTAATGCACATCTTACAGCCGCACACATCTGCCTCTTGCCCCGGCTTGCCCAGCAGCAACGTCAATAAATACATCTAATACACAAGTCTATCTCTAGTCGAGCTCCATCTTAACCCCGCGCTCCATCTTGACCTGCCTGAGGGCGCGCTTCTCGCGGTCTCCCGGCGTCTCGCCTCCGTTAATGAACAGTTCGTCCAGCAACCGGTCCACGTCGGGCGTGACAACATAGCTCTTGTGCACCTCGCCGGCAACAGCGAGCGTCTTGCTCTTCTGATCGACATGGACCAGCGTCTGGAGGAAACTCGGGCTGACGCCGGGGCTCACGTCCATGACGACGGCCGAGTCGCCAGAGCCCATGACCATCTTGACCTTGCCGCTCTTGAGGACGACGAGGGAGCCAATCCGGCCCGTGGGCGGTGGGGTGGGCTTCTTCCGCCCCGCAGCGGCGGCAGCGAGCTTGGGCTTCTCCTCCTTCTTCTCCGCCTCTGCACCAGCACCAGTGGCTCCAGCGGCGGCTCCGCCAGCTCCGGCGGCTCCTTCGGCGGCACCGTCGACATCCACGACAGGCTCGGGGGGCGGCTTGAACTTGGGGAACATGTGGGGGAACTGGAACGTGAACAGCTTGTCCTCGGGATGCTCGCCGCCGGGCACCAGGATGAAGTCGCCGCCGAGGTCCTCCTCGAACTCCTCGTCCTCGGACTCGGAGAGGTCCACGCGCTGCGCCTCGTTCACGTCTGGCGTGCCGCTCACGGTCGAAATGTCCGTCACAGACGTGAGGGCACGGACACGGCGGCCCGCCTCGTCCCTGTCCTGCGTCTGGTCGGCGGGGATCATGCTGTCGCCCTCGCGCTCCATGTTCATGTCGTCGTCGGCTGTCGTCGGCAGAGGGGCGCCGGGACGAGAGGGGGAGACGGGCTCAGCCTTGACGAACACGTCGCCCGGCACGTCACCCGCAACGGCAGCACGGACAAGCTTCTGTCGCCGTTTCCGCTCCTTTTGCGCCTTGATCTTCTCCTTCTCCTTTGCCTTCGCTGCGGCCTTGCCACCATCTAGGTCGCGGGCGCGGTAGACCGACGTAGGGGCCGATTCGGAGAGACCGGAAACAGCGTCAATGTCAATGACGCCCGGACGCGAGCCGTCCTCGTTGTCCGAGTAGACCTCGACGGCGACCGTCTCCATGCCCCTGCTCGGGGGAGGGGGGGCGACGACGCGCCGCGACGTGGGCCGGTTGCCGCCAAAGGGACCGGCGGCGATTGTGCTCACGGCAGCGGAACCGCCACGGCCGCCGCGCATACCGCCCCGTCCGCGACCGCGGATCCCGCCCCGACCCCGAGACGAGGTGGCCACGTCCGTCTTCACGTCCTCCTGCACTGCGCGCCGGATTGGCATCTTCGGCTTAAACTTCATCTTGACGGGCTCGGTGCGCGCGCCCTGCACTTGCGAGCTCGAGGCTGACGCTGTCGGCTGTGTCGGAGCCTGCGCCTGCGTCAGTGCCGGAGCAGGGGTCGCCGCCGGGGCTGGCTCGCGGGTGTCCTCCTTTGTGTCCTCCATTGCGTCGTGCTTCTCGTCTGCCTCGTCGTCGGCGTCGGGGTCTAGGAAGAGCGGCTGCTGCCCCGCTGCGGGCGCAGATGTCGAGGGCGACTCGCTGGCCGCCGCCGCAGCGACGAGGGATGCGCGGGGCCGAGTCGGCTTTGTTGGACGAAGACGCTGGCCGGGCATCTTGGGGAGGCGTGGTCTGTCTGGAGCCGACATCGGGTGCAGGTGGAGGAACGCTTCTTGGGCCAAAATAAGTCAGCGGCAGGCACGTTCACTAATTCACTACGCTGGCTGTGCTGTATGGAGATTTTTGCTTCCGCCCTTCGTTCTGGTGGTGGCGAGCGACGACGATGACCGCATGCAGCGTAGTCTCAGGCACGGGGGTGGAGGGGGGTGCATCAGTGCACATGACCCAGCCACAACCTGTAACATGTCAATCACCAGATCCGGGTTTCTGTTTTCCTCCATCATCATCTGATTAGCCCACCATGACTGTGAGTAACCTCCCTGCCTTGGAGCAGCCACTGACGCCGCCTAGGCGATGGACACGTCAAAGCTGAACAACGCGCCCGCCGCGATCCCCATCCCCGAGCCGGCGCAGCACGACGACCTCCGCAACGCTGCCGACCCCTTCGGTGCTCCCGACTCGGCCTACCTCGACGGCTCGGGCACGGGCGAGCAGCCCTCCCACCCCACCGTCGCCGAGACGGGGGCGTTCAGCCCCGGCCACGGCTGCGGGCCGATGAGCGGGCAGCTGAAGCGCCGCGAGAGCAAGACGGGACAGCGCATCATCCGCCTGGCTTCTTTTGGCGGCGAGGGCCTCGATGCTAAGCCTGCAGCTGCTAGCCCGGACGACAAGCCGGGCGTGCAGCAGATGCACCAGCACCAGGCTCAGCAGGGCCAGCAATAGCCTCTCTGAGCCAAAGCGAATGAAACGTGTCTCCTTTGCACGAGGATACCGCCCGACCCAACACTCCGTCCTCGTAGTCACCAGGCGACCGCGACCCACGGACCGAGCGACTGACCGAGTCCCGCCCTAAAGGGCAAGTGTACACTGAAAGCAGGATTTCAAAAACGGGAAATATGCGCAAAAAATGCATAACAACTGGATAACTGTCCGATGTACGATTATAATGGAAAAAATGTCCGTCCAAGGCCCAAGGATGTGGTGGTGTGCGCTACCAAAGTCTAAACGCGCAAATGTCTACGAGAGGTGGGGATCAAAAGCATGAGCGCGGTGCGGCTTAGGGACGGCACACGCCGGCGAGACAGGTGGTGTCGTCGCCGAAGGCCTGGCAGTTGATACCGTCCTTGGCATTCTTCTGGGCCTTGAACGCTCCCCATCGGCATCCGCCGCACGACATCTGCTCGTTCTGGGTGTCGACGCACTCCCAGTGCTCCTGGGAGGCGTCGGCGTAGCACGTCTCGCGGCCGAGCTTGAGGCACTGGTCGGCGAGGTACTCCTGCTCCTGCTCGAAGACCTCGTCAATGCGGGCAGGCTCCTGACGGCGGCGAAGGCCGGAGGGGACGGGGCCAGAGGGCGTCGAGTAGACGTAGAACGTGTCCTGGGAGCAGTAGTCGGAGCGGATGGCCGAGGCAGGCTCGCCGTAGCAGTACCACTGGGAGAAGATGCCGATGCGGGTCGGGTGGGTGACGAGGAACTGGGAGCCCTTGCACGAGTTGCGGAAGATGCCCGCGAGCCCGCTGGCCTTGAAGAAGAGGCGGTCGCGGACCGAGTTGAACGACGCGTCGCGCGTGTTCACGTCGCGCGTGCAGCCCTTGAACTGGTAGCGGGAGCGCAGCACGCGCGTGTCCCAGTATCCGCCGGGGCAGTTGTTGGGCGAGCCCTTGCCGTAGCCGTTCTTGAGGAGGGAGACGCCGAGGAAGGATCCCGGCTCGCCGTACGCACACTTGCACAGGCCGGTGGAACGCTCCCAGTACGAGAAGCCCTTCTGGCGGTTGTTGCAGTAGGCGGCGCACTCGTCGCCCGAGGACTTGTGCGTGATCCAGGCGTTCAGGATGGTCGTCCAGAGGGCGAGCGTGTTGTAGCAGCCGACAAAGGGCGTGTTGTCGCCGTCGTCGGCCCAGAAGGTGCGCTTCTCGACCGAGGCGGCCGAGGCGGGCATGAGCATCACCAGGATGGCGAGGAAGGCTCCAAGGAGCATGGCGAAAGAGTGTGGGTGGGGTGTAAGGAGAGACGAAAGGGTGGCCGGGGGAGGAGCGGCTGGGCAGGGCAAGTAGACGGGTGAGGGGGATGTTTTGCAGATCCCAGCTCGGTCTCTCTTCTTATATACACCTTTTGTGTTTCTCTTCTCCTCGGGCCAGCTGCAGAGTACCGGTACCGGGACCTTGCTCGCTCGTCGGGAGCCGCGCATCCGCACGCTGTCCTCTGCGTCTCTGCGTTGAGTGGGCTACGACCTCGGGTCGGGTCCGAATGGACTGGGGATCAAGGGGGCTCTTCTCGAACACACCCTAGCGCGGAGCGATCAACAGGATAACGAGCCCATGTCGTTGTTTCTGCTGCTTATTCCTGATTCCTGAGGCTTGAGCCGTCATCGTCCATCGTCGCCCGAGGTGCGACGGTACGGGTTAGCCAGAATGAGTTAACGACAGCGAGAGGCAAGGGTGCCACACCGACCTACCCCACGGCCAGGGACTGAGACCACTATGGGAGCGTCGATTGTAGGCGCGTCGAGGCATGCCGTAGCTGGTCTTGAGCCGCAGGGCACCCTGCAGCGGCTCGAGCTGCAAATCCACGCATTCGAACGCTATGGAGCCGTAGTCAAGCGCCTCCCGGGGGCTTGCGCTTCCGAAGGCTTGGACCACATTCATCGGGTTCTGCAGCAATTGCAACACCTTCAGGCCAGCGTCAGGCTGGCTTCAGGCCAGTCTTCAGGCCCAGCTTTGCCCGTTCTGCCGCTCGCCGTGCCTGGCGCAAGCAACTGCCCGCGTTTGTCGAGCCCCTCTCCAGCGGGGGCTCAAGCAATTCTGTGCTTGAGCGGAACAGCGTAAACTAGGTCTACCGCCGACGCCACACGGGCCAGCGTCAGGGCTCATCGACGGCAAGGGCCGTGGTCATTCTCGGCACTCAGGGCGGCGCTTCATGAGCTATTCATGTACCGCACCCGTTCTTCCTCTCTGTCTGCCCGCATCTTTCTCGGAACGAACCTATGCTTACACGGCTTAAACGGGCAGAAGGCACGAAGGACCCATGATCCCCTTGCGCTAGTTGTTTCTGAAACAGAGCCGCCGCTCTGATGTCTGGTTCGCTCCTTGGCTGCTCTGGTGGACCTACCACAGCATAGTCCACGTCTTCGTAAACTTCGACTTCGCCTTCGTGGGGCACTGGAAACAGTGGAAGCTCGAACCAAAGGAGGCATTACGCGCATTACGCACGAGTGATCGGACGGGAGTGCGTCACCGTATCGAGCGGTTTGTCCACCAACCATACACCCCAGCGAGAACCGAAGAACCGGCCGTACCACAAGGAGAGTGAGACAGCCGTCCCAGAGCATGCACAAACGACTCCCGCACACATCCTTGGGACCAAACACTGCTTATGATTCGTTCCTCGCATCAACCGAAGGACGCCTCAGAAGTCCCGCAAGCCTGGACGCATCTGGACACGCCTGGCGTCCTGCGGCCAACGCGTCCTGTGCTGCTTACGCAACATTGTCTCGTACACCATTCATTTCGGCTCCTTACGCACTCCCTTGCCTTCATTCCTGTTTCCTGTTTACCGGAGTGTGCCTGTCAGCAAGAACACGATGCCGCAATGTTGGTATTCTGGGGCCTCTATCTATTCTGTCTGTGCCTGAGTGTGGCCGTGAGGTCGTGAGGAAGTCCCGGACCGGCTCTACTGAGCAGCATGGCGGATGTTGACACAACCAGCTGATCCGGAGCATGCTGCACGCTGCGGGACCGCAGCACATGGCCCGCACGCCTCGCTCCGAGGGTTGCACGCGCCGTATCGACCCCTCACCCCTCCCCTTCGCGGAGCGAACGAGGGGGGCACGTAATATGTCAGTCTCCGCGCTCTCGCACTCACGCTCTCACCCTCACCCTCGCCTCTTCGCTCTGTTCCCCCGTTCCTCCGCAGCGGGTAGCCTTGAGCTCGATCGGGGTTGCATGCAAGTCCTGCTTCGAGGACACTCCGGTGGCGGCACTGCACCAGTGACGCCCAAGAATGTCTCTGCACAGCTCTCGCCTTCCGATACTCGGTAGCGGCCCATGAGACATGCCTGCGTACTACTGGTACTACTCGGACTATTGGTAACTCGGTGTCCAGACAGTGCTAACTTTATAGTGCTTCCAGAACACCTATTCCCACGAGAGCGATCAAACTAGAGCGTCAACTAAGACCTGAGCCCCACTCATGCTCGAAGGATAGGACAGAAAGTAAGCCAGCAGAAAGGACGTACGTACAGACGCGCGACCTGACCACGAGCGCGCGGCTGGGGACTAGCATGGTCAAGGATATCAAGGGCGGTTTGCTTCCCGGGGCCCAATTCATATCGCGGATAGCATGACTAACTCTGCCGGCATGTCTTGCCAGCATCAGCCTCGTTCACCGAGGACGTCAAACGAGGCGGCTCGTGCACTCTGTTCGGTGCACCTCATGCATAATCCCTTTCCGGTGGCCCTGAGACAATTCGTCTCCTCCAGCTCCCTCACCTGGGGACTGTCCGACAGAACTATTTTCGACATCCTTGTGCCTCGCGGCAGAAGTCGAATTGCAGCAGACGTCGGAAGCACAGGACTGCTGACGAGAGGACGGAGGAGCAGGCGGTGCGAGCGGTGCGAATGTACCGCTCTTCCTAAACTTGGAGAAGGCTGGGTGAGGACGCAAGACGCAGAGAGAGAGAAACAGGTCAAACACAGCGTAGCACCGACGTGCGGCAATTCAACCCCAATTCAACAGTCAAGCCTCCCTCCGTCGGCCCGTCTGTTTCCTGACGTCCTCTTGAAGTTGTTGATGGTCGTGTGGTGTCTTACAAGCCTGCCCGCCTTTGTGATCGTCGAGTGGGTGCTTTCTGCCATTGGTTCAGTGCACGGCCGATACAGAAACGGATTTGTGGAGAAATTTGAGTATCCGCCTCGCCCAGCAGATCAGGGCGCTCCAGGCCTGCTTTCGCTGTTGGACGGCCTGAATTCAGCTTCCCGTCGCTAATATGTGCCCTGTGAGCGAACACCCGGTGACACTCAGTGTCACTTTCGACCCACCGGCAGAACACCTGCCAAGCTGCACGGTTTCCTACCTGACTACTGTTGTCCGAATAGCCAGGCCTGGCTCGCTGGCTCGCTCCGGTTCACCCAGGCTCACCACTGAATAGTCTTGCCCGCGAACGATCTGCCTGACAAGTCTGCCGTTCGTAACGGACATACCACCTTGGCCGCGGCTGATCGCGACGCCACTGTGGCCCGCGCAACCCTGCCTTGATTGCCTCTGGGTTGACAGTCTTTCGGTACTATACTGTACGGTATTGAAGAGCATGGAAGATGCCCGAGCGCTGACAGTCACTCAATGCCCGTGAGCTGAAGACACTGAACGGTGAAGGCTCGCGACCGAAGGAGCTGAAGAACCCGGGTACTGAATGGCTCCACCATCAAAGCCCTCGTACCCGCCCATCCATAAGTTGGGTCACCTGGTCGAGCGTGCGCATTTAAGCATAAAACTTCTTATTCGGAGGATTAGTCGGGACCACCAGGTACGCTCCCGAACGCACACACGCACACACGCACTCGGTCAAGACACACATGGGTCGACAGGCGCCACCGATCACGAGATGCGCTGTTCGTGGGAACGACGGGCGTGGGCCTCGTGACTGTCGAACGGTCGAGGAACAACGGTCATGGTGTGTTCTGACCGCTGGAAGGTCGAACACTGGAAGGAATGGCATGTGTAGACAAGCATTGCGGATGGGCGACAGGTGGGACAGCGAGGAACACCATCGGAGCGTCCATGGGTAAGTCTTCTCATCTGTTAAAAGAACGAGTGGAACGGCTAGCGTGACTGCATTCTTTTACTACACACTGCTCACGCATGGACTACTGACTACTGACACACCACTGAGGACCCAACGTGGGATTTACGACCACCTCCAGCCCGCTTTGCGCTTAGAGCTTGGCCTGGGCGGCGGTCCTGATGAGGGCACGACCGTTGGAGAGACAGACCTTGCCGCCCTCGACCTTGGTCTCGAAGATGATCTCCTCAAAGCCGTCCTTGTCAACGTTGCCCGTGCGCCAGACCGAGGTGACGAGCTTGTCTCCGGGCTTGACGGGCGAAGCGAAGCGAGCCTGGTACTCCTTGATGTTGGCGGGGTCGCTGTTGCCAAGGGCCTTGAGGAGGTCGTGCGCGGTCGAGTTCCACGAGTAGAGGCCGTGGATGATCTCGCCGCCGAAACCCATCTTCTGTCCCGGCTCCGGGGTCGCGTGGAGCGGGTTGTAGTCGCCGTTCAGGCGATAGAGGAGCGCCGTCTCCTTGGTCGTCTGGTTCACGAGCGTTGCGTCCGGCGCCTTGCCCTTCGGCGGAGGGTAGGACGCATTGGCGGGGCCCTTGGGACCGCCCCAGCCGCCCTGGCCGACGTAGAACGAAGAGGAGAGGATCGAGGCGTAGACATCGCCGTTGGCAGCGTCGACGAGGTCGGTCTGCGTGTCGACGACGGAACCGGGCTTGCCCTTGTCCCACACACCGGCGACCTTGGTGCGGATCTCAAACTTGCGTCCCTCAGACGAAGTGGGGATCGGCTTGAAGAACTTGATGTGACGCTGACCATCAAGAACACGCTTGGCGTCAAACTTGGGCACGTCGGGGATCTGGATCGACTTCTGGCCCTTGTAGAAGTCGAGGACCTCCTGGGTGGTGCCCTTGAAAGCTTCGGAGTCAGCGGAAACTCTCAAAGCCCGGAAGGATGTTTCGCTTGCGCGTGCAGCGCTGCAGCATGCGCCATGTACGCACTGAGGATGATGGGGTAAGTGGGGAAGGTCTTGAAGTCGGGGTGCAGCTCGTAGAGGAACTGGAGCTCGTCGGCCTTTGCTCCGATCGAGTTGGCGAAGAGCAGGACGTCGCGCTTGAGCCACGAGACGGGCTGGCGGGGGTACTCGAATCCGACACCGGGTCCAGACATGGTTGCTTGAGAGTAGAAGTGATGGGATGCGGTGGGCAGAACTGGGGTTTCAACGAATATATAGACTACTGTGGGTGGTGGACTGGAATCCGGGGCATCCGGGGGGAAAGTAGCCGGGGCGAGACGCCGGACGCCGACAGCCGGTGGGGAACTGCCCCCAGCGTCGGCCATGTCCGCCAGCCAAGTCTTTTTGGGTTGTGGGCGGCATCGAGCGCTTGTTGCGCTTGTTGCGCTATTGCGCACTACGTCTTGTGTCATCATTCAATTACTGCTGCATGTCAATGGTACCAACTAGCGACTTTCTACGCACTCTACACCCGTCTACAATCGGGAAACGCCCTTGTAGCCTGTCCGTGGCTCGACGCTCTCGAGGCATCGCTCGAGCCAGTCCCTCGTCTCCGCCGGGTCGATGACCGAGTCAATCTCAGTCGCCTGCGCCATGTTGATAGCCCGTCCGCGAGCGTACATGTCGTCGATGAACTGCTGCTCAGCCTTGGCCCTCTGCTCGAGGTCCGGGATCGCGTCCAGCTCCTTCTTCATGCCGAGCTTGATCGCGCCCTCGACGCCCATGCCTGCAAACTCGCCAGTCGGCCATGCAACGCTGCTGAAGGGAATGGAGGTGCTGCCGCCCAGCAGCGCCTGCGCGCCCAGTCCATACGCCTTGCGCACAGTCAGACCAAACATGCGGCCGCCGGTGTCGACGAAGCCAGCGCCCGCCGCGAAATACTCGGCGAAAGCCCTCAATCCGCCCTCAGGCTCCGCCTTGGGGCCGACCATGAAGCCGGGCGTGTCGCAGATGGCGAGGACGTGGCAGGCGCGCGTCTTGGTGAGAATACGGAGGAAGCGGGACGCCTTGCGCGCAGAGTCGGCATCGATGGCACCACCGAGCGGCGAGAGGACATTCGAAGCAACCACGCCGAGCGTCAGCCCCTTCACGCGCAGGAAACCAGTGATGAGTGAGTTGCCCCAATGCGCGCCGAGCTCGAAAAAGGGCGTGTCGTCGTCCGTAATCAGATCCAGGATGCGGTGCATGCTGTACGCGCGCTTGCGGTCGGTCGGGATCGCGTGGCGGAACAGGCGGGCGTCCTTCTCCCAAGCGCCCGCGGAATGCGGGTGGAAGAAGCCGACGAGCGTCTTGGTCGCCTCGGTAGCCGCCGCCTCGTCCCAGACAGTCACGTCAACGTTGCCGTTCTTCAGGTGCGCAGAGCGGATGGGGCCAACGTCTTCGGGCTTGACGACGCCCAGACCGCCGCCCTCAATCATCGCAGGGCCGCCCATACCAACACTCGTGCCGGGGTTCTCGGTAGCGATGATGAAGTCGCACGTGCCGAGGAGCGCCGCATTGCCCGCGAAGAGGTTGCCGTTCGCGACGCCGATGGTGGGAATGCCACGGAAGTTGATGCGGGCGAGGAGAACGAAACTGGGACCGTTGAGGCCCGCAACCTTGGTGTGGAACGTGTCCACGTCGCCTGGGCGGCCGCCCCCGCCCTCGGCATAGAGCACGAGCGGGGCGGGGTTCTCGAGCACAGAGTGGAAGATCCGATCCAGCTTCTTGTGGTGGAAGTAACCCTGGGTGCCGGCAAGCACGCCATAGTCGTACATGACCACCGCGGTGCGCTGGCCATCAACCTTGGCCCAGCCGACGATGACGCCGTCATTGCGCGTCGCGAGCAGGTTGTTGCCGCTCAGACGCGTGCGCTGCGCAGCGAGCGCGAGGTCGCCGTACTCGACAAACGTGCCCGCGTCGACGAGGTCGGCCAGGTTCTCTCGCGCAGTGCGGTACTTGCGATCGCGGCGGCGCTGCGTCGCCTTGGCACGGATGGGGTGGTCGTCCTGCAGCTGTGCGCGCACTTCGTCCAGCTCCTGCAGCGAAGCGGGCTTAGAGTCCAAGTCGACCTTCTCCTCCTCCACAGCCTGGCTGTCATCCGCCCCCTCCGAGGTCGAGAGGAGCGCAACCGCATCGCCCTCCTCAAAGTTGTCACCGGGTTTCGCGAGGACCTTGAGCACCTTGCCTGAGGCTGCAGCGCGCACCGTGTGCTCCATCTTCATGCTCTCGACAATCAGGACTTCCTCGCCCTTCCGAATCTCCTGGCCCTCCTTGACCGCTACGCTGACAACGCGACCCGGGAGGTGGGTCTGGACGTACGCTTCTCCAGGTCCCGCGGGAGGCAGGTTGGACGACCGGTTGACCTCCTCCTCCTGCGGTCCGTCGGCGGCTTCCTGCGCCGTGCGCTCGGCGTCAATCTTGGTCGCGACCTCGTACAGCTGGCCGGCATTCTCCTCAACGTAGCGCGTGTGCACACCCTCATTCTTGGCGACGTGAGGATCCTCGCAAAGCGCAAGCAGAAGCGCCCGATTCGTAGCCACGCCAGTGATGCGGAGGCGGTCCAGCGCAGCGCGCGCCCGCGTAATGGTGTCCTCGTAGCTGCGTCCGGTAAGGATAATCTTGGCAAGCAGCGAGTCAAACTCCATACCCTGCTTGTAGCTCCCAACGCCCGGGATCGGTGCGTGCGCCGCCGTGTCGACGCGCACGCCCGGGCCAGTGGGCAGCGCGAGGGAGCGGATTGTGCCCGTCGTGCCCGTCGCGCTTCCATCGGGCTGGAACTTCTCGGCGTTGATGCGCAGCTGCAGCGCCGCTCTCGGGGCGAGGTCGGGCGTCGCGCCCAGCGCCTCGTGAAGCGGCACGCCCTGTGCGAGGCGGATCTGCGTCGCAACCAGATCGACGCCGTACGCTTCCTCCGTGACCGTGTGCTCGACTTGGAGGCGCGGGTTGCACTCGAGGAAGTAGTACTCATCACCCTGGAGGAGGAACTCCATCGTTGCGAGCGAGCGCAGCTTTCCCTCTGCCGCTAGTGCGAGGGCAGAGCTGATGATGCTCGCGCGCAGGTCGCCTCGCCCCCGCAGCGTCGGAGAAGGGCAGAGCTCGATCAGCTTCTGGTTCCGGCGCTGCAGGGAGCACTCCCTTTCTCCGACGGCACGGACGAGTCCCGTGCCATCGCCGACGACCTGAACCTCGATATGCCGCGCCTGCGGGAGGAAGGGCTCGGCAAACACCCTGTCGGAGGGGAAGGCCGCGCGCGCCTCGCGGCGACATCCGTCGTAGGCGCTCTGCAGCTCGGATAGGTCGCGGACAATACGGATTCCACGGCCACCACCACCCTCAAGCGCCTTCAGCATCAGCGCCTGTCCCTTGGGCAGTTTCGAGGCAAAGTCGCGGATCTCGTCGAGCGAGGCGTCCGCGCTCGTGCTCGGAAGGACGGGGACCCCGGCGCGACGCGCAAACTCTTTGCTCGTGTGCTTGTCGCCGAAGAGCGTCAGTGTTTCGGCCCGGGGGCCAATCCAGGTCATCCCGGCGTCCTGGACTGCCTTGGCAAAGACGGGCGACTCGCTCAGAAAGCCGTAGCCTGGGATCACGGCGTCGGCCTTGGCATCCTTCGCAACGCGGATCAGACTGTCGACATTGAGATAGGCAGAGGCGCCCTGGCCAGGGATCTGGAGGCGCTGCCCGGGTGGAAGATTCAAGACATGCGGGGCGTTGGTCCCCTCGGACGCAGTATGGATGCCCAGAGCGGTGTGGCCGAGCAGTCCGATCGAGGCCTGGATGCGCACGGCGATCTCGCCGCGGTTGGCGACGAGGATGCGCAGGGGACGCTGCCGAGTGGAAAACTCGGGGACGCGCACGCAGCTCATGTCGTCGTCTGTGTTGTTGGTGTTGTTGGCGAGGGTGTCTCGTCGAGGTTGCAGCCAGGGGACGTCATAAATGTGGAGAGCGTTGCAACGACGTTCGGCTACCCACACTCCCGGCGGATGGGCAACGGCGGGCAGTGATCGGACGTGACCGGCGGAGGTCGCCGAGATAGAGTTCCCCGCGCGATATCCGCGTGCAGACCACGTGGAGCGGCGTCGTGCCTGGATTACTCAGAATGTTCAACTTCCGTTGGCGCCGTTGGTCAGCAATGTAGTCAGCACATGACGCCATCCGATCTCTCCTTCCGAACACTTCTCCATGCTCAACAGAGCTATAAAGCTCACCCCTCAGCTCTTATCTCGGACCACAGCACCAATCAGATCACCCCGCTTCTTCACCACATCCACAATGACCGCCTCCACCCACGCCAGCTTCCAGTACATCGACCCCGCGTCCATCAAAGACACGAAGCCGTGGTCCAAGGTCGACGGCCCCGGACGCTCCTACGGCGAGGTCACGGTCGAGAAGCCAGTGTACAACGCCCGCGACGACGCTGGTGACTTCAAGGACGTCGACCGGACCGGTTTCGCATTCTACACTTCGCCGTCGGCCGTGCCGGCCGAAGACGTGCTTTCCGACGGACCGGCAGTGCGCGGAGCGTACTATGACGAGGTCGAGGCTGCGCTTCGCAAGAATCTCAAGGACGGCGACAAGGTGAAGCGCGTGTACATCTTCGACCACACGATCCGCGTGCGCGACCCGAACGCCGCTCGCCAACCCGTCGCGTTCGTGCACGTTGACCAGACTCCCGGCGCCGCTGCTGCCCGTGTGCGTAGGCATCTGGGTGACGACGCCGAGGCCCTGCTGCAGAAGCGCTTCCAGCTGATCAACGTCTGGAGGCCACTTGGACACGAGGCGTCCGACCACCCGCTCGGTGTAATTGACTGGCGATCAGCATCGAAGGCGGACCTCACCCCCGTCGACCTCCTGTACCCCGAGCGCAACGATGGCGACGACGACGACCGCGGCAAGGAGAAGCTCCCCGACGCCGAGACGCTGCAGTCGACTGAGGGATACAAGGTCGGAGGAGAGACATACTCGGTCTTGCCCAACCCGAAGCACCGCTTCTACTATGTCAAGGACATGCGCCCGGACGAGATCATGCTCCTCAAATGCTTCGACAGCGAGAGCGCCGAGAACGGCGGTCCCAGCGACCTCGCCGGCTTCACGCCGCATACCGCCTTCGACGACCCGAACACGCCCAAGGATGCCAAGCCGCGGCAGTCGATCGAGGTGCGTTGCCTCGTGTTCTACGAGTAAACCTCACCCCTAGTAAACTCATTATGTATCCTAGTGTAGCATACGTCCAAGACTGATCATTCACTGACATCTACAAACTCTACTTGCTTACAACGTGAACAGTGGCCTGCGCCGGCTGCGACGGCGACTGGGCCGGGGATTCGACAACCTTCTCGTCCACGCTCTCGGCGACAGGTGTCGAGATGGCCGTTTGGGACGAGTTGGCGCTCTCCAGGATCTCGGCGACGGGGCGGTCGGGTGCGTGCCACCAGATGAGATACACGATGTGCGCGGGGGGACCGCAGCAGAAGAGCAGCACAATCATCCATTTGGGGTTGAGGACGTTGACGAGACCAAAGACGAGGAGGTAGCCACCTGCCTCGCAGCCGATCTTGGACGAAAACGCGACGTCAGCGTTGTACGTGAGGAACGTGGAGAGGTACGTCAGGATCGAGACCTCGAGGGCGAGGAGCTGGATGTTGTAGAACGCGCCGGCGAAGGAGAGGACGGCCTTGTAGTGGCTCGGCCGCGTCATGCCCGGCTCGGATCCGACGCCCTTCTCGCCCATGTAGTACGCGGCGAGCGCGAGGCCGCAGAGGCAGTAGTACGCGCCGATGTAGATGTACATGATCCAGCGGAATTTGGAAGCGACGTAGCGCGTGCGCAGGCGGTCGTAGAAGATACCGAAGAGGATGGCGGCGACGAGCGCCCAGCTCTCGGAGATGGCGTAGATCCACCCGTTCCAGTCGCCGCCGACCTTGTTCACAATCTTGTTGAAGGACGCATTGAACCAGCCCTGCGTCATGCCGCCCGTCACGAAGATGGAGGGGCCAAGGGGGCCGAACACCGGGTGCCACAGCATCTTGACGGGATTCCAGAAGTTGGCCTTCCACGCCGCGAGCTTGGAGCCGGTGCTTCCCGACCCGCCTGAGAGGGCGAGATCCTGCACCACGGCATTCTCGTTCTTCAGGTCGGCCTTCTCGACTCGGCGGTACTCGACTGTCCCGTCGTCGAGCTTGACGCGGTGCAGCTCCACATCGGGCTGCTGCTCCACGTGTGCGGCAGAGGCGGCGGTCTTGTGCCCGCGGAACCGGCGACGGAAGCTGATGGCATGAATGAAGAAGCAGATGACACTCGTGCCGCACAGACCAAGGAAGACGGCATACTGGTGGTTCCAGTTCGGAAGACCCTTCTGTACGCCTCCGAGGATGAGACCACCCGCGAAAACGCCAAGGTGGAACGCGCACTGGTAGATGCCCGCGTTGGAAGCGCGGTTGTGAGGTGTACTGCACGCCGCGATCAGCTGTCCCGCCGCCGGCCACAGGATGCCCGCGCCCCAACCGAAGAAGGCGGCGCCGACCAAATTGGCAGCATTGTTGTTCGCGAACATGCACGCGATCCATGTTCCATACGAGATGGGACCCCAGATGAGGCAGAACTCTAGTCCCCACCACGAGAGGAAGAAGGTCGCCCACATCGACGTCACAAAGTAGGCGCTGTAGAGCACAATGAGAATGTAGGCGCCCGTATCGGGGAAGCGGATCGTCTGTACACCCTGGATGGGATACGACGTGAAGAGTAGCGTGAAACCTTGCTGTTAGCAATGACGCGGTTTTCTGGCGTTTTGCCGAGTTTTGCAGCGAGGTGTTGCCACTCGTCCGCGATAATGCCCACAACGCCTGAAGCCACTCACCAAGGGACATGATCCAGACGTGGATGTCGCGGTCGCCGAGCCAGTGCCACAGTGCCTTGAGCGAGTACTTTTTGTGCGCAAGCTCGTGCGCTGGCACATCGAGCACCTGGACCGGCGCCTGGGGGCCCTTTTTCTCAAAGTCGGCCTCAGAGCCCGTACTTGATGTGTTTCCCGACATGGTTGTTCAGAGGTTTGGAGCAGGATAAACCGAGGCATCGAGGTTCCCAAGCGCCTGTCTTATAGCGCCACGCTTCTAGAACGCAACAATGCATGGCGACCACCAGTTTCAGGCGGAGCATCTCAAAAAAGTTGGAGATTGCAAAGCCTAACTGAATGATGAATGCTGCTCCGCGCCCAAAGTTAAGTCGTGACTGGTAGTAACCTGATGTAACCAATCGGCCATGAGTTCCCGGACAACGGCCATGGATCCGCCGGCACGACCCATCGGCATCGTCGGGCAGAACCCACTGGCCCATCGCCATGACCATGGCATTTCCCCTCTGTACGTAAGTTGTGGATACGATCCGATCAGGGGGCTTGCAATGTATCTTACGGTCTTTGCTTTGTTGCCCAGCCGAGAGGCGCGGGGTTAGTGTCCTTTCCAGTGGGCGGCGCACGGGGCAGAGTCCGCTAGGCCGCTGTTCACCGAGATAAAGCTTGGACAGGGACAATCGGCCACGTGGGGCTGATAGTTGTGATATCTTTGCGTGGGCGCGTGTTTTCGGCTGGGCATGGCGTGCTGACGCCATCCTCTGATTGGCTCCTGCCACCGCGTTCGTCACTTGCATGCCCGGTGTTGCAATCCCTTCTCATCGTTGTACATACTCCCCCGTCCACTCGCCGTCGCCTGCTCCCCCTCGCCGCGCTCGTCTAACGCGTCTGCCACCTCGCCTGTCTCACAAATGACCCTGTCAAGCCAGCCTTGCGCAGTGGCATTGTCAACCCTTGCTCGGAGTTTCTCATCCAGTCCCGAGCTTCTTTCGATCACATCTTGGACTGAACTAAGCACACCAGCGTGGAGCACCAAAGGGAGCACGTTACCATGGCCTTTTGAGATTTCTGACGGCCCTCGCGGCGCTTCCCTCGGCTGCGTGACATTCATAAGCACTCACAGTCGGCACTGACCAACTTTCAACATTACCCAAACTCACCACAATGCCTGCCCCCGGCCACTCCGGCACTGGCGTCTACCACCCGAACGGGCACTCTGACCCGCTGAAGCCGTCGCGCTCTGCGACGGTTGCGGGCATCATCAACAACCTCGCGCAAGCTGCGAAGCCTCCGGCCCCGAAACCAGCGCCCGTCAAGCGCAACTCGTCCGCCGACTCGGACGTCAGCTCGGCCTCCTCAACCTCGGTCTCCGGCAAGGACATCAACGGCACGCACGTGCGAGATGTTTTCCGGAACACGGCCAACTCGGTGTGGATTATCACGAGTGCGTGGGACGGCGAGCCCGTCGGCTACACGGCCATCACGGTGAACAGCGTCTCCGTCGAGCCACCGATGATCACATTCAACATTGGCCGCAGCTCCAGCTCGCTGAACACCATCTCGCGCTCGCTCAAGTTCGCGGCACATCTGCTTGCTGACGGCGAGACGGCCGCCGCGAAACGCTTTGCTGCCGATGCCAAGCTTCGCTTCGCGGACAAGTCGACGTGGAGCTGGCACGAGGACGGCCTGCCTTCGCTCTCCAACGGAGTGCTCGCGCGCCTAGCCGGTGACATCGTCAACCTCTCGCACGCAGGTGACAACCTCCTAGTCCTCGGCCGACTCGAGAACATTGATATCCGCCCCGGCCAGCCGCTCGTGTATCACCAGGGCTCCTATCGCACGCTGCCTGACCCGACGGCGCAGCTGTCCCTGTCCCCGCCGAAGAAGGACCGCCGCATCTACCTGAACGCATTCGACATGTGCTGCGTCGGGCACCAGGCGAGCGGCATGTGGTCCTACCCCGGCGACAAGGCGAGTACGTACAAGGACCTCGAGTACTGGACCGACTTGGCGAAACTGCTCGAGGGCGGCGGGTTCGACGCGCTCTTCCTCGCCGACGTCGTCGGCATCTATGATGTGTACCAGGGCAGCCGGGATGCGGCTGTGCGTTCCGCCGCGCAGGTGCCCGTCAATGACCCGGTCGGCCCGATTTCGGCCATGGCGGCCGTCACGGAGCGTCTCGGTTTCGGCGTGACCGTGTCGCTGACGTACGAGTTGCCGTACGCGTTCGCGCGCCGCATGAGCACGCTCGACCACCTGACCAAGGGCCGCGTAGCTTGGAATATCGTCACGTCGTACCTGAAGAGCGCGGCGACCAACCTCGGCCTCGACGCGCAGGTCCCGCACGACGAGCGCTACAACATTGCCGAGGAATTCCTTGAGGTGTGCTACAAGCTCTGGGAGAGCTCGTGGGAGGACGACGCAGTCATCCGGGACTGGCGCTCGGGCGTTTATACCGATCCCGCCAAGGTCCACGACATTGAGCACAAGGGCAAATACTTTAATGTTCCTGGCGCGCACCTCTGCGAGCCCTCGCCGCAGCGCACGCCGTACCTCTTCCAGGCGGGCGCGTCAGCGCGCGGTCAGGCGTTTGCCGCCAAGCACGCCGAGAGCGTCTTCATTGCCGGACCCAACACGACACATCTCAAGCGCCTCACCAAGGGGATCCGGCAGAGCGCAGTCGACCAGGGGCGCAATCCCGCGGACATTAAGATCTTCGCCCTCGTTACCATTATCACTGGTCCGACGGATGAGGCGGCACAGGCCAAGTTTGAGGAGTACAAGCGCTACTCGACGGTCGAGGGCGCGCTGGCGCTGTACGGAGGCTGGGCGGGCGTCGACCTCTCGACTCTGCCCTTGGACCAGCCGCTCGAGTACGTCGAGAACGACGCGATCCGGTCCGTGAACGAGATGTGGAGCAAGCAGGGCGAGGGCGGCGAGGTTTGGACCCCGCGCAAGATTGGTGAGAAGATTGCCATCGGCGGCCTTGGCCCCGTCGCCGTTGGAAGCGGCAAGACGATCGCGGACCTGCTCGAGAAGTGGGTCGACGAGGCCGACATTGACGGCTTCAACCTCGCCTACGCCGTCACGCCGGGCACGTTCGAGGATATCATCACCTACGTCGTCCCCGAGCTCCGACACCGGGGCCGCCTTCCGACCCACCAGAAGGCGAAGAAGGGAGAGCGCAAAACGCTCAGAGAGAGCATGGGCGGACCCAATGCCACAGCCCACGTCAGCCCCGACCATCCGGCGTATGCGTACAAGGTGTCCAAGTGAACGAAAACGTAGAAGTTGTAATACATGTATAGTAACAGCACCGTCTACTGCAGTGGCCTATAACTCGAGTCATGGCTCTGCTGTGAGCTAGCGTGAACAGCGAGTGGAGCTCACAGTGGACGGGCGACTTATCTTGCAACGAAAAAGCGGCCCAGCTTGACGAGAGTTGGGAGACCGCCTCTGTAGTCGAGCGCGGGCTCAGCACCGGGAGCTGCTGTCAGCTCGTTCGCCGGCGCGGCTAGCTCACGCGAAGTTCTGCGAGGACAGGTACAGGGCCGCCTGTCCACGATGAAGATGCTCCTCGTCACTCGAGGTTGTGCACGCTGCCATCAGCTATATCCACCTGCTCAGGTCAGCTTCCTACCCCGATCCAATGTCAAGCTGGAAAGCAACTTGAAGACTTCTGGGGCCAGGCCAGTATGCTGCTGCGGTCAGCTCTCGCTCGGCCTCGCCAGCTTCGTACCCGGACATAGTTGCGCGGGTAGCCCCCGCCGGCGTCAGCACTGAGAAGCAGTTCAATGAGGCAGCTTGCCTAATCAAACTGTGTGCCGACAACTGGGGAAGGGCGTGTAGACAAGTGCGTGCTTCTCACAGTTGAACCTGGTTGCGTCTGGTGATCCGCCTGTCCGTGCCCCAACGCCTGAAGTCAGCTTAGCGGTTGCCCGTTGAAAGCTCACCCTCTCGTTGGCCCGTCACAGCGCTGTTCGTTACATTCGGCTCTCGCCTGTATTGGGATCAAGGGGTTTGTCCGGTCGTCCGGCTCTCTCCAGTAGTGTGTCCGGTCGTCCGGCCCTCTGAGGTGGTGTAAGTCAAGATGGGGTGTGAGTGATGGTAAGACGTCAGAATCATTGTGTCAGTGGTGGTCTCTTATATATGCGTCAGACACGCCGTGGACAGAAAGCCATTGGGGTGTGAAGCTGTGCTGCTATCCTCGCACTCTCGCAACGTCGCACTGTGTGCGCTGCGAGATCTCCCACGCGGCGTGCTCGGTGCTGCTTGAGTGTGAATGCGGTGCGACGTGGGCGTGCGCAGCCTGTCTGATGAGACAGCACTCGAGCGTGTCCTCAGTGCGAGGGTGCGCGGTGGCTGCGACACGATGTCCAGCATATGCTGCAGCGAAGTGCGTGCGGCTTCACAGTCTTGCGAAGCGTGTCGTCCATGTGTCTGCTCGCCCACTCATACTCCGTCGGAAGTCGCGGGACCGAGCCCAACCACCAAGTCGCGCAAGAGGTAGCCGATGTCTCGACGGACCGGTCGCCCGGCCGACCACTTCCATGCTCTGCAGCGGGCCCTCAGTAGTTACAACTGCATGCATGCCCACCGTTCCATCCCTATCTGTGCTATCTTTGAACGCCGCCGCATGCATGATCGTATAAGTCGTATAGATGCTCTGCCCACTCGCGTCTCTCTCTGGCGGAGTTAACCGATGCCCGTGCCCTGTTGGGGGTTGATAACCGAACCCTGGCGGGGTGGTGGGCTGGTAACTCCACTACACATCGAACCTTACCTCACTTCCTTTCTCAACCTCAACATCCACCATGACAACAGACAAGGGCGACTGGAAGGCGCGTGCGGCCGCATACAAGCAATCTATCCTCGACGCGATCCCGCCAGAATGGCGCGTCGACGAGTCCGTCCTCGCCGGCCTGAAGCCCGGGTCCGAGGTGCGCTTCGTCGCCCAGCAGACGATTCTGACCAAGGACGAGATCCACCTGCTCGCGCGCGACGCGACGACGCTGGCCGCTGACATTGCCGCGGGCCGCTTCACTGCCGTCGCGACGGCCACGGCTTATGCCAAGAGTGCGGCGGTTGCGCACCAGGTCACCAACTGCCTCATGGACTTCTTCCCCGACGAGGCGCTTGCACGCGCCAAGGAGCTTGACGAGTACTACGCCAAGAATGGCAAGACTGTCGGTCCGCTGCACGGCGTGCCCGTCAGTGTCAAGGGTGAGTGTGCCTTCCGCGGGGAAGGCTGCGCGGAACTACGCTGATACCCAGACATGGTCGCGGTCAAGGGCCGCCGCATGACTGCGGGCTTTCTCGCAATCGCTGAAGGCCCCTACGGCGTGTCGGCCGATGACGCTACGCTCGTCGCGGCTCTGCGCGCGGCGGGCGCCGTGTTCTACTGCAAGACGACGAACCCGCAAGCCATCATGCACCTCGAGACCGACTCCTTCCTGGGCCCGACGACGAACCCGCTCAACACGGCGCTGACGTGTGGCGGCTCGTCGGGCGGCGAAGCGGCGCTGATGGCCGCCGGCGCCGCTGTGCTCGGTATCGGCACGGACATTGGCGGCAGTATCCGCAACCCCTGTGCGAACTGTGGGCTTTACGGCTTCAAGCCCACCGCTGCGCGCCTGCCGCGCGGAGGCATGATGGGCGGTATGCCGCACCAGGAGTCGATTGTGGGCGCGACGGGCCCGCAGACGGTGAGCGCGCGCGACATGCGGCTTTTCATTGAGACGGTGCTTGCGTCCGAGCCGTGGCGGATCGATCCCGGCTGCGTTGGCATGCCCTGGAAGCAGACGCAAGGGTGGCGGTACGGCGGTGCCAAGCCGCGCGTGGGCGTGATGTGGGACGACGGGCTGGTCTCGCTGCAGCCGCCGATGAAGCGTGCCCTGCGCGAGGCGGTGGACAAGCTCAAGGCTGCCGGATTCGACCTCGTCGACGTTGCGCCGTACAAGAGCAAAGAGGCGTGGGACCTCATCAACACGCTCTACTTCACCGATGGCGGGAAGCGGGTGCGCGACCTGTGTGCGGAGACGGGTGAGCCCATCCTCCCCCTCACGCAGTGGGTGATGCAGGGTGCACGGGAGATTGACGCGACCGAGCTCCGCGAACTCGTCAAGACGCGCGACGGGTTCCGCGCCGCCTACAACCAGTATTGGAACGAGCAGAAGATTGACGTCCTCCTCTGCGCGCCCGGGTATGGTACCGCGCAGCCCCTCGGCACGACAAAGTACTGGAACTACACGTCCTTCTTCAACCTCGTCGACTACCCCGCGGGTGTGTTCCCGGCCTCGGTCGTCAAGCCGGAGGAGGACAGGAAGGAGGAGAAGAAGGCCTTCATCACCGATATGGACAGGTACTGCAGCGAGATTTACGACCCGAAGGTGTTCTGGAACGCGCCGGTTGGCCTCCAGGTCGTCGGACAGAGGTGGGATGACGAGGCGACGCTCGAGGCGCTGACGCTCATCTCCAAGGTCGTCACTGCGTAGAATGTAGAAAGAGTAGTTTAGAAAGAAGTCAGCATGCATAAGCGTAGTTCGTCGCATGATCCGGACACGGTCAGATACATAGATGCAAAAACAGATCGGAACGGGAAGCGGGAGGCGGCACGAGAAATACGAAGCTACAAACATGTCTAGGTGCGGCTTTCGAGCAGGACTCTGGAGAGAGAGAGAGAGAGTATGTAATGCGAGAGCGAGACGTGGTCGAGATCGAGAAGGATTCGTCTATCATGTCTATGCGAGCGAGGCAACGAGGCCCGCAACGAGGAGCGCGGCGCTGACGGCCAACTTGCCCGCCGCGCTGCCATTCGGATCAGTGGGCGCCACGGGCCCCGTCTGACTCGCGGCCGCGGCCTCGGACGAGCTGCTCTCGGCCTCAGCCTGATCCTGCTGCGTCTGATTGCCATTCTTGACCGTGGGCGCGTTCCCACTGCTGGGCACCTGGTCGGGCGTGATCGTCGGAACCTCCTCTGGGCTCCACTTTGTAAAGTTGCCCACGTTCTTGGCATACAGCTCGCCCGGCGGGTCCGTGTTCATATTCCCGACTGGCCAGTAGTTGCACACGAAGAAGGTCTGGGAGGGGAACTCGGTGTCGTTGCTGCACCCGACGTTCCACGCGCACCCGACCGTGTTGGAGCTGTTCCACGTCATGGCCGTGAAGTGGCTGTTGGCCTGCGCCTCGGGGTATCGGAAGGGGTAGTAGTCCCACTCGCTGGACCAGAGCTCCATCATGCTGTTCACGTCGAAGCGGCCCTCGGGCAGCGAGTACGACTGCTCGGCCAGGTTGTCCGACCCCCAGTGCTCCCACAGACAGGTGTCGACGTGCTTCTGCGCCTCGCGCGCACACGACTCGTTCCACTGCGTTGGTTGAGAGCCTGCATGTCAACATGATGTCACGACTGTTTCGGAGGGGAGAGCGAGATCTACCGCGCGGAGCAAGAGGCTAGAAATGCCGAAAAGGCTATTATCGTCGTCCGCATACACGCCGCTTTACAACAACAGCGTACTGCGCCGTCTCCACATTCCTGGAGCGGCCTCAGAGCAGATCCGTTCCTCCGTGGTGCGTGTGGTGAGGCTCAGAAGCTTCTCAAGGACAGCCGCTTGGGGGGCCCGACACTCGTCCCTGGGAACAGGTGGCGACTGATCAGCGCGCCGCCGCCACCAGCAGCATTCGCCAGTAACTCATGCTCTCGTCCCAGGGTTCAACGGGGCCAGCAGCCGCCAGACACTGCACCAGCGCGCTCCAGTCCCCACCACTAGCTTCGATGCCTTGCTCCCTCGCACCTCTGGCGCTCGTCGCAAATGACTCACCAAACTGCGCTCTCCAGACATTGCTCGTCGTGACAATCCACTTTGCAATGCGCGAGTTGCCCTTGAGGTCTTCGTCGTTGCTCGTGTCGTTCATCATGAAGTCGTACTTGCTCGTGCCCTCTGGATACTGCGGCCACCATGGATTCGTCGCGCTGTCGTTGGAGGGAGGGACGTCGTTCCATTGCGCTCTTGCGCCGAGCGCGGCGAGGACAGCGACGGCCGCCGTCGTCGAGAGGGACGGCATGGATACGGCTTGGTGTAGGAAGGGATGGTCCGAGGGACGGAAAAGTTAGGAGAGGGTCGGAGGGGGGTTGGGAGAGTTATTCGCCGATCGGGTTCCGACCTGCGTTGAAAAGTTAGAGGTGATGAGGTGAGGATGTCTGGGGTGAGTATTCGCGAGGAGAAAGAAGAAGGGGATGGGCAAGAAGGATGCAAAGGCTGCTTTATGCATGCTGAATGGGGGATGCGGAGACCAGGAGACCGGTGCAGGCCGCAGCCAGCAGCCTTGGACGAATGCCCAAGGGGCTTGGCGAAGTACTGGCAAAGACATGCGTCATCATTGCGTCTCTCGATCCACCCTACTCCACCTCCACCACCCCACCGAAGTCTGCCCGCCTGCCCGCCGAACCGAACACCCAGGGCATCAACCACCGGTGAGGGATTCCCAAGTACAATGCATTGAATTAGAATACTCCTTTTGCAGGGGCGTCCGCATGTCCGCAACGTCAACGCCAGAGACGTCACTGGTGACAGTGAGGCTGGCTGGGAGAGACGATCTGCGCTCCACCACAGCGCAACCGGCCATCGCTTGTCCACCGGGGAATCCGTTGCGGCCCACATACCACCAACCGCACTTGGCACACATTGCTGTGCCGCCATGTCGCCGTGCGCCCACACTGCTTGTCGCCCAGTACTGAGCAACATGCCGCGACAAGAGCTTGTGCTTCTTGGCGAGGGGAGGTGAGTCAGCAACAGCATTCGAGGGGGCCAGCTTGGGAACGGCTTCTCCGAGTCTCCCTGCTTCTGGACCCCTTCACTGTCCTCGTGTTCCCTGCGTGTGTCCAGGCTCTTCTTACATGAGCAGTTTCGCGGCCTCATTGATTTAACATTGGTCGCGCCGCGTGCCGCGTGCTGCGTGCTGCGCGCTGCGCGCTGTGTTTGTGGATCTCTTGATTCCTGCTTGCTCAGGTACTCGGGTCCTGACAGTTCCAGAGAAACAGAGCTCGGAAAAATGTCGCGCAGAGCAAGAGCATGAGAGCACGAGTCTGAGCAAAAACCGAAAACGTCAGTAATCGGATCCCCAGGCACACATCACGTCCGCAGCAGACAAAAGCAGACGTAGATCCTGAGGATCCTGAGGTCATCGGCCGTGGTCGTGCCGTAGCTGTTAACTGCGGATGAAGGCGATGCACCTGCGCGTTCTCTGTCTGTTGCGGTATGCATATCATTCTCTTTTTCGGCGTCTTGGGATCTTGGGTAAACTTCTTACTCTCGTCTACTGACGCACTGCTCCTCTGGGCTTATCTACTCCCGCTGATCTGGATTTATCTGATCCGGGGCCCTCTTCCACCTGTGCTCATCTTGAGTGCTCTGCGCTCTACTACTGACTCGCTCTGAAGCGCATGCCGCGATAAGTTCTCAAAGACGGCGGCGCCCTCGCCCTCGCCCTCGCTTCGCTCAGCGTTCGCGGCGTTCGCGCTCGCTTAGAGCTTCGCCTTGGCCTTCTCCTTGTCTGCCTTGATGAAAGCGGCCGTCTCCTCCTTCGAGCGACGGGCGGCCTCGGCGCCAACACTGTACGTCAGCTTCGCTCATCGCATCGAGCAGCCTCTCGAGCTGGCGTAACAGGCTTCCGGAGCGAGTGTAGCAAACACTCCGCACTCATCAAGCACCCCCGCAGCGAGCTGGCACTGCCCTCACCGGTGGGATGACGAGGCGACGCTCGAGGCGCTGACGCTCATCTCCAAGGTCGTCACTGCGTAGAATGTAGAAAGAGTAGTTTAGAAAGAAGTCAGCATGCATAAGCGTAGTTCGTCGCATGATCCGGACACGGTCAGATACATAGATGCAAAAACAGATCGGAACGGGAAGCGGGAGGCGGCACGAGAAATACGAAGCTACAAACATGTCTAGGTGCGGCTTTCGAGCAGGACTCTGGAGAGAGAGAGAGAGAGTATGTAATGCGAGAGCGAGACGTGGTCGAGATCGAGAAGGATTCGTCTATCATGTCTATGCGAGCGAGGCAACGCTCAGGCTCGAGGATACTCACAACTGTCCCGTCGCAGCCATGCGGAAGACGCCCCACTGGTCCGGAATCAGGTATGCCGCATAGTTGGTCTTGGGGCTCGGGTCCGTGATGGCCGCGACGAAGGCGTTGACGACGTCGCTGACTTGCGCGTACCCGAGCGCAGGGTAGGGGTGGACGAAGGAGGGGTCGAGGATGTTGGTTTCTGTCGTTAGCGCCAGTCCACACGAGCGCAGCGAGTCCACACGAGCGCAGCGAGTCCACACGAGCGCAGCGAGTGCACACGAGCGCAGCGAGTCCACACGAGCGCAGCGAGTCCACACGAGCGCAGCGAGTCCACACGAGCGCAGCGAGTCCACACGAGCGCAGCGAGTCCACACGAGCGCAGCGAGTCCACACGAGCGCAGCGAGTCCACACGAGCGCAGCGAGTCCACACGAGCGCAGCGAGTCCACACGAGCGCAGCGAGTCCACACGAGCGCAGCGAGTCCACACGAGCGCAGCGAGTCCACACGAGCGCAGCGAGTCCACACGAGCGCAGCGAGTCCACACGAGCGCAGCGAGTCCACACGAGCGCAGCGAGTCCACACGAGCGCAGCGAGTCCACACGAGCGCAGCGAGTCCACACGAGCGCAGCGAGTCCACACGAGCGCAGCGAGTCCACACGAGCGCAGCGAGTCCACACGAGCGCAGCGAGTCCACACGAGCGCAGCGAGTCCACACGAGCGCAGCGAGTCCACACGAGCGCAGCGAGTCCACACGAGCGCAGCGAGTCCACACGAGCGCAGCGAGTCCACACGAGCGCAGCGAGTCCACACGAGCGCAGCGAGTCCACACGAGCGCAGCGAGTCCACACGAGCGCAGCGAGTCCACACGAGCGCAGCGAGTCCACACGAGCGCAGCGAGTCCACACGAGCGCAGCGAGTCCACACGAGCGCAGCGAGTCCACACGAGCGCAGCGAGTCCACACGAGCGCAGCGAGTGCACAAGTAGGATAGAGGACAGAAGGAGGAAAAGAGATGGGGAGAGGGAGGTGAATGGGGAAGACGGGCTGCTGGGCTGTGCCAGCTGGCGCAGCCCTCCGCACGACTTACTCGAGAAGTACGGGCACACCGTAGCGACGCGGACCTTGAGATCATTGCACGAGGCGACGATGCCCTTCATAATGCCCAGGATGCCCGCCTTGGCGACTCCGTAGCCAACTCCATCCGACCCATAGAACGTAGACATGGAGCCCGTGAACACGATGCTCCTCAGTCCCGGGTCGGCCCGCTTGTCATTGATGAAGTACCAGAGCGCAATGCGCGTCGTGTACAGCACGCCGATGAGGTCAATGTCGATCGTCTTCATGTTGGGCTTGGTGAGCTTGCTCGCATCGCCATCAAGACGGGGGTCGAAACGTCCGATCTCGCTGACGCCCGCGTTGGGAAGCACGACGTCAATGTTCCCGAACGCCTTGGCGCCGGTTTCGAACAGGGCGACCTGGTCGTCCCAGGACGTCACGTCGCACTTGGCGCTCACGACGGACGAGGGCCCAGACTGCGCAGACACCTGCTTCACCGTCTCGGCGAGGCCGGCCGCGTCGACATCGCCGAGCACCACCTTTGCACCCAGTTCGGTGAACTTGAGCGCGGTTGCGCGCCCGAAGCCCGAGCCGGCGCCCGTGATGAGGACGACGCGGCCGCGCAGTCTGTCGGCGTGCGCGTAGCATTCGGAGGTCGGGACGGCGGGCATTGTGCTTTGTGTTTTGTGAAGGAGTGTGTAGAGTTGAAAGTTTAAGAGAAAAGGTGTTGCATGCACCAGATGTTGATCAAGTGGGCGATGGGCAGCTTACGCTGGGCCAACTCCGGAATGACTAGTTGCCGGTACCTGGGGCGGACGTGCCCGCTCGCGCCCCTCGGCGTTGCGCGGTGCCTGGATTCCTCAGTTGCGATGCCATCCTTGGATCATGGATCTGAACTCAAATCAACTTCGTCTGCATCATTAGGTCATACATGTAGGTCTTTCAGCTCGTCTATATCCACAGTGCCGGCTACGACGATACACAGGAAGAGAGTTATGGGGTGTACTTCGGGACGGTCTCGTATTTTGAGTTCTTGTCTTCGGCGGCGTACTCGGTCTCGTGGCCACCGCGATTAGTGCGCACGAACTCCGTCGCGTTGTCCTCCGGGTCGATCAGCTCGACAGACGGCTCGCGCGCCGTGCTCCAGTAGCTCATGTTAAGGAGGAACGCGGCGGTGAATTCCGGGACGACAGCGAGACAGTACTCGATCGCGGTGAAGCGCGACTTCATGCCGTGCCCGTCATAGTTTTCCGGGTTTGAGTACGACAGACTGTACACTGCGGCCTGGAGGACACCAAAGATACCGCGCACGAGGAGCATGCCGCCGACAATACCGAAAATGGCGAGCGCCGTCTTGCTCATCGTCCGTTCGGAGGAGTGCTTCAGTCCGCGGCCCTTGCGCGCCGCGTTGATGTAGAGGAGGATGAAGAGAACGGTGAGGGCGAGGAAAACGGCCTGGCCCGCCGTGCGCAGCCCCTTGCTGACGTTGAGACGGTTGTTGTAGTCGTCTGGGTCGAGCTGTTTCGACTTGTCGTTGAGGCCGGCCATGATCGAGCCGCCGGCGATGATGATCGCGTTGGCCGGGATAAGCCACGCATCAACAATCATGAGCAGGTTGCGGTCCCAGAAGCGCCAGGGCATGAGGACGGCAACCATGGACAGGGCTTGGAGGAAGCGCTTGCGTCCGCCCTCGTTGTGGTCCGCGGGACCCAGGCGCGACCACCCGAAATGCTTGATCTCGTAATGCTTTAGGAAGTAGTAGGCCGCGATCGTGAGCGAGAAGTAGCCCTCGGCCGAGAGGATGAGGTACGCGACAAACACGTCAATGTTGCGCCAGGCGAGGATCGCGAAGGCTAGCCCGCACGCCTGCGATGCGACTCGGATCGTCGTGTGCAGGTACAGGATCGAGTAGCGAGACTTCCATTCGTAGCGCTTGCGGGCATACATGAAGGTCATGTAGGACAAGAGGAAGACGTAGAGGATGAGAAAGACGAGCGCAGCGCCCGCCTCGGCGGTGAAGCTGCCGGCCATGGTGGTGGAAGGTGGTGATGTTGGGGGCGGCGGGAGAGTTTCGGAGTAGAGGTGGTGGTTGTTGTCGAGGTGGAGGTTTGCGGCAGTGATAGTGGGTCCGCGAGTGGTGACGGGGAGGGAATGAGTGACGATGAGGAAGGGGGTTTTTAACTGTTGTGGAAGAGCAATTGACACAAGTGGGAGGTGTCGGAGGGCGGTGACGGCGCACGGCCCGACGATGAGGATGAGGATGAGAGGAGAGCTAGGAGAGCGGCGTGTGTTTGGGAGATGTCTCTTGTCTATTCCTGCGCCGTCGTTCGGAGCCGAGAGGCAGGTGACCGTGATGTCGAGATCGCCCTAGCGCCGTCTTGGCACCGCCGTCCCCCGTGCATGCAGGTGTGTAAAGGCGGAAGGCCCGAGCGCTGCATGCTCCGCGCGACTTCTTTGCTCCGTCCTTTCTCTACTCCGTGACACACATACAAGAGGTACAGACTTCCGCTGATCTGATCTCCCACGAGGCGGTGCACAAGATAACGAAACTAGCCCATGTGGTTTGTCAGCCTCGACCCATCTCGACTCGCCGATCTTTCGCTCGACCGCACCGCTTCATGCTTCGAATAGACATGTGCTATGCACTCGAGGCATGCAACTCTATCCATCCCATTCAGCCTCAACCTGTCTCTACTCGGAGGCGCCAAAAAGTATTGATTAGCTCGGTATCGTGTGCATCGCAACCAGGATAGAGGGGACCGTGTAAGCGATCTACCCGAGCGACCCGACGTCATGGCGAGTTTCATGTAGACTTTCCGATTGTTCTGCCAGAACTGTTTCAGCAGGACTCTCATTGGGAGGTGTGCATGCGCGATTACATGGCGAAATGCCAGTTATGCTCTGACAGTCTCTGTGCTGTTGTCTAACTCGATGTTGACTCATGGACAGATGTTGTGGCCTGTAAAGTGTGACAGTGGACTCTGAAGTGTGGCGTCCGCGCAGCACCAGCCAAGACTCTGGTGAGACACCAAGCACCAACGTCCCGTGCGTGAGTGTCCGACGTCCACATGTGTGCATGTCACGTCGTTGTCGCTGACAGATCTTCTGGAAGATCATCCTCTCTCACTCTGCTGATCAAATTGGACCGCTATGATGTATTTTGGGACCAAGGCGATGTGAGCGACATGTAAGCGGACCGAAATTCGCGCATCTGGCTTTGCCTCGCCATCAATACTCAGTCGGTTCCGACATTCTGGTCCTGATGCGCTACCCGGGACTCGACTCCAACATTCCTCATGGTGTACGTGTTTTGCGCGTTTCAGCTTGGTCCAGAACCACGACCGCGGGCTTGGCCGCACGGTCCGAGGGCCGAAAGAGGGCTAGAGCGGTGCACTGAGTGGCTCCGGTGACCCGAAAGGCTATAACACCTGGATGGCGTATGGCTATAGCTTTAATCGCCGTCTGCCATCCCGAATGCAGCTATCCCGTCTCATGATCCAGGCCTTGATCGTGCGCTCTGCTCTGCGCTAGCTGTATCGGCGACGGAACTGCAAAGACTCCCTTTTGGGCTAGTAATTGCGCCTTCTCGGTCGGACAGTATGCCGAGCTCGGGCACTCTTCCAGCGTCGTTGCTTATCGCGTTTCTGCGGCGGTAGGGATACTTAAGCCGGGATGCCGTCGGCCACTGCTAGAGTTGAAGCCGATGTCATGTCTGCTTGCGCCTTTGGCGAGCAACATGCTCTTTCGCCGCGCTGTTATAATCGATCATTCTGTCGCTGTCGAGCGGGTGACTTTGAGGACTACACGGCAGTCGGATTCCCAAACCGGTTCCAAGACCCGGCAACGGTCCGCAAGGCCCTAGTGCCTCTTAGCCACCTCGAAACGTCGGAAGACAGCTCTCATCCGCCCAAGAGCGCGTCAGACAGGTTTCCCAAGCCTCTAGGCATGCGTTAGCGCACGGGCAACACGAGAACGCCGTCGCTAGCGACATCCAGAGTGACGAGTACTTAAAGTTCGTCTCTTCCCAGGTCCAATCCGCAGTTCAATCCGCAGCACATCTTCATCTCCCCCATACCTTCGGTGAGAATATCTACGAGACTGCGCTGACCCAAAGCTCTCGGTATGCTTGTCGCTCAGATCCTCGCCGTCGCTGTCGCCGCCTCAGGCGCTGCGGCCACCAACCTGGTCCCCGGCACGCTTGAGCACAACGCTCCGCGTGGACCTCGCCGACTCGACACCGAGCCCCACGCCGAGGCTCTCGACAAGCGTGGCGACTGGGACAACGGATACTACGGCCCCGCAGCCCGGCGGGCCTTTGACGCGTGGACCGACACCGTCTTCAGCTTCCCGACCATCGGGAACTACTTCGTCACAGCCTCGTATGTGAACTACAACATCTTCTGCCCCCACACGGAGCAGAGGGCGACGTACCAGGGCGCCGAGTATGTGTTGTACTCCTTTGGGTGTGGCGCGCTTTTCTGGTCCAAGTGGCCTGCGCTCGGTATCTCGTCGGTTAACTGTAGGGGTAACGGGGGCGGGAGCAACACGGGTGCCTCGGTTTATTGTTGGTAGGAAGTTGGAGAGGGGGTGGAGTTTTACGGGTTTTCTATGCAATGTTGTTCCCCGGTTGCCTGACTCTCCGCTCAGCAACATTGTCACCTCTTCGCGATGACCCTCGAAGCATTCAGCAGGAGGGTGCCTGTGGTTAGCCTCGGTTCATGAGTTGCTGCTGCGGACGAAGACGGCGCTGGTACGGCGTTGGTACGGCGTTGGTACGGCGTTGGTACGGCGTTGGTAACAGGGCCCAAATCGCTCCACGAGCGGCCCTTCCTTGTCTCTTCCGGTCGAGCTGCCGCACATTCAGGAAGTGCACTGTGCTGTTCTAGCTGACTGCTGTCTCGTGCCATCGAGGTTGAAGGTCTGTGGCGCCTGTGGCCGCTTTTCGGCCACCTAGAGCCATTTACCGTACAACGACATACCCTACAACGTCGCGGTCGGTCCAAGCTTCGCGACATTCAGGGTCTATGGGGCAGCGCGGTCGCCTGGTGAGGCGGATGTGACGGCCAGCGGCCATCGGTCGGAGGAGCCCTGCCGCGTCTCTTAGCGGCCCATTCATCTGAGGAACCCGTCCTGTACGTCTGACGGATATTTCGTTGAACAGGAAGGGTTTGGGCATGCGGGCACCTCGAGATCGCCGAATGCGCAGCAGCTTACAGTGATGGTAGTCAGCTATAAAGCTGTTGACGCCATCCGCAGTTCCACCAGCAGCGCTTATCCCAGTCTAAACTCTTATCTATACCTCATCGCTCTGTAAGCCCATTTCTCCGGACTGCGCACTCACTCTAGTCCCAACATGCTAGTCGCTCAACTCCTCGCCCTCGCCGCCGCCACCTCGGGCGCGGCGGCCAGGGACCTCTCCGTGTCCTTCTTCAGGGGCAACGCAACCGTCCCGGTTTCCAATGGACCTCGGCGCCTGGACACGCTGGACAAGCGCGGCTACAGTGACGAAGAAATCACGGCCTTCGGCAAGTGGGCGGAAGAGACCTTCGACCGGCCCTGGGATGGCAACCTTTTCATCGGCGCGGATTACATGCACGCCGAGCTCGACTGTCGCGCCAACACCCAGACCGGCTGGTACAAGGACATTCAGTATGTGCGCTACCACTTCTTCTGCGGTGGATGGTTCTGGTCCGAGCGGGACTCTCTTACCGCGGCGGCGGGTAACGTCGAGATCACCGACCATGGAGCCTTTTTCTCGTAGGTCGTCGCGTCTATACACGAACTCAGTCGATGGTGATTCATTGATGTATAATGAATGTAGTCGCGGTCATGCCTGAATTCATACTTGCCTTGCATACCTGCTTTCCTACCCTTGACGGAGTATTGTCATCTGCATAAAAGGAGACCAGTTTCCAGGCACTTCGGAGCGCAGGCTGTGGAAGTGGGGCGCTGCTTATGCTCCGACTTGACGCCACTTGGCCTCCTCTTTTGCAGACGACAATACCCAAACCGTACAAGCTCAACAACACACGCTACGGCCTTTCCTCGCGACATGGTCAGGTCGATGTAGTACCGCTCGTTTGTGGCTATCAGATGGGAAGCCACGGTCCTAGGAGACGGAGACACACTTCTACGATACAGTTGGCAGTGCCGGACCTGGGACGTCTCCTGCTATGATAGAGCAACGCTGCATGTGGTTGAACTGTGCGGAACCACTCTCAAATCGTGCCAAGGTAGTAGTTTCGTTTCAAGATGACCGTTTCAAGACAGCCGTGACGACTCTTTCAGAAGGAATCAAGCTTGTGGCGTTTCCGCACCATTTCGCGGAGAAGTCGCCAATTTCGGCGGACGCGTCTCCTAGTCCACACAAGTCCAGCGGTCAACGGTCTGCCGAGCCCTAGTGCGCCTTTCTAGCGGCACGGCAGTACGTTTCACGGTCTGGCGGACCGTAGACTGGTCTTGGCATCGGCGCCCGAAAGGCTTGGGAAGCGTGCATGCGTGCAGCACCCTGCCTTTCGAGACTATACTTAGAACGTCGCCTCACCTGGTGTCCGTGTCCATCTCCTCCTTCCCCTCTTCGCATTGTGAGTTGTCCGCAGCATCTTAAGCTTATCCCAGACATACCCCACTACTGAACATGCTTCTTGCCCGACTTTTGGCGCTCGCAGCAGTGGCCTCGGGCGCGCCAGCCTCGGGCGGTGCAACGGCGCCGATCTTTCTCCCCAGAAATGGTGGCCTCAGCGCTTCTGAGCATAACGGCACAGCCCACCTGACCGTGCTGTTTCCCAGCCAGACCGACACGCACCTAGCCGAACGTGACTGGACCACCGACCTCGGTGAATGGGCCAAGGTCACTTTCCACGTTCCCGATTCGGGCAACTGGTTCGTCGCCCCGCTGGGCACGCAGAAGAACGTCGACTGCGGACACTGGGTGCAGACCGCCTACTTTCCGCACGAGCGGCAGGTGTACATTGCGTTCCAGTTCAAGTGCAAGGCTCTCTTCTGGTACCCTGACTCCATGGGATTCCACGATATCGTCAGCGTCGCGAGGGGTCACTACAAAACGGATGGGTTTGCGGCTATTTGGTTCCTTGACGATGGTCTTTAGTAGTGGGAGTGTAGTCCTTTCCGCAACGAGATGGCTCGCGCGAGAGCCGGCATCTCTCGTAGGGGATATCGCCACCAACTCCCAGGACAATGCATCCGCTGAAAGGACAAATCTTGACGTAGTCACGAACGCAACTAGCTTCAGGCGGGCACTATCTCGCACCAACGCGGCCGCAGTCAATGTACCTTGCGATAGCTCTCGCGAGATCCCGGTGAGACTATGCCTACATAAACAGCGCTTCACCTCTCTGTCATTGTTGGTTACCACCCTCACAGTACTCGAAGCCGCCTCTCAGAGTGAGTTGCGCGTCAGGACTGCCGCTGACCACCAGCACTTTTCCTCCACGATGCGCCTTGCTCAGCTTTTCGCCTTCATCGCCATGACCTCAGAAGTGACAGCCTCAGGCGGCAACCCAAGCTCGGGCCCTGGTGAAGTTGACGATGCTTCTGGTGTGACAGGGGGCAAACTCAGCGCCACCTTGGTCGCCACCAAGCCAGCAAATGATGACGTCCAGCCTCGCCCTCATTCCGGCCCCGCCCGTCTCAACCAGCGTGACGAGAAGAGCGACTTCGCTGATTGGGCATGGAGAGTCTTCAGCCCCCCCAAGGACGGGGACTGGATGGTTGCTCGAGCGGACATGGAGCAGAAGATCTGGTGCCCGCATTGGCACCAGACGGCCCAGTTCAAAGGTGTCTCGTACAAGTCGTATGTGTTCAACTGTCAAGCCATCTTCTGGTACCGCTTCGACTACCCTGCGGGGAAGTATCTCCATATTGCTACAGGCAACTACAACTGGGACAATAGCGGAGTTGTTTGGTTCTGGGAAGCATAAAGACAATGTATGCACTGTATCTCGGGCTGCACAGTGCTTCCGCAAGTTGTCGCTATAGCGGCCACAGCGGTCTGTACCTTTATACTCCGGCACCATGGTGAAGCGCAGCTAGTTTGTCAATAGTGCCAAACCTCGGCGCTGCGACAGCCGAATGGACGTGTACCTCGGGGGTTGAACTGAATGTTCTGTCTCCGTGATCCACTAGACTTTTGTTCTCTTCTCCATCGCCCATCTGCTCGTCTGCGCAATGTGTACAGCTCAACATCCTCGAGAAAAGCACAGCGAGGACGAGTACGAACCCGTTGTCTTTCCGCGTAACGAGTGGCCCACACGTACCTACTACTTCCCCGGTGTCTTCGAGTTTGGTGGCCTCGGACGCCGTGTGCGTTTCGCTGCGCAGCAGGCGAGCCGCCGTGTTGCGCAAGGCATAGAGAACGGAGCGTTGGACGGTTTCGCCGATGAACTCGATCTGAACTTGGCCGTGTTGGACGTAGTGCTAGAGCTGTGAGTGCGTCGGGGGAGTATCGCTGACACCAGCAACGACCAGCTCCGGGCTGACTGTCGTGTCGCTCAGCAAATAATCACGACGACAGTCGAGGAATGGCGAGACTGGCTCCGCGATGCGACGCAGGACGTCCTGACCACGGTGCGTATTCCTGCATACAGTACATTACACTCGGCGACTAACTGCCAGGCGCAAGAAACGCTCACAGAGTGCGACCTCGCCCCCTGCTCGGCCCTGGAGCGATGGCCCGACGCCCCCGCAGTCTCAGACACTGTCATCAGGTGCATGGAACAGGTGTGGTGTGGGCGTGACTCGCGCGAGGCCCTCAGTGATCCAGCACCCAGGAGCGCGGTGCTCGCCTTGGTCGAACGCTACGGTCCCACTGAGTTAGAGAAAGCCATGGTTTGGTACGGTCGCACGATGGACCCAGACATCGACGACTCGTCAAGTCACATTGCCGTGAACTGGGAAGGCACCCGCATCCCTGTACCTTGAAAGTAGTCACGACACATGATGGAGATCGTCGAACTGTACTCCCGAGAATGGGGCGGGCTGCGGTGCCAACAGCCCGAAAGCCCAGGATCTTGAAAACCCTGATAAGCATAAACAAGTCACACGTTGTGCCAATACAGCAAAGCCTGTGGCCTATCCTGAAACCGCGTGCTCGTGCTCAGAATCAGCAAGCCTCTGCCACATGATGGAGCTCGTAAAAGCAAAGGTACGAGAGGTACGATCGAGCCAGTATGCAAACGGTGCTGCGCAGTGCCCACGGGTTCCTGAGTTGTCAGTGAATGTGCATTTCCAATCAATGTTGCACCGAGGCGAACCGGGGGGCGAGCGGTAGCGGGCAGCGGGCTCCGAAGCCCTAGCGCGTCCCCAGCCATGGCACGTCTCACGCGTCAAGGCTGTCAACTGCCAGCGGGCACTGCGAGTGTGGCCGATATCGTCCTCTGAACTTGATGGACGCGTGCGGTCTTCGAGGATCAGTATAAAGACGCGCCTTCTCGCTCCCAATTCCGCAGTACAGCCACCTCGCAGTTCTAACTTGTTTCCTCTCTGTATGTTGGCCGACGTGTAGACTGCTCGCTAACCCACAAGTACAGTACGTCAAGCATGCTCCTCGCCCAACTCCTCGCCCTCACTGCCGTCTCCGCCGTCTCCGCCGTCTCCGCCGTCTCCGGCGCCGCGGCCACACAGCTCGCCCCCCTGGCCCCCCCTACTCCCCAGGAGGCAGCCAAAGGTCCGCGCCGCCAGGACCTGGAGGAGCGCAACGACTACATCGACAGCTTCGCGGCCTGGGTGGCCTCAGCCTTCGACGTCCCGAGCAGCGGCAGCAACTTTTTCGCGACCGAGACGGGCGTGACCAAGAACATCTGGTGCGACGGCTGGCGCGAGGAGACGCAGTGGTATTATGATAAACAGATCTCGGGCTTCTCGTTCTCGTGCGGGGCGCAGTTCTGGGCCGCGCCCGGCGCCCTTCAGGCCGGGTACGGGGGCTGGATCGCCGAGGATGGCTCTTTCCTCTTCTCCCCGAAGTAAAAAGTCGCATACATTCCTCGGGCTGGATAACTGTAGCAGGGGCCAGGGGCCGTGGGCCGTGATGTTGGATTTTGATGATGGTAATTTGAATAATGGACGTGGTAGAAAACTCGAATTGCGTTTTTCGCTGGGATCCGCTCCTCTCCGGTCCTGCCTGTGCGTCGATGCGAATGTGGCAGCACGCCACTGTCGAGTGCGTAGACGAGCAATGCTGGTTAACAAGTTAGAGGTTTGTGTCAAATAGTGAAACGCTGGCCATTGCTACAACTACTCCACTGCGTCGTCGTAAGCCACAATCGTGACGCAGACTCCCGGTGGTATCTGCGAAATGAGGCACTCAACTTCCTGTCTGGTCAGTAGTGCACACGTGACTAAATCGGATTGCCGATCACGTCGGGTAAGCTTAAAAGTCGGAGCAGCGGGTTGTTGCAGCAAAGGTCATGGTCATGTAGCCCGCACGCTCTGGATCTTTGCGACGACGCAGCCGGATTGCTCTGCTTTTGATTTGTGCATCTTTATCAGCCCACTCTGGTGGACGTTTTCTCCCCCATCGTCGTCAACACTAGACTTAGAGAGCGGAAGCACCAGTGATAATGTCGATAAGCTCGGTGGTGATGACGGCCTGGCGACCACGGTTGAACTGGAGCTGGAGCGAGCCCATCATGTCGTTGGCGTTGTTGGAAGCGTTCTCCATGGCGGTACGACGGGCCGAGATCTCGGCAGCGTGGCCCTCGACGAGGAGAGCGTAGATGGCGTTGGCGAGCGAGAACTCGGCAAGGTCCTTGGAGACGTCCTCCTCCATCTCGTAGCGCTGGAAGCCGGCGGCCTGGCGGAGCTCCTCGGCCGACTTGACAGTGACGGTCTGGGCCTCGTACGAGAGAGCCGAGATGTAGTGGTTCGAGACGATGCGGACCTCGTTGAAGTCACCGCCGTGCTTCATGAGCTCGTCGGCGATGGCGACGGCCTCACCGAAAGTGGGGACGTCCTTGCCGACACCGGAGAAGGAGATGCGGATGTTGTCGTTGTTGATCATACGGGTGAGCTGAGCCTTGGGCTTGTCACCGACAATGGCGACCTGGATCGAGGGGTCCTGGGCAGCGATCTTGCGGACGTAACGCGAGAGCGAAGAGTGGATACCACCACAGAGACCACCGTCGGACGACATGACGAGGTAGATGGGCTTCTTCTCGACGGCCTCGCCGGCGGGGGCAGCGGCAGCAGCGTCGTCGCCCTCCTTGGTCTGCTCGTAGACCTCTGTGCACAACGTCAGCCGCCGTTCGTGTTTATGTTTTGTAGTTTCTCCTCCGCTCGATTCCGCCCTCTTTCCTGCGTTTCCAAGCACAATCCGTGTCTCTTTCCAGCACTACTCCGACTCTGGCATGTCTCTTCGGCTTTTTCACTCCTAACACGTAACGTCCGCCCACCGATCCCTGACAGTTGATGATGTCGCGACACATACCGTTGGAAGCACCGCCGTACTTCTTGGCCTCGCGCATGGCCTTCTCGGCACGGGTGAGCTTGGTCGAGGCGACGACCTTCATGGACTGCAGGGTTAGCTACAACTTAGCGACATGGTACAGCTACGCACCTTGGTGATCTTCTCAATGTTCCTGACCGACTTGAGACTGTTACGCATCAGCACTTGCTCCTCTGCATGCACTCGATTCTCCATCGTCGCAAAATCATCCGGCAGCAACACGGCACATAGGCGGTAGGTCGTTCATTCGATGCGCAAGGTGTGGTGGTTGTTGGGTGTGGGTGCGAGGGGGGTGCTGTCGGAGTTGCTAGCCGAGATGATTTTGTCGAGTCGAGGAAGTGCGCGACGTACCGCTGGTCAATCTCCTTGAGGGTAGCCATGCCAGCCTTCTGCTGCTGGTTGGCAGTGCGGGCGGCCGTGAGGGCGGGACGGACACTGCGGGCGAACATTTTGGAGGGGGCGGAGGTGGAGTGGGGAGGGAGGGGGTAGAGGTGAGGAGAAGAGGTGTTCAAGTGGTCGATGAGAGTGTCTGGCAAGCAAGCACCACTGGGCACGCAGAGAGAGAGCGAGTCCACGCCCAGGCAGACACCCAGCCAGTCTCTCCCTCCGCCCAGCGCAGCCAACCCCCGCTCCAGCCAACCAGCCGGAGCGACTCGGGACCCGACTGCCCCGTCCCACCAACGCGATCACCCCTAAAACTCCGAAGCACCGGAGCTACCACAATCCTCAAAACCACATGTGGCACCCAACTGGGACCCAACCTCCATCACCCTCTAACGGGACCAAATCAACCACATGGCACCGTCATCGTCCACCCAAGCCAAGCTCACAGACAGTCTTTTGTGCTCGAAACCTCATCGACTCGACATCCCCGCACCACCACCACCACCACCGCCCAGTGCTTTGCTCATCACCACACCCATCGAGCAACACTTACAACAAAAGGGCCGGCACCACTCCATCAACCCCGCCCATTAACACATTTCGAACGCCGCCACCGTTCCCCCCTCTCCCCCAGTACTCCGCCTTCCCCCCCTTTAGTCTAATCCACTCAAAAGTACGTAGCCGCTCATCACACATCCGGAGCACGCGACGCCACCTGGCTCCCACCTCGGACCATGACAAAGTCAGCTAACCTTTACAGTGGCCGACCCCGTCATCGACTCGTTCGCGGGTATGAAGAAGAAGAAGAAAAAGGTTGCCCTCGACCTCGACAACGAGGCTCCTGCGCCTGCTGCTGAGGCCCCCGCTGCCAGCTCCTCGTCGGCCCCTGCCGAGGATGCCCCTGCCCCTGCCGCCGCCGCTGCTTCCGACGAGAAGCCTGCTGAGGAGGGTGACATGTTTGCCGACCTGAAGAAGAAGAAGAAGAAGTCCAAAAAGGACATTCCCCTCGACCTCGACAACGCCGAGTCCCCCGCCGCCACGGGAGACGACGTCCCCATCGTGAAGAAGAAGAAGAAAAAGCCTGCCGCCGACTTCGCCAAGGAGGTGAGTGAAGCGTCTGTGTGGCGACCACCGGGCCCTGTGCCCATATGTCTGTTGCCTCACAGCTAAATTCCTCTCGACCGTAGCTAACATTCAGCTCGACGAGCTTGAGGCTGAGAAGAACGAGGAGGAGGGCGGCGACTTTGGTGACGATGTGTTCAAGACGTCTGGCGAGGGAGCAGGTGCCGAAGGAGGTGTGGACCCGTGGGTCGCCGAGGGCCGTGACCCCAGCTACAACGAGCTTCTGAAGCGATTCTTCACGCTCCTCCACGTCAACAACCCGGAGCTTGCCGGCGAGAAGAGGCGATTCACCATTGTTCCTCCCCAGGTGACGCGTGAGGGAACCAAGAAGACGTCGTTTGCCAACTTTGTCGACATTTGTCGCCGTCTGCACCGTCAGCCCGAGCACGTCCTCATGTTCCTGTACGCCGAGTTGGGTACGCAGGGATCGATGGACGGTGCGCAGCGCCTAGTGCTCAGGGGACGGTTTAACCAGAAGCAGATCGAGAACGTGCTCCGCAAGTACATTGTCGAGTACGTGACGTGCAAGATCTGTCGGTCGCCCGACACGCTGCTTGGAAAAGAGAACCGTCTCTACTTCCTCACCTGCGAGAGCTGTGGATCGAGGCGTTCCGTCCAGGCCATCAAGTCTGGTTTCCAGGCCCAGGTCGGCCGCCGCCCCAAGGCCCCTTAGACGACGTTTTTGGTGGTGTGTGTGTGCAGTTGTGGTGTATACTATGCATTGCGTACAGGCAGAAAAAGAAGTAGTAGTAATACAAATCAACTGACCGTGACCGTGATGATAAACCCAGAAAGTAACTATGCTACAATGAGACACTCGCCCGTCGGCGCAACGAGCGCAAAGCGACACTTTGCGAACCGGCCCTCGTCCCAGTAATTGAGCCAGGTGCGGAACGAGAGCGCCTTGTGCGCGTCGACATAGACGCGGAGATGGTCACCACACTCGACGCCAGCGGGCGACACATTCTCTGGCGTGAAGAGGAGCTCGGTATCGTCGTCGTCGGAGGATTTTGGCCGCTTCTTTCGTCCTTTCGGCACATAGCTGTGAGAGCTCGGCACACTGGCACTGCTTGTCAAGAAGGGATCAGGCTTGGGGCCCGAGGGAGCGAGACGGAGCCGGCCATACCGGCCCTCATGCTGCAGCTGGACCAAAGCGGCCACGAAGCGGCCGAGTATTGCGGGTGTCCAGAGGAGGGGGCGCGCCTTGTCCTCCCCCCTCCCCACGGGCAGGGTCTCGTCCATCTCGCCGCGAGACGTGAATGGCGTCCTACTCCCGGCGATCGGGTCGCCCCACCCCGGGATGATGACGGGGCCATGGACGGGAATAACCCAGTACACCCTCGCTCCCGATCGGCGCAGGTATGTGTGCAGGGCGGGGTGGAAGGGGTGTCGTTGCTGGTCCAGGCGCTTGGGGAGCTTCCACTCGTCCTCCGTCCGAGGCGCGGAGGGGACGAAGGGCGTGGCATATTCCGCCTTCAGGACGGAGTCTATCAGGCCGAAGCGAGCGTCGTTCGCTATTGTGGCGCGCCACCATTCCCGCCGTGCCGAGTGGTCGGGGACGGCTCGCTGTGTCGCTGCCGGAAGGGAGGAGGAGCGCTCAGCCGGAGAAGAGGGGGAGGAGAGGCGGGAAAGTATCCGGAAATGCGCCGGGAGGACTGGCGGTGCCGGCGGTAGAGGTCGAGGCCGGGGCAGAGGGAGAGGGGGAGGCGGAGGGGCGCGCCACAACTCGTCAAACGGGGCCAGGTCGTCCTGCTCTGGATCCGGATCGTCAAAGACGTCAGTGGACCATGCGGGGAACTCGAGCCGGCCGCTGCCCAGCGCCAATTCCGGGGGACGCGAGACCCACGCGCGCGGGTAGCGTTGCAGATTGCCTTGATTGTCAGCTCGTTCGTTCTCGGGTAGCTGACTCACAAGTACACGCAAACGCGAGCGTGGCTGTGCGCCAGTAGATGCCCTCTTTCGCCTTGCCCTTGTCCCTCACTGGGGGGTGACCAAAGGTGCGGCGCGGGATTGGAATCAGGCTCTCCAAATCCCGGTCTAGGTGGTTACAGTCCGCGAGGGCTGTGAGGGCCTCCGCCGCGCCCCACTGGAGATGTTCTGCCGAGATCGGCCCGGGACCGGCGACGGCGATGGACGCGCCCCGGTTCGAGGGCAGCGAGGCGAGCGAGTCGACCTGTGAATCCACTTGCGACTGGGACTGGGACTGGGAGTGTGATCGTGTGCCATGGCGCCGTCGCTTGGGAGGCATCTGGGCGGCATGGGTGGCTCATTGTCAACAAACCAATTTCCACTTGCTTGCTCGCTCTTTCATGACATCGTTCAGGTCGCCATGCGGGGTTACGTAATATACGCGGTTGGGTGGCTTGGGACGCGTCGGTCCAGTCAACCCAGTCAACCCAGATCCTTAGGGTGGCGGAACAAATAAGCGCGGGGCAAGGTCCCCAGGAGTCGGATGCTCGAGGACGGTTAGGTCATGTTGTTGTTGACGCTGGCTCGACACCGCTCCGTCCCCCATCGTCCCCATCCAGCACACATCTGGCGACAATGTCCCTCGAAGACGAACCACGGCGCGGAACACGCGAACTCAAGGCGCCCCAGCGCTTCGCACCCCCCTTAAATGGTGCGTAACACTTTCATGTCGACGCGCGACGCGTCGCGTGCTCTATCTTGCCCTTCTTCCCTCGCCACTTGAGTGCAACTTGCTAACGTCCAGGAAAGGAAGGCTCTGACGTGAGCTGTCTATCCATTGACTCAGCTAACATCCAGTCGGAGAGCGAGAGCGAGCGCCCCCGGAAACAGCGCAAGCCGCGCGCACCCAAGGCGCCCAGGAAGAAGAAGACGGTCGAGGAAGACCACCTGCCCCGGCACGTCCAGCCCGCCGAGGGGTTCAAGACCGACTCTGGGCTTTTCAGTGAGCTATCTGACTGTACACAAGCTGACTTCAGACGCGGTCATCACGCCCGACACGGCGCTGCAACCCCTCGTCGAGGACTGGGTGCACAACTACCAGGGCACGGCCGGCGACGAGGACAAGGAGCGCGCGGCCGTTCACGAGCTGATCCTCTTCATTGTGCGGGCGTGCGGGCTCAGTGCCGATGTGGATGAGAATGAGGCTATGGACCAGGACGGTGTTGTTGATGCGATTGAGCGCATCCAGGATGAGAGCGTCAAGGTGAGCTTCCACGAGCTGCGCAAGCTGACATCAGACGAACACGGCCGTCTACCCGCTCATCTCAAAAGACAAGAGGCTACGCGGGTTCAAGGCGAACCTCTCGACTGTCGTCGCCCACCTCATTGCCACCCTCTACCTCACCCCCCACCTCTACGAGGATGCCGACAGCACAAAACACAGCGTGCCGCTGATGCCGCTGTTGCTCTCGTGGCTTCACTCCATGACGTCCTCGCCCCTCCGCCCAATCCGACACACTGCGACATTTATCGCACTCAAGATCAACTCGGCGCTCTGCGAGGCTGCCGCTTCCGTCTCCAAGGAGCTCAGCATCAAGCAGCGCCAGCGGGAAGCCGAGGCGAAGAAGGCTGGATCCAACGCTGCCGCCAAGAAGCGTCTCGAAGACGCCGAGCAAAAGGTCGAGGAGACGCATGAGCGCAAGACGAAACTCGAAGAGTACATGCAGGAGATCTTCAACGTGTAAGCTTAAATACCCGTGGGCCTAGCTGATGACAGCATGTTTGTGCACCGTGTGCGCGACGCCGATCCGGCGATCCGCACCGACTGCCTCCGCGAGCTCGGCGTCTGGGTCAAGAAGTTCCCGGAAAAGTATGTCTCGTCGGGATACCTCAACTACTTTGTCCGTGGCACCAACGACCCCGACGGCCGCGCGCGCCTCGAGACCGTCAAGGCGCTGCAGGGTCTGTACTCGAACGCGAACTCGGCCGGCAGTGCTGGATCGTTTACGACGCGTCTGGCGCCACGTCTCGTTCAAATGGCGACGCTGGATGTCGAGACGCCGGTCCGCACCAACGCCATCTCCGTCATCACCCTTATCGACAAGGCTGGTGCGCTCGAGGATGACGAGGACAATCAGCGAGGCAAGGTTGCGCGGCTCATCTTTGACCAGGAGGCGCGCATCCGCAACGCGGCCGCTGGATTCGTCGAGGGCTTGTGGGAGGAGAAGAAGGAGGAGCTGCAGAAGGAGTGGGAGGCGCTCCGGCCAGCGAAGAAGAAGCGCGCGGGCAACCTGAAGGGCGTCGACATGGAGCGCCGGCTGGAGTGGAAGGCTCTGGCTAGCCTGCTCGTTGAGACGTCTCAGGCTCTCGACGAACCGGAAGAGGAAGCCGGCTCGTCCAAGCAGGCCGCTACCCTCATTCCTGGCTCCAGCTTCAACTCGACCACTCGTGCTGCGGCCGCTACGGAGGCGCTGTCCAACCACATGGAGCTGCTCGACGACTGGAACGCCCTCGTCAACTATCTGCTTCTTGACCACTCCACGGCGGACCAGGACATGTGGCTGCTGACGGAGAAGGAGGAGGACTTCCTGCTGGAGATGCTGATCGCGTGCATTAAGGAGGAGGAGGACGACGAGGATGAGCAAAAGACCAAGGCGCTGCTGCAGGTGCTCCCCAAGCTGTTCACCAAGCACCAGGCTGACGTCAATCGCATTGTCGGCGTTCTCGCGATTCCGGAACACATGAACCTCGCCGTGTACCTCGAAGCGCAGAAGACGGCCGCGTACCAGACACTGTGGGACGACGTCACGAAGCAGTTCCTGCAGCACACCGACCCTGCCGTCCTTACTGCCGCCATGCAGGCGATCAACACGCTGAACGCGAACGAGTCGATGGCAACCATCAACGCGCAGAAGCTGGGCGAGCTCGAGGAGGCTCTGTTCACGTCGCTCCGCGACGTCATCAATGGCGAGGACGTGCCGTCCATGTCGATCGACGAGGACCAGGTCACTGCCATCGAGGCGATCCTACTCCGCATCAGCCTGCTGGCACGCAGCCGCGATATCTCCACCGCCATGGAGGACGAGGAGGGTGGTCAGAGTGCGGGCTGGACGATTGTGTCTGCATTTGCTGGGCGCGGAAGTCTTGGTTACAAGGAGGAGGCAAAGCTTGTGGAGCAGGCTCTGCAGATCGTGTTCCTCCACCTGACGTGGCTTTTCAAGCGGTTCACCGAGTCCGACCTGGACGACCAGGACAAGGTCCGCCTCCTCCGGACACGCCGTAACGAGGCGGTCGAACTGTTCGAGAGCTTTGCGGTCGCTGCGCGCGCCAACCCGGCCGACGCGGTGCGGCGGCAGGCCTTCATCGCGTTGATCAACCTCTTTGTCGTGTTCCAGAAGCGCAACGAGACGTTTGCGCCCGCCGCCAAGGTGTGTGCTCTCGAGATGGCACTGGACAAGCAGAGCCGACTCGGAGGCGCGTTCCAGGCCGCCGTGGAGCGGTATGCGACCGACATTCAGGACGACGACAGCGACGATGGCGACGAGCCGTCGCTTGAAGAGGCGCAGCGCGAGTTCCAGTTCCTGCAACTCGTTTCTGCGTTCGTCGCCGCGGTGCGGTGCGGCGTCCTCGACGTCGAGCAGGCAAAGGAGCCGCTCATGCACTATGGACGCTTTGGATCCACCTACGACACGGTGGTCAAGAAGCTCGTCGACGTGCTTCGTGACGAGGGCATCTACAACAATGAGGCTACGACTGTACAGCACGTCATCAGCGCGGCCCTTCAGAATGTAAGTTGGGGAGAGCGGAAGTAAACTGACCCCAGTCCTTCACCATCTTCCTCGAGGACGACGAGGACGACCCGGACGCGACAAATGCGCTTGCACGGACAGCGGCGCAGTCGTTTGTCGTGCACGGCACGCACTTTACGATCCTGCGCCAGATTCGGTCCGACGAGGTGTCCGACCTGCACGTTGCCAACATTGACTGGATTTTCAAAAAGTTTGCCGCGCTGGTGAAACAGCAGTCTCAGGCTAAGGACCAGGATGGCAAGCGACGCGCGGCGGCGAAGCGCCATCAACTGATGTCGTACTTCAAGCCGCTGTCGCACCTTGTGGGACCTATCAGTGGAAGCGATGCGCTGAAGATCCGTGCGCACCTCGAGGAGGCTGTGGAGAAGTGCGGGTCACCCGATGTCGCCCGAAGCACGGCTGCGTACCGCAACTATGAGAAGCGCCTCGTTGGTGCTGCCAGCAAGGACACGGCGCTCAAGATCCGCAAGGAGACGCGCAAGAGCGCTGCCGTCATCGAGGACAGTGACGAGGGCGACGACATTACGCCGACAGCGACCCCCGCTCCGCCCGCTGCATCGACGCCGGCGCCGATATCGAACGGAATCGAGGCGAACGGGGACACGATGGACGAGGATGACGTCGCGACGCCGACAAAGTCGAATGGCAAGCGGGCGCACCCTGACTCGGAGTCGTTACCCGACATTGACCTGGACATGAGTGCGCAGATCGACATTGAGTTTGACGCCATGCCGGAAGGAGAGGGCGAGGGTGAGGGAGGCGAGGGTGAGCCTAATGCGAAGCGCAGGAAGGTTTAGAAGGCCTGACCGGTTATTCTTACATGGGCTTGTAATTCTGTACTCTTTGATTGACACGACTGCTGATGTATAACGTGACCTTCGCTTGGCGGAGTGAATCGCTACAAAGCACTGCCAGCCATCGCTGGAGGCGCCAGAGTTGCCCTGTCCAGGAGCAATGCCAGGTCCGAGATGAGATCCAATGAGTGAAGAGAGTGACAAGAGAGTGACATTGAATGCCTGGTGGTGAGCAGGGGTAATGGGCAGGTGATGCTTGATGATGAATGGGTTGGCTTGTCACGCCGGCTGATTCGACTTGACGAGATGAGAAGAGAGCACTACAGTCGAGACATTCCGTTCGGATGAGAGTGTGGCAGGTTTCGGGTCATACCTGCGTGTTGCGGCGAGGAAAGTTTGCAGGGATTGCGTAAACAAAGCCGTAGACTCCCCTCCCCCGAGTGGCAGTATCGAGCAAGGAGGGTGCATGGATCGTCTTGTGATGTGCTGGCACACTCGTGTGTCTTGTCCACGATCCACGGATACACGCACGCACGCGCGCATAGATAAGATTGAGAGACAGTGACTAACTGACGAGCCACTCTGTGCTGTCTCTGTGCTGCCCACGCCCACGCAGCGATAACGAGGCAAGTCATGGGCTGGCAGGTGGCCGGTTATTCGCTCCGCAAAGAGATGCTCCACCGAGTTGGATGGCGCCCGATTAGCGATGCTCGCTAGCATGTGGTAGCGCCAAGGTCATGCAACGGTCCGTCTGTTAGGACGCAGACTAGGACGTGTCAGATCTCTCGACATGTTAAGTGCCAGAAAGTCCACAGGGCGGTGTCACGTCACGACGAAACACGCAGGACTAGTCCGGCTCCACGGCTCCACGGTCCTTGCAGTCCTGGCTCTTGACCCTGCATAGACTGATGCATCGCATTCAATACGCATCTACAGTACGCAGAACACGCACGCATGCATGCATGCATGCAATACGATGCGAAGGCAGGTGGCCGGGAGTTCAGGAGATGAAATGCCAGGGCCCAGGAATTCTGGCACCTTGATTCCGCTGTGGTGACCCTGGGCTAATGCGTCGGTGGATGCCGGTGTGGTGGTGGGTGAGTGGGTTCATCGCTTTCAACGGCCACCGGCGACCCAAGACATTCTCGGCATCATCATCGCTTTCCTCACAGCGCTGCCCATCACAACCTTCTTTGTCGCTCGCGTGCATCTTTACTCTCCAACGCCGCGCTGGACGCTGCATCCTTGTGGCCGCGCGCACCGTGTAAACAAATCCCGACGATACACATACCTCCGCGCCCTTCGCTCATTTCCGACGACATCAGGTGTCAACAAACACGGCCGACCGCGCTCGATAAACATTTCATATCCCTATATTCACCCCAGTCCACCACCCCTCTCTGTCATCACTCCCTCTTGTCATCCCCGGCACCTCCCCCAACCGGACTTCTACCTCCTCTCAACAACGCCTTGCAAACGCCTCACTCCTTCAATCTTCGGACGAAACAACTCACAAACGAGCAAACGACAGCTCAGCGTGCTCCCAAGTAGCCCATCTCGCAGAGCCGGACAGCAGCGCACGATTCGACGCTCAACGCCACTCCGCCCGTGCACAAGGCACTCCATTCTGAGTACGGGTCCGGTCTAGGAGCAATAACCAGGACAACCCGGACATCGAGAGACATCCCAGGACACAAGTGCAGGTGCGCAGCGCACATCCCACGGACCTCGGCATTGGCAGTGTCCGACCTGGGCCGGTTCTGAAATTACGCTGGCTCTTCGGTGGCGTCCCCGTGCCCGGCCATCGACCCCACCGTCCTTAGCTCGATTCCGGCTGCTCCGCCCGGTTCGCCGGGTCGCTGCTCCTAGCTTGCTCCTGAGCTCTTGCGATCCTTCCCTAACCGCGTCCATCGCGCGCGCGCGGCTGACTTCCAAGAGACATAGCGTTGGCAACTTGCTCCCTCTCCCAAGGTCGACTGAAATTTCGTCCTTGCTCTAGCGCATAGACCCACTCCAACTCCTTCGCGCTAGCCCCGTTCGCCCCACGCTCACGCCTGCGAGCCTCTTCGTCAGCTCGCCAGCTAAGAGGCTCTGCGCAATGGCGGTGCCGGACGCGCAACAGGTCAAACGACCTCCAATATCACTCTCCTTTATTGAACCTCAGCGACACCCCATTCATCATCCGGTATACAACGGACCGTCCAAGCGGTCCACCATCAGTTCCCCCGCAGACACATCCAACATCCGGACAAACAGCATCTCCTACGAACGACGACCACCGATACCCTCGAGAGACTTTCAGCCACCCCGCCCCGACTTGAACCGCGTCTGGGTCTTCCCCACGTCCAGCACCGCCAGTGTCGTGAGCAGTAATGTCACGTCGGCGCCGGCGAGCCCCATGCCCCTCTCGCCCATGACGCTAAGCCCGACGACGCTGCCGTTCAGCGCTCTCGGTGCGTTCCGTCCGCGGCGGCCAACGGTTACCCGACGGCCATCTGACGAATCCGATCCCGAATTCCCGGACATTGACACGTTCGACCTCGACGAGCCAGCGGGGCACTCGTCGCTGCGCGATCTGATGCTGAGCCCAGGTAAAGTCATGGACGCCCAGCTGTACCAAGTTCTGAACAGTTCGTGGAGCGAGGCAGAGCTCGAATTTGCGCTGTGCATCGCCGTCGCGCGATGGGAGGCGTTTGTGCCGCGAACGCCTAGTGGCACGGGCTACTCGCGCCCAGTGTGGCCGATCGACGCGCTGGTGCCCCGGCACTATGCTCGTCACGCCAACAAGTGGGACGAGTTTAGTCCGTACGACCCTGCCTCGTTCCGCGTCCCGGTGCGCGACACCCGGGCGCTGCTGCGCGAGGTGCTCCGCCGCGCAAGCGGGCAGGACCCCGCGAACGCTGTCGGCGTGCCCCGCCGCACGGCGTCGAGCGCCACAGTGCCCCGCGCAAAGCACTACCAGCGATCATCCATGTTCAGCCACCGCAGCAGCATGACGGTCGCATCCCGCTCGCCGTCCCCCGACGCTGTCGCAGTCGCGCCCAACCCGGCCAAGTTCTTAACCGAGCACCTCAAGCTCTTCCCCGACCTGCACGAGGCGGCGACGGACGGCTCCAACTCGCAGAACGAGCAGTACCGCGAGACGCTACTGCGCGGGCAAAAGGACCACCTCCGCTCCGCCAGTAGTAAGCGGAGAGAAGAGTACCTGGCCATGCTGGAGCGCACCCGCCAGCAGCGCGCAGTCGCCACCGCCCAGGCCAAGCGACGTAGCATGTTCAGCCCGCCGCCCGTCACCGAGGTCGACGAGCGCGGCCTCCGCCGCCTCAGTCTCATGAGTTCGCAGCCCAGCGAACGCATGAGTATCAGCAGTTATGTGCCTCCGCCAGCGCAGCGGTACAGCCTCGTATCGACGCACACATCCTTTTCTCTCAACGAGGGACAAAGCACGCCCGAGACGTCGTTCACGACGCCGTCGTCGCCCGAGAAGCACGAGGCAGTCCAAACGCCAAAGTCGGCACAGGAGTACCATGACGCGACTATGGGCCGCCTCGAGGGACGCACGAGTGTGTCGGAGAAGCAGCCGGAGGACGACGATGTCGACCTCGTCCTCCGCCTCGCCGAGATGGGACGCAAGGGCATGGCTGGCAGTCTGCCCCCCGGCGTGGTCGAGAGCGCGCGCGCCAAGCGGCAGGCGTCCCTCGGTCGCGACGTTTCAGTCCTCGGTAGCCCGCTCACGCCAACAAGCACGACGCCAAAGGTCCGCCGCTCGTACCGCGAGTCGATCACGAGTGTCTCCTCCCGCGGCAGCCGGTACCCGAAGAGTCCCCGAAGCCCACTGACGCACTCTCACTCGCCGTCCGTGCCGAATGGCGTGGGCCTGAAGCAAGTGCGGATGAACGTGCCCGAGTCCGTTCTGGGCGATATGGACGGGGAGGCACACGACCCGCACGCCCTCGCAGCTGACAGTCCTGTCGAGAGCGACGCCAACGTGGTCAGCTCGGCCTGGCACGAGGGTCCATTGGACGGTATTGGCTCGGGCTTAGGCTCGTCTCTGGGCAACTTTGGGTCGGATTTTGGAGTTGGGGAGGCGTCTGGCCGTCGCCGTCGAAGCGGAGCAGCCGCTCCTCGATGGAGGCGGGCGACGCCGAGTGGCTCGTACGCGTGCGGCGCGAGAAGCAGCGACAGTCCGTTGCCTCGAGCCGCAGCCGCGACAGCCGCGCCAGCGCACTCAGCACGATCAGCATTCCCGAGTCGCTCGAGCTCGAGGGCGACTTTGAGTATGGGAACAAGTATCGCGAGTCTCACATTGAGGCACCTGCCAGCAGCAACAAGGTGTGGAACACGGTTGGCAACTGGCTGTGTCCCTTACCCGATGATGCTGGGTGAGACTCGAGAGTGTGCTGCCGGTCGTCTCCCCGGACTACCAATACTGGGCTGGCTGCCCAGTGACACCTCAGAAGAGGAGCCAGACGGCCCCCTCATGGACATTAGCTTGGATGAGAATTCAAGCGATGTGGACTCGCCTCAGTCGTCTTTCTGCCCAGAGGAGGAAGACGATGGCAATTCCGGTCCGCTAATGGACGTCAGTCTCGACCTAGGTCTCGACGTGGACGAACATGACGACGAGCTCGACGACGAATTCGACGATCTGGAGATCCTGGACGAATTCGACGCGTTCGATCCCGAGCACCACTACCACCCGCAATGGTGCGACGGCGGGGACACGGAGAGCGAGCCCGAACTCCAGACACCCACGTTCACGCCGCCCTTCAGGCCATTGTCGACAATCTCGGTATCGAGTGACGTCGAGCTGGACCCGCACGCGCAGCATCGGGTGAAACTCCCCCTCGCAGCCGTGGGCGCCAGCTTTGTTCGGAGGCTCGCTGCGAACGGACTCCGGTGCTAGCTAGACTAGCGTCATGGAGGCTAGAGTCGGCCCGCGGATATGATTGTTCGGACCGCGGCAGTCATGTCCGGACTGCAGACATTCTTCCGACTCGACTGCGCAGCCGCGAGCGCGCAGCGAAGTCTTGAGTTTCAGTGGAACTCTTTTGTTGTATACATGTTGTAAACCATGTTATCTTTGTGCAATCATTACATACGGGCTGCGTTAGCTGCTCGCCAACTTCGCCATATGCTCGTAGATGGAGCCATCTACTGGATCTCGGGCGCAGTAGTCTGGCGGAGTACGCAATGTGCCTCGGAGTGTGACTACGATCTCGTGCATCAGCCGTTGGAGCATTGAGTAAGGTCCAATAGGAGAGTCAAGATGGCCGGTGCAGCAGTAGAGGGGGATAGTGCGACGCGGAGCTGGCTGTACTGTAGGAAGGCGCGGCACGAGGACGGCGGCACGGCGGCACGAGCGGCAAGGGCCTTCGATCCCGGCGGGACGGGGGCCAGCGTGTGGGATTTCGTGCCGTCCTGGCCACCGACCTGACCTTGAACGCTACGCCAGTACTGTTAGAGTACAGGGGTCCTCAGTAGAGCTGAATGCATACGCAGCAGTACAATAGTATGGCCCAGAACTGTGGGATGCACCGAATGCAGGTTACGTACGTCGCTGAGCTTGAAGTCTCTTCTGGCAGAGAGCATGAAACGTGATGCAGCACCATTTCGCGGCTAGAGGACCCAGGGCGGGTTAAGGGACGAGGAGATCGAGGACAACTTTATTTCACCAAGAGAGGGAGCAAGTGTCAGTCGCATCTTTCAAAGGAGGGGGGGGGGGCTTATCTTTCTCACCCGTCCATCGCACAGTGTCCCTCCTTCGCACAACGATCTCAGCATTGACAACTGGTGTCACTTGTCAAGTGCAGAACGACTAAGGCTGCTCGCTCGCTGTGCTCGCTGGCCAAACGCCCAAACGACGCGCCGGACACGACGGTACATTGAATTCAGTCAGACCCAAGCCACGCTGCCGACGCCGATCACATCTGTGGGATCCCGTGTCTGGGCCGGGCTGGGCTTCTCACCTTTCTAAAAGTTCCACCTCACCACAACCACACCATCACTCGTCCACATAACCGCTACCCTCCTTTCAAATCCCCATCTCTGGCGAGAGAAGAGACGACTAGTGCAACGACCACGCCATCGCAGTGCTGGACGCTCCAGGCTGATCCACAACTGCATACCCGTCCCCCCCTCTGACGGGCGGCATCTCGATCGCGACGCGCCTGCCAACGAACGAGCTTTCCACTCCTCCTTTCCACCGACCACCCCTCCTCATCACTGAGTGGCTAGCGAACCAGTGTTGTTCGCATCGCTCGCCTCGCTCACGTAGCTCCCGGTCACTCCGTCACCATGTCCCTCCGTCCCCGTCTGCACACGCCCTCCGCCCCCGCCCCGCCCCAGCCCGACACGCCGGCCGCGCACTACGCCGACCCGATGGAGGAGGAGGGCTCGCGCAAGAATGTGCACAAGCACGCGCGTAACGAGTCCCTACCCCGCTTAACGGCGCGCGGCCATGCCGCAAATGGTAACGGCAACGGTGTCGGGAACGGAGGTGCGGCTGGTGGAAAAGGAGGAGAAGAGGAAGAAGAACCGTACGACAAGCTGAGGAAGAAGAACCGATTCGTGCCCGGGCAGAAGGCGTGGATTGTCATTGCTGCTGTGCTTGGTGTGATTCTGCTGGCTAAGATGGTTGCTTGTGAGTACGAAGCGAAGGAGGGGATGGTGATCGGTGACTGCTTAGGGGCGATCAATGACTAGCCCCCTCTTATCTCGCAGTCAGACCTGGACCCAGTCTGGCCTACCTCGTTGCGCTCGGCGTACTGACAATTCAGACCGTCCACGAACCATCGAAGTCGACGTCTCGACCCTCGAGCCGCGCGACTATTTCAACAATTCACAGACGGACCCTGCGCCGTTCGAGTTCTGCCCTGTCTTCGGACCGGGCGACGCCGTCGCCGCGCGTCGGGGACAGTTTGAGCTGCTCCGCTCTCGCCTGCACCTTGGCACGGGGGCGCGTATCCAGCGCGTGCTGAACAAGGCCATGCAGGGTCTCCCGGTCACGATCAGTGTGCTCGGCGGCTCGGTGTCGGCGTGCCATGGCGCCGGCGACGATCCGGTCGGCTCGACATGCTACCCCGCGCGGTTGTATCACTGGTGGAACTCGGTGTTCCCCAACCCGCACAACGAACTTACGAACGGCGCGGTGAAGCGCACCGATTCAGCATACTATGCGTACTGCTCCGCGCACCACCTCCCCGACACTGCCGACATTGTCATTCTCGAGTTTGACGGCTCAGACCCGAACGACCGCGACTGGCTCGCGTACTTTGAGCAGCTTGTGCGCAGTGTGCTCACGCGTCCCGAGCAGCCGGCGGTCATCATCCTGGGCCACTTCAGCCCGCAGGTGCAGGCGCAGTACGGTTTCGCGGGCCCCGAGCTGCTGCACAACGCCGTCGCGCAGTTCTACGACCTGCCCCACATCTCGGCAAAGGGCGTGCTCTACGACCAGTACCTCGAGAACCCGCTCGGCGCACTCAGCGACCTGTACCACGATTCGCAGCATGCGAACCACGAGGGGCACGACCTCATGGCCGACGTGCTCATCAGCTACTTCATGAGCGAGATCTGCCAGGCGTGGGGCACACACATGGGCAACACGTATGCCGTGAACCCGCGCGCGCTGCATGCGGAAGGCTCCGCGGGGGGCAAGGCGGCGGGCGCCCCCGTGCCCCTCGGCGGCCTGGGTCTGCGGCCGAACCAAGTCCCGGGCCAGAAGGCAGAGGACGGCGCGGTGTCGGGCGAGATGACGTCTGTCGCCGCCGTGCCCCGCATGCGCATCCACGACCGCCCCTCGGCCCTCGACACATTCCGGGAGACAGAGCCGTACTGCGTGTCCGCGGCCGATCTCGTCTCCCCCCTGCCCCCCAGTATCTTCTTCGGGTCCGGCTGGCGCCAGCACACGCCCAAGAACAAGGACGACCGCTTCTACTGGTACGCCGAGCAGCCCGGCTCGCGTCTCCGCATTCCCGTCAAGATTGGCTCGGGCGATGTGGGCGTGTACTACCTCCAGTCCCCGCACGGGAGCACGAAACGCGAGGCCACCGTCAAGTGCCAAGTCGACGACAATGTCGGCGGCGCAAAGACGATTCATGGCAATGCAGAGGTCGAGGAGGAGATTGCTACGTGAGTTTGAGTGGGCAGCAGCGCCAGCTGCTGGCCGGTTAGCTGAGGGCGGGCTAGCTGTAGGAAGAAGGATCACAGCTGACACCCCAGCCTCACCATCATCGACATCAATGTCGACAAGGGAAGCCATTTCGTCGAGTGTGTGCTTGATGGCGAGCCCGGGGGCCCAATTACGCCGTTCAAGATTCTTGGCATGTGAGTACAGCGAGCGCAGCACGAATCCGAGCGTGCGATAGCGACGACGAGAGTGCTTGTGCTTCCTCGCGCGACGGGCATATCGCAGGGACTAGCTGGACGGCGATGCGTTGAGCTGACGACAGTTTCACGACCTAAGAAGTCTCTCGTACGAGTGTTAGCATCGCGAGACGGTTAAGGTGTTTGGGAATATCGGACATTCTGGGAGGATGAAGGGGAGAATGAAAGAGAGCGAGGAGCGCGGAGGACGCGGCATAGAACATTTCTTAGACACAGACACATGGATATCGGCTATCTTTCACTGGACTTTGCATAGAGACTAAAGAGAGACGGAGACAAGCCACTACCCTATCAGCCTACAGCCTAGAGCGTCTTGCTCTTGGGCGAGTTCTTGGCGAAGAACTTCTTCCTCTGCTTCAGCATGTAAGTGTAGAGGACATAGAGGGCGGGCCACCAAACGAAGAACAAGACCAGCCTGGCCACCTCGATAAATGTCCAGCGCCCGCCGGCCTGGACGGCGGCGCGGGCGCGCGCCATCTGCCACACCATGCTGCGCCCGAGGCCGCTCTGGACAAACTTGGCGGGGAGTTTGGAGAAGAGGTCGTGCGCGGCCTCGAGCACGCGCGGGATGTAGGGCAGCGTGTCGAGGGGCGGGAGGGTGGAGAAGGACAGGAACGCCTCGCTGCCCGCGCCCAGGGGATAGAGCACAAGGAAAAGCGTGTAGCGCAGCCAGTTGATGGCGTACAGGTCGATGCCGAGCAGGGCCAGGAAGTAGAAGGGGTAGCGCACCACCTCGGTCAGAGACCAGGCGAGGAGCATCGTCGCGAAGAGAGGGTTCTTGTGCGTCTGGCGTTAGCGCGAGTGCAGCGAGCAAGCTTGCAATGGGTTGTGCGGTGAGCTGAGTGCGATCTCCGACTTCGACTGTCTCACGGCTGCAGAGCTCCAGATCGGGACCACATCGCCTCACCCCACGCCCGACTTTATACTCACACTCGGGCACATCTCGACAACGCCCCAGACGGCCCAGAGACGGCTCGCGACCTGGCTCAGAACGGTGCCGACGGGGGAGCGCACAATGCCAATCGCGGCGTGCACGACCTCCATGACGGCCAGGGTCTGGACATACTTGGTCGCCTCGCCGAGGCCGTGAAAGTCGTACGCGCCCGAGAGGTGGTCGCCGAGCTTGGCGAGCCACGACAGCGGAGGCGTGCCATGCGCGCCCTGCCCGAGCACCGTGATGCGCGGGTTGCTCGCCTTCTCGAGCGCAGTGCGCGGGGTGAAGATGAACCACAGCGTCAGGTAGAGCAGGTAGCCCCACCCGACGGCCGAGACGGCGTTGAAAGCGAGCAGATACGCCTTGACCAGCGGGTGGGCTTTGCGTTTCGAAGGCGGCGTGTAGAGGCAGCGTGTTTCCGAGGTGTGGGAGGGTGTGAGGGTTACCCACGGCAGGCCGTCGAGGGAGAAGCGTTTGCGCGAGTGAGTGTGGGAGTGAGTGTGGGAGCCATTGGAGTGGGAGCCGTTTGAGTGAGAGCCATTCGAGCCGTTGGAGGGCAGCAAGGGGCCAGGCGGGGTCGAGGACATAATGAACGTAGAGGGTTGGAAACGGTTAGAAAGAACACCGGAAGAAGCGTCAGCGCGTCCGCCTCGTCTGCCTTCTTTAAGCCATGCCGCATGAGCGAGCTGTGCTCGCCTGCGATGTCTGCGGATCGCAACTCACCCGGGCGCGCAGGCTTGCCGGACCTGGCTGACTTGGACTTGGACGCCATCGTTGTGTGGATGGAGTAAGGAAGGAGTGTGAGAGTGATGCAATAACAAAGTAGTCAGGGAGAAGCAAAATAAAGTCACCCTCTACCGTTGGGGACGAGACACGCGCCCACGTTCCCGATCACTCCTCCGGCCCTGGGCCGCCCGGTGCCGTGGGGCCGGCAACGCTCATGGGTTTCGGTGCGAACGCGTCCTCCGCGCTCAAATGATGTACAACGTCTTATCTTGCATGCATTCTGCAGCTACAACTCCTGCTGCTGTACATCTATGCTGCACGTCTAAACACTCTCAGCCCACGCAGACAGCTCGCGCATGATTCCCAAAGCGCCCTGTCTGTAGCCGCCGAACATGAGTGCGTGCTGCCGTCAGCTCTGTACTACACCGGGTGAGCTCACGTTCAGATGATGATACAGCTCGTACAGCCGCTGGCGCTCGTCGTAGTACGGCTGCGACCGCGGGTTGATCGAGTGGTATGCGTCGAAGAAGTCTTTCCCAAAGCCTGGAGTCAGCTTACGTGTTGATCTCAAAGCTGGCCCTCGCTGTCTTCACGTCCACGTCTCGCCCGCCCAAGGAAGCACACAAGAAAGAACGCAGGGGCCATTAAGTTGCGAGGATGCCAGAAGAACAGTGTGGCGTACATGGCCGGGTAACGTCCAGCGGTCAACCTGTGATAGCTTACTCACCTCCGAACATCCTCGCGATACCGAGGTCCGCTTCACCATGTCCGTAGTACCCCGCTGGATCGAAGATGACCCCGCCGTTCGAGGTATGGCAGACATTGCCGGACCACAGGTCGCCGTGCAGCGGGACTGGCTTTGCTGGTGGGTCGAAGTCGTTCAGGAGGAGCGGGACAGCTCTGCGCGTCAGCTGCAAGAACGATGGTGCAGCGGTGGCTAGATGACGGTCGTCCATCTGTACCGATGAGGAGATTGACGGATACATGTCCACGCGAACTTACTTCTCCTTGAGTTTCTCCCACTCCTTTGTGATCGTCGGATCTCCCAGCCTTCGCACGAGGTCGCCCAGGCGCCGATCAGCAAAGAAGCGTCCCCAGTCCCCATCCCAGGTGTTATCCTGCTCCGTCGCGCCGCAGTGTGTTGGTATGCCGAACCCAAACTTGCCAGTGTACGCGTGGTCGCTGCCTTCCGGTCTGCCGTCAGCTACGATTGTTCGAAGAGAGCTATGCTTACCCATGGTCATTAGGCACGGAGTGCATCCTGGCCACCCTCTCGCCGAGTTCCTTCATACGTTTGTCCCCACCTCCGCGGGCGTACTCGCATGCCATTGCCGTCTGCCCGTCCTTGTTCTTGCTCCAGCATCGTGGGACTAGTCCGTCGGGCGCTGTGAGACGCATAGCGGCGAGGGAAGCGGCTTCGCCCCGTACTTGCGCTGCCGAAGAGCCCCGTGCCGTCTTACCGAACAGGGGGCCGCTGGGCGTATCGATGACATTGCCCCGCTGCGAGAGGGTGGAGGGGTCAAAGCCGGCGTCTCGGAGCACCTCTGCCAGCAGGCCAGTGATCATCTTGCGTCGTTGAAGAATGGTGAGTGTGTGTTGTTGAGGATGAGAAGAGGAGGACGCACGACGTCATACCCGCTACGCACTGACGGCTTCCTCCGACGCTAGGACCGGTTTTTACCCGCTTGCCTGCGTTCCCACCTTGTTTCGTCGATCCCACATGCCGCATGATTGGCATCGCGTCTGACAGCTGGTGATAAGAGGCCTTACACATACTCAGCTGACATGAGCATGTTGGGGGTGCGCCGCCCTTCAGCTTTAATGTGGTATAGGGAGTTCCGATCAAGTGACAATGGAGAACAACCTCCCCTCGTCCTGCGGCGGCCAACGCCCGCAAAGTGTTGTGCAACGTTGCAGCCGACAGCTGTCAAAGGGGTGAGTCGTTCATGTATTTTCTGTCGGTGAGGATATGCATTGGTGGTGCCGACTGTACAGGAATTATGATGGAGCTGGCTATGGACGTAGAATAGGTCGCACTAGAGGAGGTACGGGCGGATGTTCGAAAGGAAGCAATGCTGTGCGCCCGAGAGAGGCTGTGGACAGTTGTGGTGGAAGGTGGATGTAGAGCTTAGAGAAGGCGCCTTCAATAGGCAGCCGCGGAATTGCTTGCACGTGCCGGTACTAGAACTGGCTCCGGGGACGCTCTCCGCGATGGAGAGGAAGCTCGTCGTCGCGCATGGACGGTGTACCGAGTCCTCGGCGGCGGAGTGTCGGCGACCGTGATCGGCGTTCGGATGCGAGAGGAGAGCGGAATGCAGCTGGAGCCGACTGGGCCGACGCGCTGTCCCAGATCTCGTCGTCTGGCGTGGACTGATCCTGCCCAGGCTCGTGGCGAGACTCTTGGCCGCTCTCAGACACTTGCGGCGCGGGCGGAGCCGGGAAGGCCGCGACGGGCTGGACACGCTCAGACAGCATCTTGGCTGTCCAGACAATCATCAGACTAGCGATGTTGAACGTTCGAGTCCATGAAAGGTCATCGGGGTCGTCGTCTTCTTCGGCGAGGTGGTGCTCGACGGGATCAAGAGCGACATTCGCACAGAAGTACGCCTCGATCCGGCCAGCGATGCTCTAAATCGGCTGGCCCTCCTCGACGTCCAGGGGCGGTAGATCGAGTGCATCGAGGGGGTCGGGACCGCCGTCGAGGGCACCGGACCTTGCGGGCCGCATGAAGACCTTGTGCCGCGGTCCGACGGGCCGCGACACGAGCACGCTCTGCTCGCCGTGGTCGGCTTGGTCGAGCAGAAGCACGACCGAGCGAGACCCGTTGCAAGCGATTGAGGCTTCGCTTTGCTTAGGGGTCTTGTAGTCCGAATACGCGACCGCCTCAAGATATGCATTGAGCACAGACACGATGCCTGTGTCGTAAAGGCGTTCGCCGTCCTGCCACCAGGCAACGTCCGCAACGCTACATCGCGTCGCGGTGGTGTCGGCGTGAGATATGGCCTCCTAGACCTTGGTGAGGCGCCCGTCCCAGAGGACGAGTGGGCTCTTGAGCTTGCCAAAGAGAAGCGTCGCGGCTTTGTGGTCGCCTCGGCGGAGACGAACCGCAATGTCGGCTCTGGCCCTGCTGCGGGCGCTGTTGCTGTCGGCCCACTCGACGTGCACTCCTGCTCAAGCGTTGGGGGTGCGCCATGACGGAGATGTGTGTGCGTTGCAGCCGCGTGCAGAGTGGATCGCTTCACACGTAAGAGATTGGGAGTGCGAATCGCGCCGTTGTTTGTGCGTCGCGAGGCATGTGCGCTTGTCACGTGAGATCATGGGGCCCCCTCTGCCATGTCCAAGGTCCGCCACCCTCCTCCACTTCGCAGCTGGGTGTGGCCTCGCTCTGTTTCGTTCACACCATCAACTCCATAAACACCAATCGACTCAATGCCCAAGCCCCGAGTGGCCTCCGGGAAGGGTGAATCCTCCACTGGGTCGAGTACTCTGTACTCTGAGTCTGGGCATTCGGAAACCACGCTTGCCGAGAGTGTGTCATCGTCATCTCGTTTGATGCTTGATGAGTCGAAGCTTTCACTCAAGTACCAAGACAAGATCGACGACGGCTGGGACCGCAGCCCTCTTCCACCGTTGCCTCCCGCATCTTTTCCCTTTCCCAGGTTGTCTGATACAGCTGCCGACGCTCCGCCCTTCCCGCTATATGGCCTCCCACCTTATGCCGCCAGATGGTCGGCACGCCTGGCGTCCATTTCTTGGTCTGTCGCGGACCGTTCTAAGAGGAAGGTGGATATCAGCGATACGGTCCTTATGTGGGCCGTAGTAGACTCAGTTCTGGACCGGTAGGCTTCTAGCTATGCTACTGCATTGCAACGCTGACCGAAGGCTGGACAATCACCGTCGGAAGGCCGTAGAGGACATGCGTTCCCGCGGTCCCCAGGCGCCACTTCGTCTTCTGCGCGACTGGGAGAGCTGGATCGACTTGACGGACAATATGATCCTCGACGCGTTCAATGCCGTAAGCTATCCATTGTCGACGAGTATTATAGCTAACTTGTAGGCCATTGCACTGCTGGGTCTCGATACTCGTCGTAAGGAGACCTGCGACCTGCTTCACAGGGTAGGCAGCGTGGCGCGCACCGTCGTCGACTGGCATTGGCAGGCCGCTGATGACTCGCTGCACCCGCCAGCCGACTACGAGCTGTGCAGCCCTCTGGACCCTGAGGAATACGGAAGCTGTAGCCCATATCTCGTGGAGAACTCTGCGGCCATCCTCCGCCTGGCTGAGAGTCAGCTCACGCCTGAGGCATACGAGCGCGGCATTGCCGCCGCCCAAACTCAAGACGCCTGGGCTGCGTTTTGTGACGACCCTGACCCTCTCGATACACTGTCCGGGCCTGATTCCGACCTGGGCGACAACTGTGGCTCAGAAGAGGACGACGAGACCGATGAGGGCGATGAGAGCGACGAGGACGACTCGGACGGAAGCGACGCGAGTGGCGAGGAGTGCCTCACTCTCATGGAATTCTGCGCGAGGATTGATCGGGGAGAGCTCGGCCCGCCGAACCTCCCGCACCTGCCGGAACTGCCGCACCTGACGCACCTGTTGCACCAGTCACACTTGTCGCCCGCCGGGCAATTCGTGAAAACGGTGAGCTTCAGGGGGGGTGGCGCGGCGAGCGACGAGTGCGGTCCCGTGTGACTCGCGTCATGGCATGATTCTGCAGCAATGTTCGACCAGGCCACCTCAGCCTGGTCTACCGTCGACAAGCGTAAAGGTGGAAGGGTTGAGGCAGAGCATGGTGTGCACCACCACTCCGAGTGAGTGACCATTCCCACACGGAGCGAGAAAGGGTGGATCGGCAAGGCGTCAAGAGCGCGTGGTGCGGTGATACACGAGGTGCAGTGCGTACCACTGGTGGAGAGGATGGTAGGCGCAGACATCCGATTTGTTTGTTTTGAGTTTCATCTGCTGCGTCTCAGCCGTGCACGTGACCACCGTTGACCTCCAACCCGCCACTGGCTCTGGCCTCGGCTTCCACTGCCTTTCCTAACTTTCAACAACACTCTCAGCCTACACTTGAGCGATCAGACCAGCCATGCCGACGGCGCGCATTGTATCCGACTCCAGCGCCGGATCCACCGACATCAGTTCTCTCGGAGTGTCATCAAGCGTGACAAACGACTCCTCGGTTGGCTCCGTCGATCTCACAGATGTCTCGCCACACGAGAAGAACGTGGGACCCGAATACCCGGTCATCCCCCTCCCGCCTCTCGACAAGAAGAGCTTTGCTTTCCCCCGGGTCATCGGTCCCGATGAGCCTCACCCTACATTCCCGTTCTACAAACTACCCGGCAGCGTGGCTCGGATGGCCGCAAGGCTAGGAACGGAACGCTGGCTTGCTTGGGATGCGCAGCGCAATGGATCTGCACTCGACGCAGGCGTGTTCATCTGCGCGGTTGTAGACTCGGTCATCGAGAGGTGTGTGCATGCGTTAGCGTTAGCTGACCTAAGGTACGAGTCGCTCCAGGACCGAACAGCCGCGGAACGCCGCTCAAGGCCTCTCGGTGCTCCAGTGCGCCGTCTGCGCAGGTGGGGGGAGTGGGTTGCGGTCACAGACTGCATCATTATCGATGCCCTGGAAGCTGTAAGTCACAACATTCGTGGTTCCACCAATATAACTCCAAGTGCTGCACGAGAGAGCATAGTAGGCTGACGGGCAGGCAGACGATGCACTCGCGCGACGTGATCCTCCACTCGACGTGCCGGAAGGCGTAGAGGGCCGCCCCCTCGGATCCTTGTGCCGTATTGTACTGGATTGGCATTGGTCACCTTGGGAGGGCTCGACTTTCCCTCCTCGTGATATCACTGTTCGCCGACCTCTCGATCCTGCTCGTTTCGGAACCTGCAACCCTTACTTGGCGCAGAACGCCATGGACGTGCTCCGCTTGGCGGTTGGTCAACTCACTCCTCTCGCAACTTTGAGGGCTATCGGGGCTGTGCAGGAGGACAAATGGGCCGCATTCTGCGATGACCCGTCGGTTATGGACGACCAAGAACGACTCGAGCGCGAGCGGAACGAGAGACCCCCCTCTCCCGTGGAGGACTGGGACATGCGCGGGCGGCAACGGTTCATCTCCTTCATGGAGTACAGGGAGGAGATGGAGCACAACGCTGCCGTAGAAATCTAGCCTGAGCACCCCCAATCCGAAGGGGCCAGAGGAGAAGCTCACTGTCATCGCCAACCAGCTCGATCTCACGACGTGCGCGCAAGTTCACTACCCTCCGTCTCTCGCCACTCTCTTCAACGGCCGCAGCATGCACGCCGGGCGCCACGCACACTCGCGCCTGTCTCCGCCCTCTTCGCTCCATTCTCTGTAACTCCTGTCACAAACTGGGGTACGCTACATACATCCTTTTATCAATCTCTCGCATAAGGTCACGTCTTTCCCCTTTACCGCTCGACGGATCGTTCACGCTGTATCAATAGAAATCCGCGCATGTATCCATTATGCACTCTGCGCCTCGCGTGCTCTGCTGTTTGAGGAACCGCATGCCGCCTTGCCGAACAGGGATCGCTAGCGTCTATTGACCTACTGCGAGAGAGAGGAATGGTCAAAGTCAGCGACTCCCAAGGTCTCAGTCAGCAGGCCTATGACCATCTTGTCGTTGGTGAATTGTGAATGTGTGATGCTCACGAGAAGTAGGAGGACGTCATGAGGACGTCATACCTTGACCCGCACGGACAGCTTACTCAGACGGTCCTGCCCGTTTCAAACCTCGTCTCATTCTGATCCTTTCCGCTGATTGCTCTTCCCACCACACAATAGCCGCGGTTTTAGCGCGCTGTCGCAACAATAACTGCATCGTCCAGCTCCGGCTCCAATGGGAATTTGAGCTCTGCACTGGCAACTACTGTATGGCAACATACTCCAACACCGGGAGCATCGAGGACGAGCGTGTAGCTGTCATCGAACGCCAGCTGCACCCACTCATCCCGCAGCGTGTTTGTCGAAATCTCAACGCTAGCCACTGACACTACCAGCCTCTAGCGTCTCCCTCGGTACCCAAGGCGGTCCACCCTGCCCTTCACATGATGTCTTCAGATGTTTAGCTTCCACTGACGCCCGACACTGACAACTTTTTGTTCACGACTGAAGTCATGTCCCCCATGGAGCTCAGCCTGGGACTGGTCGGGCCAATCGTCCTCGGTACACCTGTACTCGCTGACCACTCGAAATCAGCCCACGACAATCAAGCTGGTGTCGGCACGGGGCACACGGGGCCCTTCAAGCAAAATGTTGACGACCAGCCGACCGCCGAGAAAGCTGTCGAGATCGACGCCAATCCTCTTCCACCGCTAGACATGTCTTGCTTCCGCTTCCCCCGATCTGAGTCCGACGCGCCTCCAGAATTCCCCTTGCACAGGATACCCGTTCGGGCTGCTAGGCTTGCCGCGCGTATTGGCTCCGATCGATGGAATGTGGCCGCGATCGCTGGCCGACTCGACCGTATCACGGCTGACATCTTTGTGTGTGCCGTCATTGACTCAGTGATCGAGAGGTGAGGAGGATTGTTTCTGCCAGTCTCGCTGACCATTCTGTAGATACACCAACTTGCGGCAACGGATGGATGCAGACCAGCGGAATCGCCTTTTTCGGCTGACACCCCCACGCCGTCTCAGAACATGGCCGGAATGGCTCCGGGTCACAGACTGTCTAATCGTGGACGCGATGGAAGCAGTGAGTCATAAGAGCATCCATTGTCCTAGAGGCCATTCCGCCTTGCCGATGCAACTTCGAGACTAATGATAAGGCCGAGTTTACGCTTGCCGAGTGTGATCCGCCAGTCGCTGTCCCGGACGAGGTCGACATCATGGCCCTCGGTCGCCTGTGCCGCATCATCATCAACTGGCACTGGTCGGCATGGGACGCATCAGCGTACCCGCCCTCGTGGTACGACTTGCAAAAGTCGATCGACCCGACACAGTATGGTACCTGCAACCCCTACCTTGCGGACAATGCAGCCGACGTCCTCCGTCTCGCGGGCAATAGACTGAGTGGTCGTGCCGCTGTTGCGGCTACTACTGCAGCAAGATCAGCAACAGCATGGGCTCACTATTGCGACCATCCTCTCGACAGCTTCGACGACGAAGTCGAACGACCCTCCAGCCCGGTCCCCGACTGGGACATGAGTGGTCGCTTGGTCTCCATGTCTTGGATGGACTACCGAGCGGAGCTGGAGCGCAGCACTTACAAGTAGTGTGCCAGCCATACGGCAATGATGGGGCCACGATAGAATTGGGCAGAAAGCGGGCAAGTGATCAAAGCCCAGAGTCCCCCACTCATCAATGCCTACTTGAACGCATCGACGTCCACTTACATTTCGGCCAGCGAGCGTCGAGTTCATCTTTTGTATTACCTGTGGCCTGCTTTCGTGTATCTAATCATCATGGTATTGTGTATATCCTCGTCAAGAATGTGTCTTCCAAGGCATTGTATACCGTTTCAGAGAACGGCTGCTGCACGCTGTCTGATTGCCATCCACCGTGTCACGTCTCGCGTCTCACGTTTCACCCACTAAGATGCCGTCAGCCGGGATTTTCGCACATGATGGTGCATGTCATGTCGACCGCTTCGCTCATTGTGGCACCATCATGCCCCTGACCTTGCAGCCTGCCGCTGGAGGGTGATGTCACACCCCCTGAAGCATGCTGCTAGTGCATGCCACAGAGGCCTGACAGCCTTTCGCTACACCATACCATGCACGCCACTGACCTCCTAGCTGAAAAGCTCTGGGAAGTTGGGGCGGACACCGTCAACACAAACTACTCGTTTTAGCGCCAAGCGTGATCGCTCCGCCTTGCTCTCCTCGCTCACCTAATCGCTCGAATTGCGATGACATGCATTTCTAAATGCGATACTCATACTGAACCCGGCACAGGGTTTCAAGACTGGCAGAACAATGATGGGTACATAGCGCTGGATCGAGGCCGAATGCTCTGGACGCCTGGTGGCGTTGCGTGGCGAAGTCTTCATGTGGGCCACCATCGATTCCAGGTGGGCGAACCCTTCTATGGCGAAGAGGGAGGGGATGGGGACTGCAGCGCGGTCAAATTGGTACTCTTGGCCCGCCAGCCATCCGCGTTCTGGAAGTGAGTCAGCTTGGGTTTACCGCGGCGCCGTGTGAGCCGTGCGGGTCGTGCGCGCCTAGAGTGCTCATTTCGACACGCCTTCGCTCGGTAGATCGCGGCAGACACGCGCGTTTGTAGCCCTAGGTCTGCTAGCCTGTCCCCACCTTCACTGTTGCTTTGTTTAGTGAATGTTACGTCGTCGTGCATCTCGCTCCCCGTTCGGTTTACTCACCTAACTCACACATACACTCATGGCCAGCAACACGTCGAAACCTGTACCCCAAGTGCTGTCGGTTTCTGAACAAGGTAGCCCGGTGGCGGTCGGTGACTCCAACATTGATACCTCTCCGCTAGCCCCTCTGCCAAGCGAGGCCTTTGTCTTTCCTCGAGCACACGCAGAGGAGCAAGTTCCAACCTTCCCTCCACGTTGTGTGGCAGCGTACGCCGCAGAGTGGGCGGCGCGCCTCGCTACCGAGGCCTGGGCCGCTGCTCAGCAAGTTGGTCGGCTCGCGGAGATCAGCGACACCATTCGTCTCTGGGCTGTGGTCGATTCGGTTCTTGATCGGTACGTTGTCTCGGCAAAGTCAGAAAGTTGGAGCTGACTCCCAGAGTCGATACGCACCGCGCACGGATGGTCGCAGATCGTTATTCCCGAGACGCGCAGACTCCACTCCGCCGCCTCCGCTCTTGGGACTCTTGGATCTACATCACAGACGACATGATCATTGATGCCTTCGAGGCCGTGAGTGTCTCCAACGGAAGATGGAAGGATCGCAACTGACTCGCGCCAGGCCGCGGCAGCGCAAGGACTAGATTCTGACACTGAAGAAGCCCTAGCCGATCTGAAGCGCGTTGGACGTGTGGCGCGTGTTGTGGTAGACCTGACGTGGGAAGCCAGTGACTCGCGATTTCCGCCGCGCGAGTATGAGCTGGAGCGAAACATCGATCCCGCTCTCTACGGAGAGTGCGATCCATTCGCTGTCCGCAACGCTGGGCGGATTCTCACCCTCGCCGAGGACCAGCTGCACCCCGACGGCCTCGTTCGTGCCCGTGGCGCCGCTGACGCAGGGGACGAAGCGTGGGCCCGTTTCTGCCGTTATCCCTTCGCTGATGTCCTCGGCGCAGGTCCGCCGGACACCCCGCCCGAGGGCAGCGATTACGATACAGCATCGGAGGACGACACATCTAGCAGCGCGAGCGCGAGCGCAAGCGGCCGTGGCCCAAAACTCATCACCGTCATGCAGTTCCGCGCCATGATAGATCGCGGAGAGTACGTTCCGCCCCCGTAGCGTCCAGCCAGCCGGTCGTGAGCGATGTGCGAGGCGAACGTGAGCCAGACGGGAGCTATGCCTACGTTGGGACAGGGGGCGGGATGAGGGTCGAGGTTGGGGTCGAAGACGAGATCGAGAACGATATCGACATCGCGCTCGAGAACGAGACCGAGGACGAGATCGGGAACGACATCGAGGCCGAGCTCCTGGTCAACGACGGAACGGGTCGACTCGTGAAGGATATCACCGCATGCAGAGGGGAGAGTGGGGAGCCAGACAGTGGGTTTGGAGGAGGTGGGAGTCTAGGAGGAGAAGCGGGTTCCAAGTTCTCGGAAAAGCAAGAGGCGGACTGCAGTTGGCACAGGCACAGTACAGCAAATTCTGAGAGGTCGATGGTCGACGTTTACACTTGTACAATACGTTGTAGCAGTTACGTGCACACTCTCATGTATCATCCACAGCCCCCCAGGACCCCAGCCCCCCAGGACCCCAGCCACACAGGCCTCATCCTCAACTTGGCGCTTACATACACTTACTCACTTCGCACCTCGCTCTGCTGCCACCCTCATCTCATCTCGACAAGCTCTAGTGCCATCCATCATAACCTTCAATTCTCAGGCTGGTCGTCAGAAAACGAGAGTTTCGGGATTCGATTGAGTGCTTAACGGATAGAGCACAGCCCTCATCGCAGTGAATACTGCTAGCACTGCTGTGTCAACACAACACGAAAGTCATACCAGGTCCATGTAAAAGTAGAGCTACCAAAAAAAAAAAAAAGAAAAAAAAAAAAACTTGGCAAAGCGTGGTCTTGCTCGTGCAGATGTCTATCAGATACCTGCTTTACGTCTTCATTTCGCTCACGTATTCTACACGATGCAGGAGAGTCGACGTACCGCAGAGGATGAAGGAGGCACGACAGCGAGCTGTATTTAGCCGCGTTCACCGAGCCCGGTCCGCGAGATCGTCCGTCCACCTGACATACTTCCTGTACGAGCTAAAGTCGTACTTCTCCAGGACTGGGGGGTCCCTCTGCTTTGCCTGGTCTTCGGGGATCGGGTCTGGATCATCGCACCACGCCGCCCACCCGGCCGCAGCGATCCAATGCTCAGCCTTGCCCCTCTCCTCTGGTTCCACCTCCGCGAGCCGAAAAACAAGTTCCTTGTTCTCCTCGCAATACGGGTTGCAGAGGCCTAACTGCTCGGAAGTGAAGGCGCGTTGCAGCTCATAGGTCGGTGGCGGGTGGGCCGAGTCAACCCATGGGTCCCAAATCCAGTTGAGGGCTTGACGGCTGAGGCGGCCCGCCTCGTGCTCGCAGCGCGCAGTCATTCGCAATCGGGGATCATTTTTCAGTCGAGACTGAGCCTGGGTGTTCTGTCAATGCGGGAACAGGGGATAGTCACAGCACCGATGACTTACGAGAGACAGGGCACGGTCGATCATAGTATCCGTCGAGCGAATCCATTCCCTCCATGGAAGGACACCTCCAGCGCCGTCTTCGCACCGAAGCTCTCGTTTATCTTGTTGCAGGCCCCAATGTCTGGTTCGATCATCAGCGGGGCATTGAACGGCAGATTCATCAAGGAAGACGTACATGTCGAGCACACACTTAACGACCGCCCACGAGAACACATCCGCTTGGACCTTGACTTCTTTGGCACCTGTCCCGGCCTCAGCGAGCTCAGCTTCCGCGTCGAGCCAGCGCAGGACCCCAATGTGCGCCGCCCACAACGCTATATGTCTCGGATGCTCACAGATTGGCAGCAGTAGCTGCTCACGGGTCATCGCGGGGACGGGGTACTGCAGGAACGGGTAAGACCCGCCCTCGGAGCTCCTTTGCGGTGTCTCAAAGTGCGGTGCACACCCAGGCTCCTGCTTTGGCTCTCCCTCGGTGCTCACGGGAACGGCGATGTTGGTGCCGATTGATGAGTTCGCCGAGTTGGCATTCGACTCGGAGCTACTGGCACTGGATGCTGACGCAGCTCGTGGTGAGTAGGCTGCGGCGGGGAAGACCATGGTTATGGTTGTGCGAAGCGCGCTTCGCGAATGAGTGCTAAGTAGATGTCGATGTGAAAGGATGTTGTGTGGGACGGCCTGGATGAGTCAAGGAATTGTTTTGTTTCCACTTCAACCGTGTGATAGCCGCCACAGTCCACGCTAGCGTCCATCGCGTTCTGTAGCCCAAGCTGTACAACGATCGACGCTACAATGATCGCATCAACACTACCTGCGAGGTCGAGCTGCTGGCCGTTCCATATCACATTCTTTCTCTCTACAACACTTCTCACTCATTCGCTTGAATCTAAGGGCGCCGCATCAAGAATGGTCGTTTCCTCCGCAGGCTACACGCCACGAGTTGTCTCAGGCGCTAGCACAAGCAGCTCGGAGTCTAACGCCATCTCAGCGACCTCGTCAAGCGACACCAACATCACCGTCCCTTCCTGTACCGAGGAGGAGTCCAAAGAAGAGCCTGGATGTGCACGACAGGTTGGGATCGAGACCGAGACGCCACAGAGTATTGCCGAGGATGCATCTGGCACGTTCACGTTCCTGCGCTGCCCCGCCCCCGCGATCACACGCGAGCTGCTGCGACTGCCCATCTGCCACCATCCGCGACGCATGGCGCTGTGGGCGGCACATATCGCGGTCCTGCGCTGGCTGGAGGCGGAGGGTGAAGCCTTTGAGGCCTCGGAGGGCGGGATTGATGCCCCAACCGAACTCAAAGTTGGGCCGGACGTATTTGCGTGGGCAGTCTTCAAGTGTGTGCTGGACATGTACGTATTCCCCCGCCTAAGCATTCAAGTCTCGTTGATGACACCCCCGCTGATCGAGCCAGGCATTCAGCCCTGCAACGAGGCGAGAGGGCGAGCGAAAAGCGCTCCCCTCTCCCTCGTCCGTGGCGGGAATGGGTCCATTTGACGGACGCCATGATCGACCGCGCCCTGGCGCTCGTAAGTCCCTCTACCATGTTCACCTCCCTCCCTCACTCCTTCCTACGCTGACGGCGAACGCAGGCCCAATCACGCCTGAACGCTCCCCTCCCACCAACGACGGTGCACGAGGCGGGCCGCCTTGCCCGCCAAGCGCTGAACTGGACGTGGAAACCGTTGGTCGACTCCTCCCACCCGCCACGGAGCTATGAGCTGCACCGGCCCTTTGCTCCGGGTCAGTTTGGACGCTGCAGTCCATACTGCGAGGAGAACAGGGAGCTCGTCTTCCGTCTCGCCGACATGCCGGGAGACGAGAGGGAAAGGGTTAGGGAGAGCGCTGCCGGTCAGGCCGGTCAGGCCGGTCAGGCCTGGGCCGCGTGGTGTGATGACCCCGACCCCCTCCCCGCAGACCAGGCTCAGGCCAGGCAACCGCCCCCTTTTGAGAAGTACGACTTCAGCTCGTACAACAAGTACACTACCTGGACGGATGACCTCGCCTCCAGGGCGAAGTGAAGTAAGCGCGGCTCGGCCGGATGTCGTGACCCGCGCCCATCCACCGCGCTGCAGCGTTCACCCCGGACACGTGAGCGCTGCCATGTACCGGCGGCGACGTCCCAGACGGGCCCCTTTGACATTGCAGGTCGACCTCGACTCGGGCTCGTTCGAAGCATATCGGGGTAGAGGCACCGAGTGGCTGCAAAAAGGAGCGGGCAGAAGGGATGATCCCCCTGAGCCATCGTTGCGTCCGTGTCTCGCATCAACTTCAAGAGTCCTACGCGAGGGTGTGCGGGAAGGAGGTTGATGAAAGAGGAGAACTCGGACTGGGACTCGGACTCAAGCACAGAGGAGGACGTCAAGGTGAGCTAAGTGCCTGCGGGAGAGCTGACATTCAGCCGAAGAAGACTGCTAAGCGCGCCAAGGACGACCCAGACAGCGACGAGGACGAGAAGGTGCGTGTCTCTACGACAGACAGCTTGCGGCGCTGCAAGGAGAGCTGACACCCCCAGCCCCCGAAGAAGAGCAAGCCCGCTTCGAAGGGCAAGGCGCCCTCGTCCAAAGCGGCGGAGGCCGAATGCGGACAGCTGTGTGCTATGGCGCCCACGGTATTGTGGGAGGGAGAGTGTGCATAATCGTAGTGGAATGGAGAGCTCTGACCCGCATGTAAAATGTATCTAAATATGAGGCAGTGGCAACGCAGTTCATATCTGATAGACATCGGAACGGGCCAAGACCACACATTCCTAGTATCGCTCCCAGTTCTGGCGTAGAACACTCAAATTATCAAGCTGCGATGACATGCATTTCTAAATACGATACTGATACTGAACACGTCACACAGGGTTTCAAGACTGACAAGACAAAAATGATGAGGATTACTACTACTCAAGCGGGTCTCAAGCGGGTCTCAAGCGGGTCTCAAGCGGCCAAAGCTGCGGACGGAACGCACGGCGCGGGGGCGTCTGTCCACCGGTGCCAGGAAGCTGCTCGGCGGATGCGACGCGGCTGTGCTCATTGCCCGGCGTCTGCGGGCCGCTCCCTCGCCGCTGGTTCCGACTTCCGCTCGACTCACTACTCTCGCCAAGCTCGCTCCGCTCGCTGCTCTCACTCGACACACTCGGCTCACTCCGCTCGCCGAGGTTGCTTCGCCCTCGACACTCGCGACACTCGCTTCGCTCGTGTCGCTCGCCTCCCGCGTGTCCCGCTTCTAATGGAACAGCTTCTTCTTCGGCTTCTCCGTCTCCTGGACGACCTTGATATGCGTGTGGTTCATCTTGCGTCCGGGGTGGTGCGAGCAGCACTCAATGTTCTGGATCCACGCATCGCCATGGTCGTCGTTGACATCGACGCCCGTCAGCTCCTCGGGCGGGCGGGCGGGCGGGCGAGGTTGCCGCCACACTCGCCGCGGCCGCAGGGACACATCTGGTCATCCTTGCCGGTGCCGTGTAAGAGGTCGGAGAGCGTGCAGCGGATGCTGGGCTCGACGGCGAGCATGCGCATGATGGCTGAGCGCGACTCGCGGGGGAGCAGGCGGAAGATGGACTCGGCGCCGCCCGTCTGGTACGTCCGAGTCGAGGAGATGGAGGCAGCGCGCTCGCGGCGCTTCTGCTGCTGCTGCGCACGCTGCTGCGTCTGTTCCTTGGACAGCGGCACGGTGGGCTGCGCGCCCGACGTCGACGAGGCGCGGTTGCGGGGCATCGGCTGGGCCGCGCGCGTGGGGGAGACGGGCTGCGGGAGCGAGATGGAGAGTGAGTAAGAGTAGTGGATGGAAGAGGGTGGAACGGGGCGAGGGGTGGGATCTGATAGTGGTGGTGGTGGTGTGCTATTGCAGCAGTTGTAAGTGACGGGGATACGGAGCCGGCAGCAGTCCCAAGCAAATAGCTGGCGCGCATACTGCGGGTTCGTGTTGGGCGGGAGCGAAGCAGTCGAGTCGTGTCGTCGCGGGAAGTACTGGTCAGAGCGGTCCTTTTGCGGCGACTCGGTAAGCTTGAGGCGGTCGACGCGCGGCGTAAACGTGTCCGTGCTACCGTGCGACGTTGTGCTGCTGACCTCGCTGACACGGCTGTCGACAGCAGTGCTCTGCGTCGAGTTGCTCGGCGTCCGCTTGAAGGGGAGCTTGGAGCTGCCGTCGGGCAGCAGCGTGTCGCGGCCGCCCTGGCGGTTGTGCGCGTCCGTGCCGTTCATGACCGAGGGCGCGGGCGTCTTGGTCTGCGGCTTCTGGCACAGATCCGGGTGCGTGTTGACGTAGAGCTTGAACGACATGTCCGTCTTGTAGTCGGGAATCTTCCACGGGAAGCGGCGCAGAATCATGCACATGAAGATGATGGCGACCGACCAGACGTCAGTCAACCGCGGGTCGTACGTGTCCCTCGTAAGGACCTCGGGCGCGAGGTAGGGGTCGGAGCCGACGACGCCGGAAGCGGGAATCTGGTGCTTGCCGGGGTAGTGGAACACGGTCGCGGTTCCGAAGTCAATGAGCTTGACAATGTTGTCCGACGTCATTACACAGTTGTCGAGCTTGAGGTCGCGGTGCGCAAGACCCATTGAGTGCAGATAGTTGACGCCATCAATGATCTGGCGGAACACGCAGTAGATTTCTGGCCGGTTCATCTTGCCCGACATGACGACCGAGAACAGATCGTACGGCGCATACTCCATGATCTGACGTTAGCTCGGCTCAAATCTCGGCTAGTAAGCTCGGACCTCACCTCGTAGTAGTGGCCGTGGTCGCAGACAATGTCGACCGTCTCAATGACGTTGATGTGATGCAGCGTCACACCGACACAGAACTCGGCAGTGACCTTGCGCAGGTACTCCTTTTCCGTCTCGCCCTGGCGGCGGGGACGGAACTCCTTGACGGCATAAGTGCTGCCGCCAGTCTTTTGCGACGCCTTGATGAGACGGACAGTGCCGCCGGCGCCAGAGCCAAGAACGCGACCCCACTTGCCGTACTTTTTGGAGAGGTGCGCGTGCGTCGCCTCGATGGACGACGGGTGCGTCAGCGCGATAACAGGGCCAGGGACGCCGGGGTAGTCGTTCAGGTTCTTAGGCGTCGCGTGTCCACTGGCGTGGTGGCTGTCGTGGTGGTGGTGCTCGCTCATCATGAGCGTCGATGTCCGCGAGGGCGCGGCCGAGCCCCGGGCGGGACGACGGACGCGAGCCATGATCCTCGACGCCGGCGTGGGCGGCGCGCTGCTGGCGCTCCTTGTCCTTCTTCTTCGAGCCGCCGCCAAAGAAGGACGCAAGCGACGAGTGCGACTTTTCGCCGTCCTTGTCGCGGTGGTGGTGCTTCATGAAGCCGACGAGATGCGAGGAGTGGTGTCCGTGATGATCCTTGTCGCGGTCCTTGCCGACTCCATCGGGCAGCTGGCTCGTGGGCGTCGAGTTTCCGGAACTAGCGGCTCCGCCGGCGCCAAAGAACTGGCTGCCTCGTACCTGGTTTCCGGGCGTGGCAGCACCGGATAACGACGGGGTGCCGGTCGAGTTGGTGCTCGACTCGTCGAGATGCTGGTGCAGGGCCTGCTGCGCAATCGAGTTTTGGTAGCGGTCCTTATCCTTCTGGTCCGAGTGGCCGATATGGTGGTTCAGGAAACGGCGGAGGTCGTGGAGGGGGCCGGAGTGGTGCTTCGGGTGACGGGTCGCCGTGGGCGAGGCGTGCGGGGACGATCCGGAGCCCGAGGTGTTGGAGGTTCCCTGTCGGCGCGGAGGGGGACGGTCACTCCTCGATCCACCGTCAGAGTGGGGGGGAGAGTCTGCAAACGAAAGGTTGGACGCGGCGGTCGGCTTTCGCTGCTGGGCGGATGCAGGCGGAAGTCCGGGTGAGCCGGGTGCGGGGGAGCCTGGGATGCTGCTGGGCTGTTATGGTGTCAGTTCAATCATCCGAGATATGAGCAAGCTGATTGGGGGCAGGGACGGGGGTTGGTGGAAAAGGGAGTATATTATGGGAAAAAGAGTGGGGAGCGCACCAAGCGAGCAACATTGCTAGACGTCAACTTGCTACGGGTCTTGGCATTGGGCTGCTGCCCGGCTTGCGGACGCCACCACCACTTTCTGGTTTCACGGTGGTGGGGCTTTGGTGCCATGGGCGGTTGAGTGATATGGTGGGTGCGTTGGATGTAGAGCATGACTGCGGGCATATTGCGTCGCCTCTTGGGGTTGGAAAAGGCCGATGGCGGCCCCCGACGCCTACGAGCTGCTGCGTCGCAATGCGAGCGCTGCAAGATACGCAGTCGCGGGTCGACGGCGCTAGAGGGAGAGCCAGCAAGGGGGTGCCCGGAAAACGAGTGTTACAAGGGTGGACGTATGGTGACGGTGTACAAGTGGGGGAGGAAAGAGGGAGAGGGTGGAGACGGACAAACGGAGCACAGTGATGCACTGATATAAAGCAGTGTGGACAGAGCTGGGACGCAAAGACGACGGTGTGGGTCTGTGTGTTTTGACGGGCGGGAGATGTAGGAGACGGGTAAAGAGAGGATAGATAACGAGCGTGCGCCGATGGGATAGACGAGGGTTGGGGCAGGGAGTCGTTCGGCTCGATGGCTCATAGTGTCCGTGGTGGGCGCGCCAATGACGCACGCAGCCAGCGGTCATTTCCTTGTACCTGGACGGCCCGGTGCAAAGCTCAAGCCTCTCTTTTCTGCCTCTCTCTCCGTCGATGCTGACTGTGTGCTTGGCCGTGAAGATCCGGCGTCATCCTATGTGATGCACGGGCCGTGCTCGACGCTACGACCACCCGTCATGTACAGGAAAGGGAGAAAGCGGGGTAATGGGGGGGGGAAGGGATCGGTGACTTACGTCGTCGTGCCAGATACCGCCGTGCGAGGGGGCCTTGTAGAGTGTCTGGCCGTCCTCGTAGTTTTCGTGGAGTTCTGTTCGCGAGTGGTTCCTTGATTCAAGAACGAGCTCGTCGTCCGAGACCTCGGAGACCTCGATGGGGGAACCCGAGCCGGAGAGGATGGGTGTGCCGGTCAGGGGGGAGCCGGCGACGGGGGTGCCGGACACGGGAGTCAGGTGTTCTGGGGAAGGGAGGCCGTCGCGGTGAGTGAGGAACTCGCGGCCATGGGCAGTACGCAGCGAGAGGCGTCTTCCGTGGGGGTCGGCAAAGTCAATGTTACTTAGGGGAACGGCGGGGTTTGCAGACAACATTGCCTAGACGCTGGGGTGGATTGGTGGATGGTTAATTGAGTAGCGTATGCGATGGAGACAGGGATGCACAGAAAGGAGAGTGTGTTGGTTGTTGTTGGTTATCAGAGGGCCGTCGGTGGTTGTGTGATGTGGTGGATGATGTCGACGGAAGGAAGGGGGGGGGGAGAGTGAGATGGTGAGTCACGGGTGGAGCTGATAGCCGCCGGGGACTTGTGATCGGGGGGGGGTATGATTAAGCAAATGGATCAAGGTGGAGCAAAGTGTGATGAGAGCAACGGGATGGAGGGGTTGGGGTCGGGGTCGCGGTTGTCGTCGTCGTCGAGGAGGAGGGAGTGTGAGTGATGAGATGGAGAGTGAGTAAGAGTAGTGGATGGAAGAGGGTGGAACGGGGCGAGGGGTGGGATCTGATAGTGGTGGTGGTGGTGTGCTATTGCAGCAGTTGTAAGTGACGGGGATACGGAGCCGGCAGCAGTCCCAAGCAAATAGACGGATTAGGCGGGGTGATCGTCCTATTTGATACCCCGCCGGACTACTTACATTCTCGTTCCTCGTCCGTCGTCCGTCGTCTGTCGTCTCCTAGCTCCTCGGCCCATTTCGGTTCTCATTCCTCTGCTCTCATGCCTCTGCTATTCATGGTACATCCGTCGATCCACCTGGCCCCTTTCTTACTCGACCGTCCCTGCATGCCTGCACTTGCCGCACGACCTGGCCGCGAGTCGCAAGCTGCAACCGACACATCAACGACGAGGAAGCGACAACAAGGACAAGACATTCCAACCCCTCTAGCATACCTCGATCTTATAAAGCATGCATGCATGCATGTATGCAAACGTAGTTCATCGCTCTTGTTATGACAGACAGGGATAGTGATGACGGCTAGCTGGACCCAGTAGTCAAGGGTTGCGGCAATGGACCTATGAGAGGACTGATAAGCAAAGGTACACTGGGTGACTGCGTCAGTGAGTGCGTCGTGCGTCATCGCACCCCGTCGCCCGTCGCCCGTGCGCCCGTCGCCCATGCCCTGCGGCCACTGGCTGTGCCGCATGTGCCGCATGTGCTGCGCAATGCCGCCGCCCCGCTGGGCCCGCTGGCCGCTGACACAAAACCCTCGCCTCGGTTCTCTAGCTCTCTCCAGTCCCCTCCGTACAAGTTCCACTCTTCAAATGTCGCGAGCATGGCAGAGAAGAGACATCTCAATGATCGCCACCGTCTTCGGTGTAGTCGTCCCCCATGATCCCCATGAATGATTTGCATAATCGTCCCCATAGCCAGATGACAGTTCTGCCGCTGGTGCCTGGCCACCTCTTGGTCTAACTATAGCAACAAGTCGCTCTGCACTCTGCCTTGCGCGCAAGAGAAGAGGCGCCGGAAAGCCCGAACTCCCCGTCTCCAGCCCAGCCCAGTCGGCCGCATCATCCGCGGAGATTACCATTTCTCGTACACCGGCCGCCGCTTTGCTGGCCTTTGCTGGAGCACGCCGCTCGCCGCTGGACGCCGGTGCCTGCGCCGTATACCACTCCGACACGCGCCATGCATGCGCTGTGCACATGGTCATTCCAAATCCTCTTGCTCAGCCTCAAGCATCTGGTCATGCACATCCATCGGCCGCCTTCGTTCAGACACAGCAGTCGATGCAGTGATGTGGTGAGACCGTGCGGCCCCCGCCTTCAGTCACCTGACACGATGCTCGTGCACTCTCACTCTTGGCCTGATGCTTGGCCCGAGTCTTGTCCCGACTCGTGCTCCGAATCTAGGTATGCTCACCGCAACACCGGTGCTCACCACAACGCCGCAACACCGCATCTCCGCATCTCCGCATCTCCGCATCTCTGCATGAGCACACAGCCTCTACAGTTCTGCAGCTAACCGCCGACTCGTACCCTCCGCCACCCTCCGGCTCCGGCATTCCGTCTCCTTAGACATCTCAGACACTTGTTTCATCCCACGAACCATTAACCTGCTTTTGGGGCGCTGTCAGTACGTGACTACGTGATGCAGCAAGAGCAAGCGCCGGAGCGCTCGGCCCGAAAGACTTCACTACCGTACATGTGGCATTACGTTATCGTCATCGACATCGTTTAATCTATGGCTCGCTAAGCCATGTTTGCATTGTGGTGCTCGCTTGGACTGGAGTCGTTATGGTCGAGGTGACCTCGCTTCAGATAGAAGGGCTCACTGCCTCACGCCCTCGCTTCGCTCGGACGCTCGGACGCTCGCGCTCATCGCCTGCCCGTACTATCATTCCTGCTCGTCGTCGGACGCAGCGCAATCGTCTCGACGGCCGTCACACGCCTCGTGTCGCGGATGATCGTCTGCAGACTGGCCAGTTCGCGCTGCAGCGCCTCGGGCGTCTCGTTGCTCCGCAGCCCGCGCGAGATGATCTCGTACGTCTGCCCAAAGGCCTCCTTAGCGCCCCGGTTCAGGTACGCCTCGACGCTCTGCTGCAGGTACTCGATCTCGACGGTTGCAGTCAACATGCCGCCCGTCCCGAAGCGCTTGATGATCTTGAACGACTCGAGCGCCGTTTGTGCTAAACGCGACACAAGCGCCTTCAGGACGTTGTTGACTAGGATCGGGTTCACGTTCGACACGCGCGCATGCGCCTCGACGAGCTGCAGGATGATTCGGTGCATGTACCCCCGCACCTCTGTTGGTGCGGGGCACGTCAGCCAGTCGATGCCGCTGTGCAGAATCGCATCTGACAGAATCTTGCACATCGGATCGGCGCGCAGAGACACACACATGTCGAACGCGCGTACCTCTAAACGAGCACGTGCGTCCTCCAGCTGCGTCTCGTCGCCGGCCGCTTCTGGGCCGAGCAACTTGGCGGCCAGGTTCATGATCGCAGGCACCGCCTTCTTGCGCTGGTAGTGGAACGCGGACAGAATGTATAGCAGCCGCGTCTCCGCGTCCGTCGTTGGCGTCTTTTCTTTCGTGCCGGATACCCGCACGGCGTGCTCCTCGGCAGCCGTCAGCTGGCTCAGGCGCATGATACCCTCGAACAGAAGAGTCTGAGACTCGACGATGCCCTCGCGAATCTTGCGCTGGAAAACTGGTGACGCTGGCGGCGGCGGCTTGTCGTCGGTCGCTGGCCCCGTCGCCACTGCCCTCGCCGCCTTGATGACGCGGGCTTGGAAGTCGTCCATCGTGTAGATGAAGCGTGTTCGTCCGCGCAGAATGCCCTCGTTGACTGGCGGTTTCCAGTCCTCGAGCAGGTAAAAGTCGGCCGCGTCTCGGATCCACGTCGTTGTAATCATCTCCTCCATGCGCCAGCGTAAGGATTCCATGAACGATTTGACACTCGAACTCGCGTCCTTTCCGACGTCGATTGCTACGAGCTCAGTGGTGCAGTCTCCGATGGCATTGGCAATCTGCTCGCCATAATAGCCAGCAGCCAGCACCGTCGTTCCCGCAGGGACGAAGGATGGGATGGACTGCTCGCGAAGCCGCTTCTTAGACGACACACCGACGTCTGATAAGGCGAAGAATTGGGCAATGATGACAATGTATGTCTTGATAATGTCCGCAGCCATCTGTCGGCAGGCTTGAGCTGGCCGGTGCGAAGCGCGCAGGGCACCCGACGAGTCGCGCTTGCGGTACCGTCCGTCCATGCACGCCTTGGCAACCCGCCAGAACCCTGGCAACGAGCGGACGATGTAGTCCGACAACTGTTTGATGAGCTTCAGGATGGCAGACCATGCCTTTTCCGTGGCCGTTGCTGTTGTCAGTTCAGTACGCGCCGGGTAACTTACGCGTCACAGAGTTCGGGGTGTACGTGGGCTGGACCAGCTGGCGGCGAAGGAGATCGGTGTATGGTGAGGAAGAAGAGGGCTCGGAGGCAGCCTCGCGCTGCGCCCTTTTGACAGCATCGTTGGCGCGCTCGTACAACGACTTGACACTGTCCACAATGTGCTCGTGCTGGTAGTCCAGGTAGCTCCACGCTGGCTCGTCTGATCCTTCAATCTCGATCAGCATCTCCAGCGTCTTCTCCTGGTCCTCGATCGAGCGGTTCGGGTCCTTCAGGAGCACGTGCAGGCGACGTCGCATGTCGCGCATGACGTCCTCGACACTGTCCCACACTTTGTTAAAGATGCGACGCTGGCGGGCAATTTGATCGGGCGTCGTCGCCTTCACGCCCGGCATCAGGGCTCCACCGCGGTGAAGGAAGAGGCCCTTCTTATAGTCGCGAAGCGCCTGGTCGTACTTGCCGGCATTGATAGACTCGAGGAGCTGGCCGGGAAGATTGAAAAGAAACTTGGACTTTTCAAAGACGCCCAACGTTGATCGCAGCTTGGACGCCTTGACAGCGTTGTCGAGGACGGGAAGGTAGACGAGGTCGGCACGATCACATGTCACTGTCGTCAGCGGCAGGGGAGACATACTAGCTCACATTTGTAGAGGTTTCTCAGTTCACGGGCGCCATGGTCATCGTCGTCTAGGAAACCTTCCTTCATGTCGCGGTACACGACGTCGCTGGACGCCTTGACGGCGACAAAGCGATCAAAGTTGTCCTCGACGAGAATGCGTACGGCTTCGCTTCGAGCGTCAATCGACCGTTCGAGGTGCTCAATGCCGAGACGAAGGTCCGCGAATGACGCGTCCGGGTGCTGAACCTGGATGAATAGCTTGGGGTCAAAGCTCTTGGAGCTGAGCAGCGTCGCGGCACCTGGGGTTAGCTGGGCATAGGAGTGGGAAGCTCGACATACGCGTCTTGAGGTCTAGATCACCAGCACTGTTGTCAGTTGACATGCCTCCATTGCAACTTACAAGCTGAGTCTTCCTCGGAGTCCAAGGGGGTCCTGCTCTTCCATGGTGCCTCCCGTGCCAGCGAGAGGTCCCTCCGTGGCGTGGTCGACCTCCTCCCATTGCTCGGGAGCGAGAGACGAGAGGCCGTACGCTTTCAGCACTACGGTCAGATGAGTCAACTCTTTGTAAACTCACGCGCGGCGTCGTCAAAGTTCATGCTCATGGCTGCGAATAAAGATGAGGAAGCACGGCCTGACGTTGTTGATGACGAGGGGTGATCGAGCGGAGGCGTGTCGCGTGGCTCGGGTGGCGTGGGCCGTGCCTGGCGATAGTGGATGACCCAGCGTCGAGGATGCGCTGAGCCAGCGGTCATCTCGAAAGTCCTTTCCTCAACATTACTCATCAACAGCACGATGAGCGACCAAGACCGGGCAGAGCGTGGCGAGGCCGCTCCGCCACCTCCGCCCGGCCGCCAGCAGCCCCCCCAACGGCGGCGCCGACAGATCCACCTCCACCGGCCACCGATGGGGCAGCCGTCATCACCCCTCCGAACCAGGCGTTTCCCGGCGTGTTTGTCGGCGAGCGACCACCGCCCCCGCCGCGGCAGAGCATCACGAGCATGCTTATCCTCACCATGTTCTTCTTCTTGATGGGCAACGGGAACTCGCCCCAGATCATCAACGACGACGGCACGCCCCGCATCACAGAACTCGACATCATCCGTGAGCAAGTGGACGAGTATGAGGGATATCTAAACGGAACGGGCAATTGGACCGAGGTAAGTTGAGCATTGCTGAGCTTAGCTGACGACAGCCACCTCGCCCGTCAATGTACCCGCAGTCAATACAGCCTGACCATCTGAACCACGCCAAGGCTGCGGCGGCTGAGATGCCGTTCTTCACGAATATCACCGGCGGATACCGACAGGCCGAAGTCGAGGTGATCGACCTGCTCTCGCCGACGCCAGCGAAGGGGAGCACCTTCTTTGCGCACCAGAGGATCCCGTCGCTCAACCAGTCGTGGTGGAACGAGACGAACGCGGCGTGGCTGCGCGGCGAGTTTGACTGGAAGGGTGTGAGCCAGTGGGACATGAACCTGAACGAGCGGCGGGTTGAGGCTGCGACGAACACGACTGCGAGCGGCGTGCCGACCGCCGAGGACTGGAACTGGGTCAAGGGAACCGTCACGCTCTCGGGCACGCAGACGATAGAGTACGACGTGTTCGGCCTGCACCACGTCCCGAACGGAACATACGAACTGTACGGCCAGCCGCAGCACACGCGCATCGACATTCGCAACATCCCCCGCCTGTACCCCGATCACCACAACACGACTGCGCGTCTGATCATGGCCGAGCTTAAGAAGGAGCTGCGCTTCCGCGAGCACCAGCTCGTGACTCCGGATGCCAAGGGCGACGACCCGACCACAACCACCTGCCCGCTCCTGATGTACATGAGCGTACCCCCTCTTCCACCAGGTGTGGACCCGAAGGAGGTCGAGGCGTATCACAAGGAGCTGGCCGAGCCGTCAGGCCTTCTGTGGAGCCTGCCGAAGCCGCCGCAGTACTGGCAGAACAACGGATTCGGTATTGTTGCCATCGCGGACCAGTGTGGCGTCGCCCTCGGTGTGGACAAGGGGCGCGGCGTAGGAGTTGGCGACTTCAACCGCAAGACCATTAACTGTGAGTGAAGAAAAGTACAGCTAGAGCTAATCTCAGACGCTGCTTATGCGACGATATCGCAGCTCCTCGTGCTGTGGCTCCTCGTGCGCCAGATGGAGAGCACGCGGACGCCGTCAACGCTGGCCAAGGTGAGCCTGTGGACCATCGTCCTCATGGGCATCTCAGATACGTGGATCTTCAGCGCGCACTTGGCCATCGGTATCTACTCGGACAATAAGACTTCACTGCCACTGCTTGTGCTGGCATTCCTCATTTTCTGCACGGCGTTCGTCTTTGGACCGGTAAGTCCATACTACCTTGGCTAAGCTGACCCCAGCGCTACGCCATGCTGCTGCACCGTATTCAGGCGCCCGAGCGTGCCCCTCAGCGGGACGAGGACGAGGACGAGCCCCGCGGCTTTTTCGCGCGCATCTCGCACGCCTTCTACACTCACGCTCCTTTACGCTGGATCGCAGGTATCGCCGCACTGCTGCTCCTGTTCCAGATTATCTTAATCCCCAACGTCATCCCCTTCATCCTCTTCATCATGCACAGCACGTGGGTACCGCAGATCTGGCGAAACGCTCGACGCGGCTCGGCCAATGCGCTCCAGCATGGCTTCGTTCTCGGCACAGCGGCCGGACGCCTCGCATTGCCCCTCTGTGAGTACAGCTCGCAAGCAAACCTCCTTACTAACGACAGACGCCCTTGCATGCCCGGACAACGTCTTCTTCATCGACAACGCGCCATGGATCTGGCTGCTCGTGCTGTGGCAGGGCGCGCAGATTCTGCTCCTGTTCGCGCAGGACCGTTTCGGGCCCGCGTTCTTCCTCCCGAAGCGATTCCAGGCCGAGCCGGGGTACGACTATCACCCGATCCTCGCGCCGCGGGATGAGGAGGCCGGGCTCGGCGAGCCAGCGGAGGAGGACAACGAGGGAGAAAGAAAGGAGCAGAGGGGATATTTCGAGGGAGGCAACACTTGCAGTATCTGCATGGAGGAGGTGGACACGCGACCCGACACTATCGCCGGCCGAACATCATATGCCGTCGCGCCGTGCCATCACCTTTTCCACACGCGCTGTCTACAGCAGTGGATGGGCATCAAGACCATATGCCCCCTCTGCAAACGCCCGCTACCTCCGCTCTAAGCTTGTATTGTACCATCACATGCATCTCATACATTCTGGATCCTATCGCTAACATTACACTGACAATCGGATAACTCTAACTACTTGCGCTCCAACTCATCCTTCTCGTCGTACGTGTAGCTGGCGGCGTCGCGGTCTTCGGCCTGCAAGCGCGCCCACTCGAGGTACAGCCGGAACGCGTACGCGACCATGTCTTCGCGGCGGTAAAACTTCTCCGTCCACTCGCGCGCATTCTCTGCAATCTCCTTGGCCAGCGCGTCGTTGCCCTTGAAGAAGACGAGCGCGTCGTACAGATCCCCATAGTCGACCTTGACGGGGACATAGTGCAGCCACGGCTGGATGCGGTCCGAGAACCACTCGGGCATGACTGTAGACTTGAGCAGGAGCGAGCCTGAGAGCATGAGGCGCTGGAACCGCGCACTCCACGCATTACCGTCCACGTCGATGAGGTACTTGGCGTGGTCCATGTCATCAGGCGTGACGCGGCCGCGGAACGCATAGTTCTCTTTGATCTCGGCGCAGCTCCCGTCCGACTCTTCGCACTGGATCGGCTCGCCGACAAAGGCAATGTCGACGTGCTGCTCATTCAGCTTGTCCAGTGGGGCGTCGACCGTCGCCTGCCCCACCGTGCCCTTCACTTGCGGGCCAATGACGCGCGCGACACCGTCGTACGCATTCGTCAGGGACATCAAACGCAGGCGATGCGTGCCCCGCCAGTGGTTCCGCTCCTTGTGCCAGATGCCCGTGTTCGCGCCGCGCCATAGGAGCCGGTCACCGTTCTTCTCGGCCCAGGGGATGGGGGACACGGTCGATGCCTCTGTGAACCGCTCAGTCGGGACGCCAAGCACGTCAGCATGCGCGAGCGTCTTGCTGATCGCAAACTTGGCCGAGAGCGGGTCCGTGCCGCGCTGCAGACGCAGGCCGGCGAGGAGGCCGTGCTGCGGGATAAGCTCGGGATGCGCACACATGTCCATGCTCTTAAGGTGGTCGACGATGAACGTCTTCTCGGCCCAGTCAATGTCCTCGACGGGGATGGGGTCATAGCCGTGCTGCCGCAGCGGCGAGTTGTAGCTGCACGACGCGAGCCAGCCCGTGAACTGGTTGTCCGACTTGATGCGTGCGAGCGGCACGTACTCGTTGTTCTCGACGCCCTGCGACAGCTCCTGTCGCTGATCGTACGAGATAATTGTGCTCGGCGTGTCCTGCGCCGAATACACGACGCGCATGTCCGGAATGTCCTTGGCCACGTCCGCAATCAGGTCCAGCTGACCATCCAATCTTTTGCGGTGGATCGCCGGCCCGTCGTCGCCTCCCGTGTGCGTCACCTGGCCGTCGTGCACGGTGATCACAAACGTGTCCGCCTCTTTGCTTGCGCGGTCGATCAGCGTGCGCACGTCCTTGGGCGAAACGGCGCGGAAGGGGAACATGTCACGGTTGATCTGGTGGTATTCGTCCGGCAGCTGGACGTCGTGCTCTCTGCGTGTCAGCGCCGCACGGCCAACGCACTCACACAACGTAGCGCCACCACTTCTCGAATCCCTTTGGCGGGTGCTGGTAGTACCGGTTCTGGTACTCGTCGACCGCCTCGCGAAGCGTGCGGCTCTGCTTGGCCAGCTTTGTGTCCCATTTGCGCCGGGCGTCGCGAATCAATTGATGGATCGGGTGCACACGAGCGTTCGGGTCGACCCGCAGGAAGCCCTCCTTCACCTTGTGCGCGGGTGCACCTTCAACCTCGGCAGGCAAGGGCACCCGCTTGCCGCCGAGGACGGCTTGCTTCGCTGCTTGGTGTGCCGCGCGCGCCTTGGCCGTACCTCCTCGCTCCGTCTCTGCTGGGATCTCACCGGCGAAAGACTCGAACGAGGGTATCGATGGAGAGAGCTGCTTCTCGATCCCGACCACGAACAGATAGATGATACACGCCGTTAGGATCGCATACGCAATGCGATATCGGGTGCGTACGCCGAGCATGGCGGATAGCCCATGCCGCCGTTGCTGGGCGGGGAGCATGCCTTCCTCGACCGAATGCCGGCGCCGGGATAGAGGCTTCTCGTCGTAACTGCTGCTGTTGCCGCTGAATGAGCTGGAACGTAACATGTGGTAGGCGAGCGTAGAGAGAGCGCTGGAGGTTTGCGTTGCGTCCTCTCGTCCTCAAAAGTGAGACGTTGTGACGGGCGGGTCAGACGAGTCCCCGTGATCGCAGTCGGTCGTTCCAGACGTGGTTCTTGAGTGATAGACGTAGAGCAAGATCAAGATAACAGCAACAACACGGCGCAGTTGATCGCGTCGCCCGTTAAGCTGCTGCGGTCTTTCTGTGTCTGGCTGCAAGGCGGAAGGCTCCTAGGCCGAAACGCGTGGGTGGCCATGGGATCTGGAGCATATGGTGCGGCTAGTCGGTTTGGTGTCGCAGGATTACGAGAGGCGAATAGCAGGGGGCAGTGGTCCCAAGGAGTGAGAGCCGTGGGTGCTCTCTTGTGCAGTCGAAACTCTCGTCAACTCAGTCGGGAACACTGGGTCAGGACTCTCATGCCGCTAGCGCCTTTGGCCCCTTTCTATCCCGGGACACCTGCGACATCCGCTCTGCAGCCGTACGCAGCCGTGCGGCATGCAACCCAGTTCCGTGATTGCACGATGTGGTGCTGCGCAAGGTCCAGTGCATTTGCAGTACCTTGACGCACAAACATTGAAGCATCTCGTCAAGAAGCAGATACGCAGGCAAGCACTTGGCCCAAGCACAACTCTCGTGCTGGAAAAACTCAGACGTCAAGCCAAACATCAAGAATTCAGGATTCGCGTACAAAGGGCAAGACGTCGCAGGCTCCCGTAAGCGCGTGTAAGGCGAGTGCGTCGTCGGTTTGTCCGTAAGCTTGTTAAGGCCATGAGCCATGCGGTTCCATCTGCTGGAATGGACGCGATACGAGCATCGCCAGGGCTACGTCATACTGGACAAGAAGCATCAAAGTTCGGTGCGAGGTGAACAAAGTTAGAACTTCTGGAGTCTGGTGAATGGGCGATGATTGTTGCAATTCTCATGGTCAGGACGAGTTTCGCATGCTGCTGGCGGCGTCTGAATGGGGACCGTTGGTGGGAGGGAGATAAGAGCGAGAAGAGTGATTCAGGAAAGCGAGGCAGGTTCCTGGTCCCGCCAGGGGAGACAGGGTTCGTTGAACCCTCCGCGTCTGACGCTAGAGCGGACACGGGATCACGCAGCACAGCTTCGACGCCTTCTGGCGTTGCTTCTAACGCAGAATCCAGCGTCCAGGTGGGGTCTACCATGAATCGAACCGACCCAGGAGCCTAATGCAATGTCACGTGGTATGGACCATAGTTGTGGCAGACAAGGTGGAGATCTGGATCTCCGGGCACATCTGCAAGACGGCGTTGGGCGCACATAGGCCTGCACACGCATGGACAGTGCAGATGACGCTAATGTAGTAGGGCGCAGGCCTGCGGTTTCTTATTTCGCCTGCCTCTACGGAGCAAGGATGGGAAGCTGATCGTCGTGTCGACCGATTGCACAGTTCCCTCTTCCACCCGAACCTCGATCTTTACCTTCTCTTGATCGGGAACTTTAGCTCAAGACGCTTTTTCTCTACAAAAGAGTCACTCGCAGTGAGGCATCGCTTGTTCCGTGTCGACCTTTAGCAAACGAGATCGCTTCGAGACCCAGCCTCTAGGCCCTGTCCCTAGCTTCTTCGCCCGTGAGTTCACCAAAGCCTTTGACACATTCAGCGACCCATTGCAAGCTTTCACAGCCACTCCAACACCTCCGATTGCTCTCTGAACCTGGCCCGATCGGCGGCGCTCACGTCAGAAGCATCACGGTGCTCGGGCGTTGTGGCGGAGTGGTTAACGCGGTTGACTCGAACGGTCTCCTTCGGGAGAGGTTCTGATATCAACTAAAGGAAGTTGAGTGCACTTCTAAGATGAGTTTGGCAGGACGAAAGCATATGGGGGCTAGTGAAGGGTTAAACGCTGCTCCTGCCACCGAGTATGCTGAAAGCGGTACCGCGATACAGTACATCGACTATGGAGTGCATCAGGCGGTCGCTGTCTTGGTGATCGCAAAAGATCATAAAAGCAGACACGGTACCGAAGTCAGGCACGGTCTTAGATCACCCTGAGTGTTTGTGGAGCCCCATAGTACCGTCCATTGGCTCCTCCTACCACAGTGATTTAGTGAGATGCGAACAAGTCGCCAACATGCTCTCTCTATTTGCGGTGAGCATGTTAGAAAGATGTCAACGTCGACAGAACCTTTACTTCCAGGGCCGGAGCCTCGTGGCCTCAGGGCAAACAGAGGGGGTTTACCGACGCTGATTCTTCACCCAACGTTGTCATCTCGGCGTGCATCTAAGGCGCCAACCGTTCTTGGCTGGAGCGGATACCACGAATAGTTGAATTGGACGCATTGGGAGTGGCGATTAGTCCATGAAGTAAAGAAGACCAGGACACCAGTACTCACGAGCAACTACCCAACCCTTGCACACTGCACGCGACCTATTCATTGCTTTTATCGCAGAATCGCAGAGGATACGATTCGTCTCTTGTCTTGCTGAGCAGCTATCAAGATGGCCATGGCATCCCGGATTTGCGACGGCAAGTAGAAGGAAAGCGCTCCAAGCTTGAAAGGTTTCTTCTTTCGCCAGCGTGCAACACGCAGCTGTCTTCTCTTGAGAAGGTGGCCAGAGTGGGTGGTCACGTGCGACCTTGGGGCGCCATAGGAATGAGGAGGGTTCAACGATCGACGCCAGTAGAGGGAGCGTGGGAGAACGGCCCATGAATCACCAGATCCGTTTCAGCGCCGCGTGTCTTGCGCCCTCGATAGCCTCACCAACGCCCGGGCCTCACACAGGGTACCTCTTCATTGCTGACCCTTTCACAATACTTCCTACACTCAACGGCCTCTCCTCTCCATTGCTGCCATCGCCCACATAATGTTCCCATGTTCAGCTGTACCGGCCACCTTCCCCTCGGGGCGGACCAGTGCTACCTTCGCTTGTGAGTCACATCGAGATCCTTCCCAGCCACGTTGAGGTGGTCGGGGATGACTTTCACCCAACGTTCCCATGTGTCAAGTTGACCCAAAGCTGACGCAGCAGGCTCTCTGACTCTCTGGACCCGCTGATGCTCCCACCGCCCGTAGGCGGCTGTCGCCTGATGATACTCCCAGTATTAAACGCCACTTGCGAGAGCTCTCGGACTTCCCGGACCTGCCAATCAACTGTAGTGGGTTGAGGAAATAACAGAGAGAGTGTCTTCCCCCTTAAAGTGAGTCATGCATCACCCGGTGACGCCTCACGGCAGTGAGTGGCGTCGGCTTGCTTGAGGCCTGTTGACATTCTGTGAAGCTAGAGGTGACCTACATTGCTGAGGCCCGTCCCACCTTCCCGTTGAGATAACGGCTAACGTTAATAAGTGGAAGTCTATAAGTGTCGAGCCCCGGTGTACCCCACGCCGACCCTCAACTTACGACGCACGCAGCTCTGACACAGGGCGCGACAGCGTGGCACATGTGCCCATTTCGGCACGTTTGGTTTCGAACAACGATGACAGGCTGCCAGGGTCTATCAAAGCAGAGCGGCCTGGGCACAGACAAGGGTGTCCATGCTGTTTGAGGGGTGCTGTTGCCATCTGGAGCGCGCCTCTCTGGATAGACTTCACGCCTGGTGAGCGTTCCCGCGTGCACAGCCCCGCGCTATCTGCGTGCGCGCCGATTCCGAAGCCAAAAGTGACCGAAATTCCAACCTTTCGGTGTCAGAGCCGCTTCATTGGTCTACGGAAGTAACGCGTTCTCGCTAGTGCGGTTGTCGATGAGCCTTTCCTCTGCTTAAATGAGCGACAGATGCCTTGCAAATCCATCACACCGCAAAGAATGCTTCTCCTGACGAGCCTCTGCCTGATGGCATCCAGCGCCACAGTCTGGGCAGGTGCCAATGGTCACCAGCCCTCCTTACTCCAAGAGACCAACGGCCCCCAGACCCTCGGCTTCAACCTCAGCGCGGGTCTGAATTTAAACGAGTTCGGACCCTTCGGCTTCGACCAGAAGATCTCTCACTTCGAGGACGTCGGAGGCACATTCTGCCAGCGCTACTCCGTCTCCGCCGAGCTGTATCGCCCGGGGGGTCCCGTCCTGCTACGCGTATCAGGCGAGAGCCCCACGTACGGCAATTGAGTTCACCGACTGAAGCCCCGCTAACCCACAGTGGCAGCGTGTACCAAGACGGGTTCGAGTACCACATCGCAAAGGAGACTGGCGCTCTTGTCATCTGGCTGGAGCATCGATACTATGGCTACTCCTACCCCGTTCCAGACTTGACTACGGACAACCTGCGCTTTCTCTCGTTCGAGGAGGCGCTGGAGGACACGGCCAACTTCATCCGCAACTTCCAGCTCCCCGAGAGCATCAACGTGACCGACACTTCCAACCTGAAGTACGACAAGACGCCCTGGATTCTGTACTCGTGGTCTTACCCCGGCGCGCTCGTTGCATGGATGCGAGGCAAGTACCCGGAGCTGGTATGGGCCTCCATCGCCTCGTCAGCGACCATAGATAGAACAACAGAGTACGACGGTCAACTCTACATGACGGCAGCAGGACGTTGGGGCGACCCGGCCTGCATCGAGCCGCTGGAGGAGGCGTGGACGACAATTGGCTCAATTCTCGACCGCAACGAGAGCAAGGCCACCGACGAGCTCAAAGCGTACTTCAACATGAGCGGAGTGCCCGACTGGCGCTTCGCAGCCATGGGGTACGACACGGCGACAGCCTGGCAGAGCCGTGCGTGGGACCTGCCCTCAAACTCGTGGGAGAGATTCTGTAAGGATATGCAGGTTGAAAACGACAGTGTCACGGTCGGCGGTGTGTCGTATCCTGGCTCTTTGGCTACGTACCGAGACACGCGATCACTAGAGGGCATGTGTCCAAACGGCACAACAGGACAGGCATGCCTAGACGCCCCCGGCGATCCCTTTAGTCACTCTGTCGAAGCGAAGATCGACATCACCTCACCGCAAGCATCTTTCCGCGCGTGGCAGTATCGTGAGTCCCTCTCTCGGATGGCCTAACCGCGGAATGCTGCACCGAATACGGCCCCGCTATCGCTGGCCCACCGGCAGGGAGCGATCTTCCACACATCGCTAGCAAGTACTTCACCCCGCAGGGGTGGTATGACCTCTGTCGGCACTGGTATCCGCCCGGTGAAAAGAACAGCCTGCCTCATACGTTGCCTGCCCCCAGCGTGATCGACGACATGGGTCGCCTCAACTACACAGCGCCCCGCATCGCGTGGGTAGGGGGCGAGTACGATCCCTGGTACCCGTCCATCAAGCAGAATCAGACATCGACGCCGAACAACCCGTTCTACTTATTCCCAAGGGAGAGCACGCGTGGGACGCGTTCGCGTTCCAGAACCTCTCCGACAAGCCCGACTTCATGCAGACGGTTCACCGCGGCTTGCTCGCGGATGTCAGCCGGTGGGTCAGGGAATTTCATGGGCAGCAGGCACAGGCACAAGCTGGCAAGAACCAGGCACATCCCGTCGACAACGACAAATGATCACGTCAAAAAACGTCGTAGAGGCTTCCAAACGTTAAAAACGAGCCGACGCCTGTGAGATTCGAACTCACGCGGGAAAATCCCAACCGCTGTCTAGCGTAATAGCAAGCGATCACCTTAAAACCACTCGGTCAAAGCGCCTCCAAGTGTCTGTTTTGAAAATTTTCGGGGAAACATGTTTGTGACCCGAGCTGAAAAATCTGAAAC